TCGTAGAATACTAAACCCTTAAGGGTTGATGAAAGTGCAACGTATAATAAACCCTTTTTTCGTTTTTGAAAATTTTCATAAACCCTTAAAGGGTTTATGTTTATAAGCTAAAATTCAAAGATACCCTTTACTACGTTTGAAATGCTTTCAAAGCTCTTATTCTTACTAGGCACCAAGATCTTCGAAGTGATATTCGACGAATAAGAAAGAATTCATCGATTTTGCATCTAGAGGCTAAAAATATATTAAATAACTCAGTTTCTTTTGCAGCACAATCTTCAAATCAAGATACTGCATTGAACGCTCCAGTCGAAAGAAAATCGAGATTTGAAGAAAATAACTTGTCTGGTTTGCCACCATACGATAAAACGCGCAAATCCTCTCTCGATCGTAGACCAATGCAACCCAATCACGTTGGAAGATCAAACCAGTCAGGTAAAAATTAAATAATGGTGACAGTGGATATCAAGTGGAACGAGTATTCTAATTTAGATGGTGAAGAGAGCACAACGAAGATTCATCTTAATGATATATATCTGTAAGTGCCATGCTATATTATATGACATAAAGATAAGTTATTGCTGTTGAGAGATGACCCTTGAAGATTAAAGTTATCTGATGGAACTATTTTACGCCAGTATACTGGTTCTCTTTTTCTGAATCTACTTTTTGCGTTCATCATGCGATTGTAAAACTCTGAAATATTAAGCGCAGTGGTATAATTTGTGTTCGTACATCGATAGACATAGAAAAGAAATAATATATTCCTCTAGGAACAGGTTTAATTTTTAATTGACTTTTATACGCATGACAAATCGAATACCCTGCCGGATTAAAAGAGCCTCTCCGATTAGAAGACCGCCCTAAAAATTTTGAATGACTGCCTTAATATAAGACCCGTGCTTTATAATTCGTCCATGTTTGCTATTACATAATATGCCCATTACTTTTCGCAAGAAAGAATTTTTTTTCTACCCCATTTTCTGCGAAAATTTTGAATTCTTTCTGCGAAATTTTGGCGAAAATCCGTTTTTTTAAACATTTTTCCTCCATTTTTCTGAAAAACCTTTTTTTGAACAAAATATCGCAGAAGGTCGAAAAATTCTGAACGATTTCGAAAACTTTCTACCAACATAGACTCTATGTTTCAAATAGAGGGCCCCGAAATATAAGAACCCTTTTGAAATTTTATCTGCTTTGTCATTATAGAGACCCCGGGTCTTTTATTCCGGACGGGGGGGGGGTAGGAGAGTTTCCGCCTCTCCCACCGTCACTTCTTGCTAGTCGACTGCAATAGATTATTTTCGCAGTCGTCTCTTTCTACTTAAGTTTAAGGGTACTGAAGCAGATAGAATCAATTCCAAAAAATTAAGTAACATCGAAAATTTTGAACGAGTTGAGCATATGATTCTTAACTAGCATGATACTCCTATAATGCATCATTGGTTAAGAAGTCAAACAAAGAGCATACTAATATAATTTTTTTAACTAAAATAAAAATATGATTTACCTAATGGAAAGTTGAGCTATTCGTAACTTATGAAAGATGGTGTGCAAAGAGTTGGAAATGTAAAAATATCGACCATCGAAATCATCATAAAACATCCTAAGTAGTATGACATCTATATGAAAATCAAGTATCTAAAGTACTGCATATTGATTATACTAAAAAGACTGAAAATCTGTCATTATGTGTCAAGATTACAATTTTCTTTAGATCACCACCAACACTGATTCCTCGTAAAATACGTGCGTGCCAAGTATGTTACGAAGAGAAACTGATATCAATGTATCGTGAACCTCTCCATCAACGATGTACACATCATGAGTGCAATATTTGCAATGACTGTGTATACAACTACGTTAGACAAACGTTGGGAACCATGCTCGAGGAACAAGTCAATTGCCCAGAACTGAACTGTCGCGCCGTTCTCAATTTCGATTCGATAAAGCAGATTCTTGGAAATACTCGAGGCAAGAAACTCTTCGAACGCTACGATAGATTCTTTACTGAACGTGCACTAGAGCGCATGCCTGATTTTGTTTGGTGCGCTCATGGATGTGGTTCAGGACAATTAGCTGCTAGCGGAGTACAAAATAATATTATCTCCTGCATAAAATGTAAAATGAAGACATGCTTCGTTCATAAAACAAAATGGCACGAAGGTCTTACGTGTGCACAGTATGACAATCAGACTGCAAAGACTATTCGAGATTCAGAAAAATGGCTAGTACAAAATACTAAGAAATGTCCTTCTTGCAAGTCTCCAATTGAAAAAGCGGCCGGCTGTGATCATATGACTTGTCGAAAATGTAATTATGAGTTTTGCTGGGCATGCTTAGCAGACTTTGACAGAATTCGGAATCATGGTAATCAGTATCATCACTCCCGATGTAAACATTATGCTTCGCCTGGTGAATAATTTGGCCTTTAAAAACTTGCCAATTTTACAATAACATGAAAATTTTCATCAAAACTTAAATAAAATCATTATCATGCAGATGCATATCTCAGAACAAGTTCTCAAATCTGCTGCATGGGAACTTTTCTCTGAACGTATACTTAAAGATTTTGCTCAATCTGCTTTTAAAATTCTGGAAGAGTTACGGGATACTGCATTAGTGCGACTTTTTTTGTACAGGGCATGCCTAACATAATGAAGTACTTAGGGCAATCCAAAAGTAGTGGCCCAGGTATCTTATTTTCTTATAATAGGCTGATCGAGATTTTCTTTCTATATTAGATGATAGAGAAAGCGAAGCTCTATTTTTCTATGCTATTTGATCACTTTTTGCCTGCTAACATTATAATAAAATTTCTATAAGAACTGTTTTTATATAAAACATAACTATCAAATTTTATCATATTTTCATCTACGTCTGATAGATACTGCTAAACCCTAGTAAATACAGTAGGCCCTGGTAGACCCTTATTCTTCAGTGCAGTTTGAAATAGCGCAGGTTTTGTTAAAATCTGAATTACTTTACAATTCATTTGCGTCATGCACTCAAAATATTTGAATAATACTGATGGACACCGTCAAAAGCTCACTTTCTGACCATGTTCATAGGGTAAATTACTTGTAAAGCCTATATCTTTTCATAGGATAATCAGATATGGCTAATATTTTGGATTCATCTATAGTTTGACTCGGCCTATCGTTTAAGGTACCTAAATTGAAAGTCCAGTTTTTTTCAGCGGCCACCTCCTAATTAAATTGCTAAGTGGTTTCGTGGGCTCTCTCTTCAGAGTTAAAATAAAAGTAAAATTTGTTAGAAATTATCTGAAATAACGTTAATGCACAGCCTTTCCCCAGTCAGACAAGGCTCTTCAAAAAACGCGTTAAAATTTCGTTAAAACGTCGTTTTAACGATTTTGTTAACGCGTTTTAATGCGTTAGGATTTAAAATGCGCAAAAACCTTTAGACTTTTTGACGTTTTTACGCGTATGTAGCTCGATTTTGACGCGTTTTATTACGTTAAAAACTTGCAACACGTATTTAAGCGAAAATTGTCGTTAAAAGAACGTATTTTTACGCATCTTTTTCTAACGACTATTATTATATTCAACAATCAATCACCGTTTTTATGGTTTTAGCATAATTTAACCTGTTGAAATCAGTTTGGCTACTAAGATTAGTTAAAATCCACAGCCTCATATTCGATAAATTAAATTCGGATGAATCCACATCACCTTTTAATATTTAGCTCAATACCTAATTCGAAATCATAGGTATCCTATGTCGCACATTTCTTATTAATACCATCGGTATACGGCGGTACTCCTAAAAATTGGCGGTATTCTGACAGTGTAGTGCGGGTAGCGGCCTAACATTCCAGTTCCATTCATAAATAATTATACAAAGTATTTCCTGCTCAAATTCGGACTCTTTTTAAAAGGAGTTCACAATTATGCAGAAAAAAATAGTTTTAGAATTTATTTGAACAATAATAATTTTTACAGGGCCATCTATAATGAAAACTTTATCTCAGTAATGGGACCGATTTTGGCTCTGTGGCAGGTGCAGGTGACTCAGGCACGCCAATATAATTGAAAAGCACTGGATTCCACGAAATTCTGCTGATTTTAATAGACCTAAAAAATATTCAACCTTTCCCATGTCTATATCCATAACCTGAACAAATCGATTTTTACAACAGTTTAAATGCGTTCAGTATGATTTGAGAGATCCTACAGTTAATGGGAGTTACAAATATAACTCTAGATCGAATAGTGTACATCAGAAATATTTTTCTTAAAATCTATATTCTTGAGGGAAATATAAATTGTTTCATGCTCATTTGTGACAGTGATGAAGTAATAATGTTAGGTTAAGGATCCAATGATATTTTGAACTGATGTAACTTTTATGTTACTGGCACTAAGAATTTCACCATGATGAATCACCTAAAATTGTGTGAGAAATCTATGAATTGCGTCTGACTGCATAACTCAACGTGTCATAGCAAAGTATATTCGTTTAGTGCAGAATACAAGATTGCCGATTGAATTGCTCCATTAAGTGGAAACTGGATAAGTAACTTCTAGCATTAGCCGTCTCTTGCAAAAATAGAGGAAGAGGATGGGAATCTGAAGAAAAAACAACCTGCGACACAGAGACACGCAGTTACTTCAACATTCACATCTTACCAAAACCTATCAGGTGTGGATCTGAAGATTGCCCGTGATTAGATTCGGTTTTCAATAAATCGTTTAATCATAAAATAACATTTTCTTGGATATCTTTCAACTTTGATTCATCTTATTCAAAAGTATTCAATTTGGTTATAAAAGAGGCTAGAAAAGAGCTTCCTCTTGATTATAGTACCAGAGCATTTTTACCAATGAGTTCAAGTCCAAAAAAATAATCGGTGGGAATCAAATCCAGAAATCATTGAACCTGATCGACTGTATAATCCGCCCATGTCGTTACTCTACTATTTGAAATGTATTGCAGGAAAACAAACCAAATATGTCACTATCTGCATTGTCTATCAATCAGTTTTACGAATGCTGCAATATAGAGATGTAAAGGAAGTAAATCTTCTGAAGTCTTCACAATTTTTTCAGATTATACTTTGATCGTTTGCTATTAATATGCCAATTTTCTTCGATGAAAAAATCATGTATTCATAGATTAATTGTAGAACTCTTAAGAGCACTGTATAGCATTGATTCAGCATAAATTGAGTAAAGAATTACTCATAAAGTCAAACCTTCATTCCGCGAAAAACGTTCCCAAGAGAAAATAAACGATGCATACATAATATATAATTTGCACATTAAGTTAACAGCGAAGAGGAAATACATCATTGGAAAAGTGATATAAATTCCACAGGTTTCATTGCGTACCACAATAATTTTGCAATCATTATCAGTTTCAACTGTTTCAAAATGTTCTACAGCTGGCTTCTTTGTACTTTCTTATTAAAAGTAACATGTACTAAAACAGCTGTGTGGAAATTGGGTGCGATTATGAATGAGGACAAAACATCAAGTCGAGTCGATAGTACATGGCTAAAAAACTCACATAAGGATGTTTTCAGTGGTCTGATATGCGGTCTTCGGACTGGTGCTGGTATGGATTGTGGAGGAATGAATCCAGAGAGCGGTACGTGTCCGACTGGATATAATTATAATGCGTGGCTTATCAGTAAAACGGGCACAGGTGTCATGAAGTTTTGCTCCAAGCAAGGTACAAATTCTAATATAGGACCAGTTGGCGCCATATGTGGTCTGAATGTGGGGGCTGGAGGCCAGAAATGTGGCGATCGCGATACATGGTCACAGGGCTGTCCAGATGGATATGCCCGATATGAGTGGTTGGTGGACTGGGGTAGTGGCAGGATGGCTTGGTGTTATAAGGTACAACACGGCATCGAAGATCAGCCGGGAACAATATGTGGTATGCAGACAAACGGTGGTGATACAGGTCCTACATGCAATGGTTATCAACCAGGGCGGGGCTCTTGTCCACATGGTTATTATCTTGTAACATGGCGTGTCAGCTTCGGAAACGGTTATTGGTCATTTTGCGTGAAAAACTAGATTGCCTATTTATACTTTTCTGATCACTTACGAGTTTCAAGAAAATCTATACCTATGGATTATTTATTCACTGGATTTTTTTCATAGCCCCAAAATAATCAGTGAGACACATATAATTATAATTATAATAATATCATCTTCCATAGATTTATCGCCCGTTGGGGTCGATACTAAAGAGTCCACAAGTAACCAGGTTCTATCGTACTTTTCTCTTTTACAAAAGACGATTTCTGCATTCCATTCGCTCAACGCTTCTCCCGTTAATGATTATGGGTTGAAGGTCAACATATGATCACCTGCCCGTGGTATCTATGTTGAAGTTATGTTTTGACTCTGTATACTAACTAATGGCATAGTCAATACACTATTGGATGAGTCCTCTGACACAATCAGTCGCTAGTAACTTGCTCAGAGTTATTCCATGGTTGGTGATACTGTGGTTTGAACGCAGCACCATGTGAACATGTGTCGAATAACATATCCACTAGACCATGGCGGCCTGAAACACATATGCTTCATTGAAAAAGCACCTCTAGAGGATTTGGATTTGCGAGTATGAGTTGGTGATGAAGTTGATACGGATGTGTGTATATGAGTATTGTGATATGATAAGATGCTTTAGGCAATTAAAGGCAGACTGTGACAGAGAAATTAATTTGTTAATTTCTATGTCACCCTCTGTGATGGCCTCTGAATTCTCTGTCATGGTTTCTGATGCTCTCTAGAGACACCATACATCATAATACAGACCGTGGCAGAGAAATTCCACAGATTATCACAAATCATGACTGAAAGGCTCGATATATGATTATAGAGAGTGGCAGAAGAGCTGCAAAGACTCAGGAACCACGGCAGACGGGCTTCGGAAAAGGAATTTTTATCCTGTTTCACATTTTAATACAACAGTGATTGCGCTAACGTCGTTTTAAATAGCTCTTTAACTTGCGCGACTCCTATTGAAAAAGGCCTGATTCACATACAGTTGGGTAAAATCAGATATCTATCTTTGAAATCACTTGTCAATATCTCTTTTACCAAAAATGATGAGTTCTGCTATTTAAAAACGTTACTCTAAATAATAAATTAAAATGCGTTATTCCGTACGTTTTATGAAATAATGGGAAATGACTCATTATTTTCCATTATTTATCCACCATCAGCTACATGAAAGATGTTTTCTTTTTTTGATTAGGTAACAAAAGAAAAACTTTTATTTTCTAAAACATGGAGAAAATGCAAAATGGGTATGGGTGTGATGTGTGTTTGTCTTAGGAAACAATCTAAATCTATATGCGCGCTGGTAAAATATTCTTTGTCGAAAGCCAGCAGATTCGTCAATCGGATAATGAACTCAAAATTGTCAATGATATAATAAACTGCCTATAATCTAGTTTGCCAATGTTTGTATAGTTATGACAGTAATATATCTTTTTGTTGCTCTTATTTAATTTCAAATAATGTTTTATTTTCAATTAAAAATTCTAAATTATATTACTTATAGGGATATACAGTGGTGTGCAAAATTAATTGCCGTTAGTATTTGATAAAGTTAATCTACTGAACATGATGAATATTAAAAGTTTGTTTTTATAAATAGATTATACATACACAAGAGTACACAAATATAATAATCGATGGTTAGCTTTTTTTCCTTCAGCCAAAAAAAGCAGTAAACACGTTATCTTCATCGATACACTCAAATAGCTTAAGATCGCTTTGCCTGTGTACATGGATTATGTGCTAGCCTAAAATGTGTGTTTGGACAAGAGTGGAAGAAGCTATGAACCTCCTTTTTGATCAAGATCCAGTAGCCGGAGTTTCAGCTCGATACGATATCTTCTTGATTTTCAAAGCGGGAAAAAATGCAACACAGCCTTCTCAAATTTTAACCTCTATTTGACGCTGAAGATGAATTTTTAGAATTTGTTCACGTGGGGCAAAATTTTATCTACTAGCCGATGCCTGTCTACTATCAAAATTTCAAGTCGATCAGATAAGTCATTATCGAGATAGTTAGGAAATTTGGTCCGATCGTCATTTTTTCCGGCAATTCTACACACCGCGATCCTCCGTTTGTTTTTACAATGCCTTGTCGTTGGACTTTATTTTTATTTCGCTAGATACTATGAGCGTAGAGTTTCTTTGAAGAAGACGATTTTCGTAGCGCTACGACTGCCCTAGTCGTGGTAGTGTAATATGACTGTTTGATATTCTAGAAAAGCGGTAGATACTCGAATCATGATGTCTCTCGCTCTACTGAACGACACTTTTTGAGGAGTTCCGCTCTGATTAAAATCTATTGCAAATCCTTAATTATTGATAAAAGTTTCAGAAGAATCCGTTCATGCGTTTCACATATATGACTCGAGAAAATGCGTACGTGCAACAGCAATTGATTTTTGCACTTCATTGTATCTACATGCTCTATCACAAAGACTCATATAATATGCAATCGCTATTATCATCAGCAGATTCTACCTTTATTCTAATCATTCTTCTTAACACTCTGATCTATACTAATATTTCCCATTATCACTCAAAGGTAAATGAATGAAAGATCGCAAGCTTTTTTATCCGTGATTTTTTTTTCTGTTAACATACTTATTACGCACATAGCAGAAGAAGAACATCTTATCAATAACGTCTTTGCCAAAACTATCTAAGCACAAATGTTCATAATGGTCAATCTTTAGAGGATGCAGCTTTAAGTAGTAATGCACAAATTAATGATTTAATCATTGACAAAATGACATGTGCTACTCTGTAAGGATGTAATACTACATCGGCAATCTTTATGTGTCTTCAAATGGTATTATTGCATCCTCACTACTCTCAACGCTAAATATGTAAAACTAGTGCTATCGTCCAATAATGTAGATAAAAGAGTGAAATATGTTTCACAAATGAAGCGCTTCAAACTGTTAATATCATTTACATTGTTAGTATTGGGCAAAAGGGAAAATTATTGGGTTATTAATTGTAATACAATTGCTTTTTTACGCAATTAAATTCTTTATTTAGTGAATCTATTTTAAATATATCCAACAAAAATTTAACAAAAAAAGAACACTAGGTAAAACAAAGCCTTATTTTATTCTGAACTTGTTTCATGTATTAGCTTTACATTATGCATTGCTAAAATCGCTAATTTTGGTGATCATCAATTCTGTATTCTTTTATGATCACAGCGCCAAAATCGATGCATTCTCTATTGAGTAATAACATTAGCAAAGAGAAAATGCAGAAATCAATCACATCGACGACATCGTGTACACTTTGTACCGAGAAAGCGACATTTTGTAATGGAATAGCACTTTGCTTTGGCGTCGTTTTATTTCTTTTATTCTTCGAGAACAAACGAATAATGTTGAGCCATCATACTCTCCATGAAATGTATATAAGAAACATCTTTCATCGCAAAATGTATTACTATTTATTAAATTTCTTCGATCAAAACTCTCATAATGCCAGTTAAGAAGGCGACTACTTCGAAACGTGACTCCTCGCCGCCAAAAAAGCCAACATCAACTACTGCAAAGCAGCCACAAAAAGTCAATTTAGCAAAACCTGTAGAGAAGACGACAGCCACAGTGGTCGATAAACCAGAACCGATTATTGTTAAACAGGTCAAGTTGAAAGAAGCTGTTCCAAAGGAGATGGAAAAATTAACAAACTTGAAAAGATGGCCAATTATTATGGATGAAGTCGGTGAGTTAGGGATCCATGTAGTATTTGAAAAAAGAACCAAATGAGATTTTATGAGATACATAAAAATATTTCTACACGCATCCGAGCGCTAATTTCCCATGAACGATATTTTACTAAGGTATTTTAGATTAATATTGAGCCCTCAAAAATCTGAGGAAAAATATAATTGACCTTTCTTACGTGTTTATTTCAATTATGTAGAGATCTTTTTTTTTCTTTAGGAAATTTGAAAACATTCTATCGTCTTAATGAAACTGTGATCGATTTTACGACGCCTCTCACTGTGCAACGTGTAAAAGTTGCCCTTCAACATGTCTTCTTTGGACTTTCGTTCAATGGAGACGGATCGATTAATGACCATCGTGAATATAGCATTCCAAATAATGTCAATCGATTGGTAGCGATCATCATGGAAGAAAACTCAATAGAGAAATGTGCCGAAGAATTGCGAAAAGTATGCGATCAACTACATCCAGAACTGTTCGATACAGTTTTTGTGAAAGCCGATGTTAAAGAATCGGGAAGAGATAATTTGGATCGTCTCTTTGCCATGACGCAAACACCCGATGAAATAAGTAAATCTGACTACTATCAATCCGGTGCTAAGAGTCGAGCTGAAGTACCTTTCATTTGTGTATGGATCACTCAGCAAGTTGAAATACCACCAGCCTATGATACTCTTTTTCGGCTGAGATTCAAATTGAATTACGATTGATATACTGTACATGAAAATGATATCAGTCTTTTAAGAAATTTGCAGTGACATTCATTTTTTGTACCTTTTGACGTTCAAACTTTTACTCGAAATAAAATCCATTTAAAAAAAGTATCTAGCACGAAATTTATGATCAAACTAATATATTTTAGCAACGTGCTTGTTATTGATTTTTTCGCTGGGTGTGGATGTGGGTGTGTATTTTGTTGATATTGATGTATGGTAGCGAAGCCTTGTCTTTACTCAAACACGTTCACAAATTGCATTGTTTCTAACAGCAAGAAGAAAAGACACTAGCCATAACTTTAGGACTATGCTTGTTATCTGTTCTATATTAGAAACATTTCAACTGAATGTAAATAATCGCTGGCATTTAAGAAAAACAAGCAATCAGAAGTGTTCAGTTTACATATGCTAGATTGAATGATCCGACGTTTTTAAACGGTGCTTCAAATTGTGTCAATTCATATAATACTGTTCCACCGCGTACAAGACCGGTCGCAACGTCTGACCGTACACTTACGTTGAATGTATATGTACGTAGTGGTAAATATACCATTGCTATGCGTGTTAAAATCATGCATCAAAAGTAAGGTGCTGTGTTATAATAGAAGCCTCCAAATGTGTCAATTAGGTGACGATTAGAACCTAATCCTCGGCTGACTCTTTGCTCATTCTTTGGCAGAACATATTTATCGATAATAAGATGATCATGGAACATGATCTGAACAAACTGGTTCAATACTTTGCCTTGAATCCAGAAGCCACCTTGGAATATGATTTTGAAAAGTGTACTTTTTGTGATATGAAGTGCTTGATTTAAGTTCGGAATATAGACAAAATTGTCACTAGGCTAGAAGTTATAGCCATCACCAGGGTGTGCATGCTTCGTATAGACTGAGTACGATTGCACTCCATCTGATCTTGAAGAACGACCAGTCGTAATAGATTCTGATGATACCTCTATTGCTATGAAGAAAAACCATGTTAGAGGTACGAATAAATCATTAATACTTTTAGGAACTCACCAATGATTAAACCCAATGAAACTATAAGACTCACTAATAAGTAATGGATGGCACAGGTCTAAATATTGAAAAATTAAAGTAGCCGTCTGTTGAATAGTACAGCTAAACATCATTATCTAATACTATTAAGAAACGAAGTAGTTTTATGAATTATTAGATACAGTCTAGAGCTTCAACAAATAAAATACTTCATATATATTCCAATCACACGTTCCTTATAGAAGATCTTCGACAGTTCACTGAAGTCGTTTGTTATGATCTATAGCATGCGAGAGGAAGGTTCAAATTTCTACCCTATACACTTCAATACTCCTTTTAGATCGTGTTTCACAAAATACATCAGCAGTGCTATATTGTCAATGTTAATTGTAAACTGGCTCTAAGATTTATGTTTATAAGATTTTGTTGCTGAAGCGACACACTATATCATCGAGTTTATTTGCATATTAAGATGGATGTAATTTAGTTTGATATTGACTTGGTCAAGAAAAATATAGTAAATTCCTAGATAAATACGAATGTTCCAGAGATCTATGAAGGCGAGCCAGTTATGCACTCATACTATAAGAAACTAAAAATTTCTCGAGCTGAATAGATCTTGAGGGTGTACCAATCATGTGCATATTGACAAGAAAAGGCGGAGAAAAACCGAGAATACTAGAATAAAAAGCCTATTATGTACAATAACTTGAACAGTTCCATATAAATTTTGGATATATCGTGAACTCCTTACTCACTCTCTACAATCGACTGTAGACTGAAAGCACACTAGTGATAATATTATTTGAAACATTCTGTTACCGAAACTCTGTATGTGCTTTAATCACTTGGTTATGCATGACTGTCGATGTCAATATTACTGCGTAAATGAGAATATGATAGTAGCTGATGCTCCATTAACTCTTACACTTGCTCGTGTAAACTTAACAGGAGCTATTATGAGTATCATGGGATGTAAATTCTGTACGTTGACATAAGATAATGCATCTGTCTTATATGTTACAATGTTTAATATGAAACCAAATGTAAATCAAAAAACTTGATAAGAATTTCTGCGATGACTAATATAACTCGGTATGAGGTATGAGCATGCACTTCAGTAACATATTTAGTATTGCGTTTCAAGCAGGCATTTTTTTTGCCTTTCGACTTTGTTGTGAGCGAGAATCAAGCAAAATGTGCGCTGTCGGAAGTAGAAAAGAAAAAGTCATTCTTCATGCGTCTGATTCTTTTTTTCGCCGTTACTTCATCTTCGACAAACATGTGCGCTCCATCCACAGAGAATTGAATAACACCTACTACGATGAAATCAAGACAATCATTTCGCAAACGTAGATCCAAGTAAACGCTTTCATTAGAACTACCATTATGATAACATTCATTAGTTGTTTCGCTAACAGTAATCAAATATTTCACCGTGTGATGTAATTATATGACTATGAAAGAAAATGTGTTTAATAGATTCAACAGGCTTTGTGAGTTATTTTAACGATTCACACTTATCCATAAAATCCAAATGATATCTCAGATGGTTCGTTATAAACTATAAGTATACTCTTTGACAGCCTGTAATATATGTTACTTCAAAAATTGACTATAGATTTTACTTTTCATTAACTCCAACTTTTCCTTTGTACCAGCTACTCATTGATGTCTATTGGCTATTTAGTAAGGTTTGTCACCGGTATAATCGAGCTTTCAATAATGACCTTGATTGCATGTAAAAATCATAACGAAGATAATCAGGTTTTGTTAGAAGCACAATTTTAGCAAAACAAGTGTGCCATTTTTCTCCTAATTACAGTTTTAGTTTATATTTCAGGTATTGAAATGGCTTTGTGTAAGTTCTCTATATCATTGCTCGATTGATACATCTAAAATTACAGTCGCTTTGAAAGGACATGTTTCGTTTCCCTTCATTATTTAAATCTTTCTACGATAGAACCACTTGTTTTTATTTTCTTCAATGCTGCTCTGCAAAACCTAATAAAAATAGTATCATTATGTAAGCAACAGTCTATAAATGACTGAAGAAAACATGGAACAACGAGAGGGTGTCTTCCATTATTTTTATACAACTTTCATGATGACTCTTCTTTTTTTGTTAACGAGTTTCAGATCTGATGGCTAAACCGGCGACAAATTTTCAACGAAAAAGAGCGTTAGTTATCGGCATTAATGATTATTATTATTTCAATCCATTAGAATACTGTGTCAGAGATGCTCAAGACTTCAGCAAAACTCTCCAAGATATCGGATTTGAAGTAACTCCAGTATTTAATTGTAACCTCAAGGAATTCACTCAAGTTCTTAAAGTATTCCTCGATAGGACTCGCTCCACTGATTTGGTTTTGTTTTATTTTGCTGGCCATGGCAAATCATATAAATATGATAATTATTTATTACTGGCTAACTACAATCCTAGTCAATCTAAAAATGAAAGCAAAAACATGGCGGAGGGGATCATTTCAATAGAATCTATCATGAAGCAAATGGCTCATAAAAACTGGTGTGCTACAATATTCATATTTGATTGTTGTAGAAAGCACTTAAACTCTCTTGAAGAAAATAATCAGCAACGTTTCTTAAGCATGAAGGGCACACCGAAGACACTAATTGCCTACTCAAATTGTGCGGGTGCAGTAATACGTTCTGAAACAGGAAATGATAAAAACGGCTATTTGATGGGAAATTTGTTAAAACACATAATTAAGACAAATGTTGAAATTCAAGATATTCTGAGAGATGTGGCTCAAGATCTTCGTAAGCAAACTAGTGAACTGAAACGGCTCTACCACAATAGTGAATTCAATCAGAAAATATTCTTAGTGACAACTGAAGATCAAGGTGAGAAATTCTCATTTTTTATTAATTTCCTAGGTGAATCAAAAACAGAACTCAAGTTAATCCTGTTGAAATCTAACAGTTTTAGAAAAATGAAGTCATGATCGTTTTATCTGGAAGCTTTTCCTCATTACACCAATCCTTATTACGTAGGAATATAGCCTAAGAAAATTTATTACACCGGAAAATGATTACTTTCCTGTCGATATTTAGCAATTAAATTGGAACAATTTCATAGTTTCGCTCGAAAATTAATGTGAACCGATTTCAAATAGCAAATCTCGACTTGAAAAATCGTGTGTTTCCCGAATCTCACAGATTTCATTGATATGTCGCACTCCAACTGACAGAAGCGAACATTCATTTCTTTTGTGTAAAGTGATTTAATGCATTGATTTAAGTCAGAGGATTTATTTCTAATTCTAACTCTTTGAAAAAAACAGCTAATAACAGTATTTCTCATAAATCTACTAGATCCGATTGTCAAACCTATGAATGCATCTTGTGTGATGAATACACCAAGAGGCTTACCAGGAGCTGATCAACCAGTGGGTAAAAACAAAGAACTTGAACGGTCAACCAACGTCGATGCTAACGGGGACCGCACTCCCAAACGAACGGAAGAGCATATAGTGTCTCCTAGGTTAGCAGAAAAAGATAAAAGCGTTGCAGCAGGATCACAGGTGTCAAATGCGAGGAGTCAAGAAGCATTATCATCTTCATTGAGCATAGATCATGTGCCAGATCAAGTACGGACACTGAATTCATACCCAAGTGAAACATTTGGTGTTGAGGAACATATTTCGAAAGAAATACGCGATCTATTCCAACATCTCAAATACGAACTCCCAATTATGAACAAACGTGGTCCAATGAGCGGCAACTGCGTTTCTGAGACTGACCAAATGGAGAATTTCCTTAAGCAAAATTTCGGTTTTAATAATACAAACGATTACATCGTATCTGGTGTACGATCATTTCAGATACGTAGATTTCTGTCCGACGTGGATTCTCGTCAAATAATTTATTTCCCTAGAGAGCACCAGAGTGCATTCACCATGACTGTATCTGAAATCAAAAAGTGGCAAAGTTCCTATGCTGTCTACGCTGATCAAAATGTCCGAGGTATGGACAAAGCCTTTCTTCAGAAAGCTCTTCGTGGAAAAAGTGGTGATGGTGATGAAGCTTTTCGCATGAAATTCGTCGTGCGTATTTCCGATTGTCCTATTCTCATGAAATTCGATGCGAGGATATTGCGTCGTTCACTCGGAGAACAATGGCCACATCTTATTAAACTCGTTTCCGTAACCGGCGTTGACTTTGCTGGGCGAAAACACGATGTCAATGATGTCACCACCTACATCAAGAATTGGCAAGAAGTCTTCGAACTCGACCCGAAGACAGGTAAGCCAGCAGTGTTTCACGGAAGGGATTTTTATCCTGTGAGGCATCACCCTCAAGCCATGTTAGACGAAGAGCGTCTACTCCGAGACCTTGCTCGTATGGTCAGACTCAGATTACAAGCTTGCGATCAGGAAGGAGTAGAAATTGTAGTTGAGACAGGAATTGGCCTCGGTGTATTCGCTGGCAAGCACATTGGAATTGATGGTCAAGTACGAAGGCTGTCTGCCATTGCTATTCGACACGTAGTGCAAAATTATTCGACGACGTTTAAAAATATTCGTGCTATTGTGTTAGCCTTACCAATCTTCACTGGAATCAGGGATGGTCGGCGCCTTCCCGACACGTATGATTATTTTGTCGCGGAATTTCGCATGAGTCAATACTCTGGACATATACCTCTGCTTATCATTGATCAGGATATGCATGAATTAACAGTTGCCATTGCACTTAGAGGTTATCGTGTTTCTCAACTGAATCCAGCTGATTCGCATGGTGTTTTTGGTGAATATTGGCAAAACCATGGACCTGCAGTTGAAGAGAAACTTGCACTAACAACGGTTGGTTTACTCGTACAACATCATCTCATCAATCCGGCTGTTCTTGATGAGAATCGATATCACATAATATGAAATTATAAACATCTTCCAATAATGAATATCAGTAGTGCGCACAATCAAAATATTGTATCATCAGGCAATGAGTTCTTGATGAAAAACATTGAACATGAACTGCTTTTATAGAATTTTGTACCGGAATTTTTCTGAAACTTTGTTCATTCCTCATTTTTTCAATTAAAAATGTATCTTTGTATTCATGTTTTTCAAGTTGTTCCATTGTATACTAACTGAGAGGCCTAGTGTGACTTTGAGTGTAAGAGTGGGTTTATACTGCTTTATATATGAGAACTAGACACTGACTTCGATATGCATTCACACCATCGCACAACTCAATTAAATGATATCCAAATTGTATCGCATGATAATATTCATAGAAAAAATGGAACTTTTATTCATGCTCAAAGAAAATCTTGCTTTCATTTATATAGATGCGAATAGGACTCGTATTACTGATAACACCATTTAGATTCTTCTCATAATTAATTCTCGATAGGTCGTTTAATTCAAAAACTTGAAATTCTGAAAAGCAATTTCAGTTTTTCTCATTATTTTTGTGTCTATTGGTCGTTTAAATCAATACTCCTTTTTGTTTTAAATTCTTCTGGCAAATACCAATGAAAGTGCGCCACATTCGAGCATGAGTCTTCTTATTTTGTTTTTGGAAGTTGGAAGAAAACTGGCTAGCAGTAGTCGACAACATACATCAGTCTCCTATCACCTATCAGACTCCTTCATTCAGAATGAAGAGAATTTTTCAAGTATCCCTTGTGTCAACACAATTTTTCTTCCACGAAAAAAACCCTGAAGAGATGGTATGCAAAGCAAATAGGTTTTGTTTGGTCTTCCATGATGATTCATCTACGGCTAGAAGCAGTTGCTATCTGTGTTGCAATGTAGGAAGAGAATTTAATATACCTATGTTTGCCCACAAAAAAAAGGACGTGACAATTATGATGAAATTGACCTGAAAGTAGATAGATACATCTTTGTATTCCAAGCGATCTATTTTAAGATTGATGAAAAATAACTTTTACAGTAGCTGATCAAAAGTCTCGAATTACGAGGATTAGTATCATTCATAAGTCTCATGATGCTCGTGCTATATCTATTTTGTATTCTATAGCGGTATCTAGAAGAAATGAGTAAAAAGTAAATAATTTACATTATCTGAATTCTATTTACTTGTAACTCATTTATTAATATTAAAGAGTTCAGTACATAATCAATATCCTCACAACATGAATATTTGTCATTTGATAAAGTGTTTTCAAATCGACCCAAGGGAATTATTTATCTCGATACACACTTTATCTAAATGTATATTGGGTAAATATGGATGTACGATAAATCTTCACAAAAAACGTAGTTATATAAATTGAAAACTTTTCAAAGGTATGCGCACATAGAATACATGCATCGGTATGTTTCTTAATGAATTATGTTGCTGAACTGCTAGGCCTAGCTGTGCATGTATATAGACAATTAACCAATGGAAACGGAAATCAAATCACTTTTCTCTAGATTGACGGTGAATATTTTCTAGTTCGTATGATAGAGAATATCGAAAATAGTCCGAATTACATTTCACAAAGAACGATAAAACATACTTTTGATCGACAACTACTAGCTGTAGCTTCGATTAAAGTTGACAATCATGATTAAGAGTTGAAGTGCTCGAGGACGATGTTTCGTTACTCAGTGTGCCCACTATGAGTCAAGAATTCATACAAGTATCAACCTTGAGACTCGAGTTCCGGTTTTAACTTTAACATCAATGAAAACAACAAAATGATGGGCTTGCGAAGAAATTCATATAACCTCTTGACTAATCCAAACAAATCAACTTAAAGCGGTATAATCATTAATCATCTAAGCAAGTAGTCTGATAATTTCAAAGTACATCATACCATTTACTAGATGTGACAATTAGATTATTTTAATTTTAGAAAAAATTATAAATGCCAAAGTTATATTGGCTATTGTAGATTTTTGTTAAGTTTTCCTATTTTTGACATCAAAAGCCATTTTAACTTGGCGCTGATTAGCATATTGAAGTGAGCTTATATTAGTTGGCGACGTATATGTACCTCGCTCCATCGTATGGCATATATAAGTATTGTATTGTGATGATCGATAGGCACTTTCTGTTGGATAGCGATATTCAAGATCTTTAATTAGATTTTGACAGAATGGATCGTTCGCAGATACACTAGCCTTGATCTTGTCGACTTGAGCTTGTAGAATAGCACGCGATTGTCGATAATCATGTTCGGCCATGGCTTGCTCAAGCGCACGTGTAGTTTCTACTCGATTTCGTTGAATATCAAGCACACTATTGACTTGAAGAAGATCATATCCGAGATGAGAACGCCGAACTAAATTGAAAGAAACTGGATCTGTGGTGATTTTAAGACCAGTATTTAGATCTATGTATGTCACTGTCACATTACCTGTGTAGAAAGAGAAAAAAATGAATAGAAAGTAATTACAGTTGATACTTTACCAATGATTTGATTTTCAAATAGTTGAATTTCTTCAGAAGATCGAGTCAATGACATTGGCTGTTGACTATCCGTTTCGATACTTTGTTCTTTATTTTTTAGTTTAGGTATATGTAACTGAAAAACAAGATTTCGCTTTTCTTCTGCATTCAAATCATGTAAATAAATAGTAAGTTTTGTTGACGGTAATTGTTGAGGTTCATATTTATATTTTCCATGAAAATGAGTGATCTTATAGTCACCAATGAATTCCATATTAATGCGAACTTGCTGCGCAACACATGTAAATAAACCACCCAGACCCATTGCAAAGGCAGGACCTATTGCTTGTTCTTGATCCTAGTAAAAAAAGCAGATTCATTGGGATGTTGCTAGTTTGAAAATTTAATAACTACGCTTAACTTACGATATAAGTGAATGTACCACCATTGCCTTGTTCGGCTAACCGCACTAGTAATGATGCAGTATGATCCGGCCCGTAACCGAACGTATGACATTGAACAACGTTGGGTAAAGTTTCCATCAACTCTGTGTAATCATGACAGTGATTATCTTGACCATCCGTCAACAGAAATATAGCGCTCAACGAATTTTTTGTTTGACGATCAGCCAATAAACGTATGCCCATCTGCAAGCCACTTCCAATATACGTACCACCTCGGCTAATAATGTCAGTATTGATAGCATGAGTCAAGATTTGTTTGCTAAAAAATGATTGAAGAAAGTCATGCAATTAAAATGTTACTTTAAAAATAGCATCTGTCTAAAGAAATTTCTACGATGTCCAAATAGAAAAATATTTGATTTAAGAGCTTCTTTTCTAGACTTACTTTAGTTGATTCATTCTTTTGAGACCATGTGAACGATCAAATGCCTGTGTACTGAATGAAATGATCGCTAGACGATCAAATTCGTTCATTTGTTCGACAATGTAGACTAAGGTTTGTTTCAATAAAGTTATCTTGTCACCTGACATAGATGAACTTTGATCGACAACGCAGACTAGATCTATTGGAACACGAGACGACAATAAAGTATCGAGTTCTGTTGATGAGACGCTGTCTGGTGCTTGTAAAGTGACAAGACCGAAAATATTCGATTCTTCATGCGAAAGTCGAGCTCGATATTCGAATGTCGTTGATGTAGTTATTAATGAAGGATTGCCAGTAGCATTGCGTGAAGTTGAAGCAATTTGACGAGCAGACGAGAGACGATCCCAATGGGCTTGTACAACATTTTCATCGACTGGATCTTCAACCGAAGGGACAACCTAAATGATATTATCAACGTATACTTGCTTATGTGTAGAATAGCGAAGATGCATACAACTACTTACAATAATTGGTGGTAATTGATTTTGCGCTATGCGCGGTTGTTGTAGTAGTTGCGGTGCAGGTCCAGTAGAGCCTGCTAGTAACTGAACAATAGACTCCTCAATGGTAGCTCGACATAGTGGACATTCTTTATTTGTTGCTTTGATATTGGATGCTAAACATTGCAAATGAAATTTATGATTGCAAGACAATGTCAATAGAGGAGTGCCACGTGCAAGAGCACTAAGACATATCGCGCAATCGTCGGTAGTATTTCCTGCTGTAGTCGAAGAAGAAGACGTAGGTAACATTTTATTCTCTAAACTATGAGAAATTTTAAAAGAGAAAAATAAGTCAGCAAGCACAACTACTCGACAGTTTATATAGTAGAAAAGATATCGAAAAAAAAGATTACATCGTGCATCTATTGTCATCAATGACTAACTGTCACGATTATGATATGATTCATTTCTTCACATCAGCTTGAATTCAGACTCTTAGTAAATACATATATATATAAACGGTTCTTGTATCACTATGAATCCAATAGAATAAACTAAATTCAAAGGTACTATATGCTTTTTACTACTGAACAGTGCACATCTTCATGTGGTCTGCTTTATTCTATTTTCTTGCTTCACATATAAAAAAATCTTGACATTAAAACTACCGATCCGACTATAAAATCGAGTTTTATAAAAGTATCACTATGCTACTATTAATACACAGAGTAGATGAGATTTACTTTTCGCTCTCGAAAGTTTCTATAATCGAATGCCATGAAATGAATAGTGTTGCAATTTATATGGAACCTCTGTTGACGTAGATATTCATTTCAGAATTTAAAAATCTATAGATGAAACATAGTTTACAAGTACTTCGATAGAACTTTGTTGATATCATAAAATTAGAAAAACTTTTAAACTAAACTTACGAGGGAGGGTCACCAAGTGTTCAATCGCTTTTGCGTTGAAACTACTTACATTATGTAGCTTCCGATGAGTTATGAATACACTAAAAGCATGCTGGGCGGATAGCTTATTGTGACGAAACTAGGCCATTTCTAGGGTATCAGCTTTTTTGAGTGCCTTCTCCCCCCCCCCCCCGCAGGGACATAAAAAAAACTGATGTTCGAATTTTGATTTGAAACTTTTCATAGAAAGGCTCGCTAAGGCGAACAACTTCTTGTGAACGTTTCAGACCTTTCTACTATTCCTATGGTTAGACACTGGTATTGTGAAATTTTTATTGTACATCTTTCAAATGAAGTAGCAGATTTAATGAAACAAATAAATTAATCTAAGTAGTTTCAACATAACCCATGTAAAAAAAATTACGCGAAAAATCAACATATTCCTGATTATAATCGATTCGAACCTCAAATAATTGATGAAAATCTAGCAATTATGATTTATTTCGATTAAATTGACGATTTCAATGGATTTTTTTTCAGTACGGGTTAGGAATCAAAGATTTTTCATCAATTATAATCGATTCTTTTAATTTTAATGGCATAAAATCGATTAAAGGGACTATAATCGATTGTCTATGATTTTTTATTAATCAATTATAATCGATTTTGAGTAATAATCGATTTTCATTAGCATTTTATTATTTTCCCCCGATTATAATACGAAAATCGATTCAGATCTTGAATCGATTATAATCATTGAGATTAGATTCGATTAAAATAGACTCCTACTACTAATAAATTAATAAATAGGAAGATAAAAAAATTGTTAACCAATAGCATTCAATAAAAAATAGGAAAGTTGCCAGAACAAAATACTTTGCAAAATGCTGATTGAAATATTTGTTTCACTAATATAGAGATATCAACAACATATACGAAGAGCATCCAAAAATCGATTATGTAAATAACACTGAAACTCGTATTTCTATTTCCCTAATCTTGTTGGTTTCACATAAACTCACGGACAACTTTCTAGCAAAGAGCTTGCGTTGCAGCCTGCTTTAAATGCAACAATAAACATATTGTTTCTAGACTGTATTTCTGATCAATAGTTGGCCCAACTAGGGGCGAACCGGGAATACAATATCTACTCATTAGATGACGTAGATAAGGGACAATCGATCGTATACAGCAGAGTAGCGATGGCAATAATTAAAATAATTGATTGCACAAATCTTCATAACCCTGAGTTATAATATGAGATTCCTTTTAATATACAACTCACGAGGGAACCGCCCTGAAGTGATTTAGGGGTGACCCTTTATCTTTATTTTCCTTTATACTAAAGGATAAAGATAAATGAATCTTTTATCTTTAAAAAATAAAGGTAAATGATTGAAAACGCATCTATAATTGAGTTTTTACAGATAGATGGATCATTTACATTTAGAAAATAATGGGAAATGATTGAAAAAGAATCATAATTTATTTTCTAAAGATAAATGATAAAGGACTCATTTATCTTTAGAAAATAAAACAAAACTAAAGGAATAAATGATTTTTATTTTCAAGCGATAATCGGGTGGAAAGTATTCTAGAATTGTAGAACTCGTATTTGTGAATATTTTTATCACTGAGTCGATGTATTTTGGCTGAAAACAGGGATCTCTGAAATGAAATCAACTAGTACTACTTTACTAGTATTTAGTAGGGATGTACAGCTCAGACTCATTTTAGTGAGTGGTCATCAGTGACAACCAGCTATGGGGGTTGAATGAGTACGAGAGATTTTGAGGTTCGTAGCACTAGTTATAAAGAAGTAAAATTAACTACAGCTTTGGTTATTGACAACTGAAAACCCTCATGCTCACGATCACTCATTCGCGCTCATTTCAAAATGAGCGTGAGCTGTGCACCCCTAGTATTTAGGGGATTTCAGTTAGAAAAATATAGATTATATTAAAACTAGTAGCAATCTAAAATATAACCGAAAGGCACATAGATTTGTTCCGTTTTTAATCCCGATTCAGAATATGCTATTAGTTTTAATATAATCTATATTTTTCCAACTGATATCCCCTAAAAACTAGTAAAGCAGTACCAATTGATTTCACTTCAGGGATCCCTGTTTTCAGTCAAAATACATCGACTCAGTGATAAGAATATTCACAAATACGGGTTCTACAATTCTAGAATACTTTCCACCCGATTATCGCTTGAAAATAAAAATGATTTATTCCTTTGGTTTTGCTTTATTTTCTAAAGATAAATGAGTCCTTTATCATTTACTTTCTCAAGATAAATTATTCATTTATCTTTATCCTTTAGTATAAAGGAAAATAAAGATAAAGGGTCGCCCCTATTCACATCGAATATCTTCAAGCTCGTTTTTTTCCGTCTATTCAAGTGGAATATGTCAGACTTGTTTTTCGTTCTGTTCCATTTATTCACTTGGAATATCTTCAAACTTGTTTTTCGTTTTGATAGCGGTTGCTTTTTTTTGGTTTTTTCCATTTATTCAAATGGAATATGTCAGACCTGTTTTTCGTTTTGATAACGACTGTTTCGATTGACTTGTTCCTTTGTCTTGGAGAGGAGTATTATCAGTTCGTTTAGTAAATAATAAGGAAGCAGAAGTATTTTTTGTTGCGTAAGTAAAAATTCTGAATGATGTTACTCAGTGAATCCTGATGAAATCTTGAGAACATGCTTTCTGAAAAGTAAAAAGAACTCTACTGTCTCTCGTTGTGAGTCGGCATAAGTGGAGGTCATCGATGGTATGTTGTTATGTGTCTAATATCGATCTCAAAGGATTACAATTCGTTTGAATCGCCTGTTTGCTGATTTTTAGTCGATTAGAAACAGAAAAAATCAACTGAAGTTGGTTGAAATCAGTGGCATTTGGAAACAACCGTTGCTTCGATTATAACCGATTTCAGCTAATTAAAATCGATTCTGAATCAATTTAAAATCGATTATAATCATACACCTTTTCATCGATTACTAACTGATTAGGAATTGATTACAATGAGTCTTAATCGATAATAATCGATTAGAACAGCGGAATAACTGTTTTTTCTGATTATAATCGATTAAAAGGTGTATGATTATAATTAATTTTTAATCAAAACGGTAATCGATTTTAATCTGATTTTACCCCTATTTTTTTTCACATGGGAAAAGCGATTGAACACTTGGTGATGGTGACCCTTCCTCGTTAGCGTAATATATCTTTTGATGGAGTTTACATTTTTTTAAACGTAATAATTAGCCTACAACTAAATATAATCAAGTTTTTCAGTAGCTTATTCTTTTTAAATATCGAATTGTTTGAATATTTCTTAATTTTTCAAAAGTGATCGAACTTCATAGCATAGAAAAATAAAATATGATTATTGAATGCTATTTTTCGAACAATGATATCAATCGGCAGTTTCAATATAATGAAATGAAACCACATAAAACAACGGAAACCATCTTTACTTCTTATTGAAAACCTTTATTTGATTCGCTATCCCATTATTGATCGACTTTCTGCACACACATTTTTTTTTCTTCATGTTTTTTTTCCTCTTAAGCAAGCCATGTGTTGTTTATACTCCATGTGCGAAAGGAATGAAAAAAAAATGAATGGATTTGTCTTTATTTTATTAATATTGATTTATAGCAGAACAGTATAAAAAATGCTTACTTATGAAATGTACACGAATTGCTTGACATATTAGTTGTCGAAAAAAACTTGTTTTTTCAAAGGGTGAGTGAGCAAATACTCGTCAAACATGATTTTTTGTTCTGTGAAAATTTCAGTAATTTATTTAGATTTAAATACGTAAAATAATTTTTTTCTTCTACTACCCAGTCTATTTTTCTTCTCCGCCAAAATAATCACAAAACAAAAAAGAAGTCGTAAGTAAATATTATTATATTTTTGCGTAGAGAGAAAAGTCTTTGGCGTTGTATCACATAGCAGACTGCTTGCTTCTTTTCTTTTTGCGACAAAAAATTTCGTTAAAATAAAAAAGATTAGCTTTTTTTTTTAGAAATTTTCGACAAATGGCAAGCGAGAATAACGATGTGCAAAGTTTAAAACAATGTATACAATTAATGGTCACCGTTATTTCTGCTAACATTAGTAGCTTCGGAAAAAAAGCTAATGAACAACAACTATTAAATGATCTTCAAAACACAATAGAAAAAACATTCATTGAGAAGGCCAATTCATCTTTATCTTCTCAATGTAGAAACTATCTTTCGGACATATTAAATAGATATAATTATGACGCTGAAGACCAAGTTTTTTCTACGAAGTTTACCAGAGAAACCGTAGATCGTTTACTGCATGATTTGCAGGATATTTTAGCTTTAATTGATGCTTATCAAGCTGCATGGAATGGGAATGAGTCGATTGTAAAAGATTTTATTGAAAAATATCCAACATTAATAGATAAACCTAGTTTTTATGGAACAACTCTATTATATTCTGTAGCACGAAACAATCATATTAATTTAGTAAAATATCTTGTTGAAATTGGCAAATGTTCTGTGAACGTACAGAACGAAGATTATTCTGAAAGATCTAAAAAGTCATCAGCAAACGCGGCTGTTGGCTCGACAGCATTACATGCAGCTTGCTATCAGGGACATTTACAAATTGTGAAATATTTAATTCAACATGGAGCTGATTATTTTATAACCAATGCTATAAGTGAAACTCCAATTGACAATGGACTAACAAAACCTAATATTCAAAAGTTTTTTGCCGACTTTCTTCTTTCTACTTATTCAAGGGGTTCAGATATTATTCCAAAAAGAAGCATTCTTGAAGAAATTGAACGCAAACAAGAATATATCATTGATTGTTTTTGGGAATATAAACCAACGACTGATAACCGATGGTTTACGTTTTCACCAGATGCATCATCGCGGCTTCAACAATCTTTAATAGTAGATTCTGATAAAATACTTATTACTGAAATCGATTTGAAAGCATCTCGAGATTCTCAAAAAATCTCGATAATACAGTTTTTACTCAAACGAAAAAATGATCAACCAGAGAATTCGGCATGGGTTCGTTGTAGAGGCTCATCTCTCCTTAACTTCCGTTGTTATTCACAATGGCAAATCTTGTTCATCAAACACCCAACCGGCGAAATAAAGCCTTCGCCTACAATCGAAATATTAGATATGAAACCAACTAAAATACGGTTAAATTCATGGTACAATATGGATAAGAAAAAAAATTTCTTATTGGAAAGAGCAATGAATTATCGACGAAAATATATCACTATTAATTTGGATTTCATCAATAATGAACAAATAACATTCGATCTCGAAAATTTTATTTTCAATAATCAACAAGATACAGTTGGGGGTTTCTTAAGATGGGTCCCAAAATTCGTGTCCTGTGCTACGAAATTACCATTGACTAATAATTCTAAATTATCAGCTACTACTGATATAACATTACTTACTACTTCATATGTAAAACAAGCAAAACGCGATAATTTGATTCCCAGTGATGAAATCGATCAATATAGTCTAAAAAGCGATAATATTTTAAATGATGATATTTTGGATCTTTCAGATAAGGTTTGAATTTGAATCATTCGTCCTCAGTTGAGATTTTTCAGTCAAAATTAAACAGAACTTTTAGAAGATTCAGAAAACGATAGGGTGAACTGTACTTAGAGCGTAACAGACTCTAGGGAGTTATAGAGTTCATCAACATAATCAATACGAAGCTAATTTATGTAAGCAAGCTTTGACCAAAACAAGCAAGAGTCTTTCAGCGCTCAAAGCTACTGAAGTAATCTGATTTTGACCTTCCATAAAAAATAAGATCTCAAAGTAATTATCAATGCATGTATTAACTTAATTTATAGAATTGCGAATTAATAGAAATAGTTCTGAACATGATTTTTTAATATTTAAAAAAAATGTATGGATGCTTTATAAAAAAAAACGAAACTTAACTTGTGGTTTTGTTTCTGACTAGAAATCAAATCTATCTACGTATAATTTTAACTATAACTTATATATGTCTTAAAGATTAATCAACAGGAAATCTATATTACAAATTTTTAACAGCTTCTCATATTCCATAGATTGCCTATAGAAAATTCGTCTCGTTTGTTAGATGAAAATGATCAAGTTACGTTCGAATTTTTTTTTTTTGAATTTGAAGAATCATTTGTTTTCTTTTCACAGCCAGTAATGAAGGAATATGGTTCGAATAAATTTATAAATGTTATCCAGGGTAATCTGCTGGAAGAAAAAGTAAGGTGAATTTTGTAAAGAATATATGTAGGTTGAACTTAGTTTAGACGGATGTTATTGTCATAAGTTCGTCGTCACAATATTTATTTGAAAGCGTTATGGATGTGGGTGGAAAATCTTTACGAATTGCTTACAATGCCAGGCACAAGCAAAATGCACACCAGCCAGTTATTAGTATCCCGACAGATGGCAAAATTACATCAAAAGCAGTTTATTTTGTTGATTGGCAACCAAACGATAATCCTAAGCTACTTTGTCGATCTATTCAACACTTAGTTTCCAATGTAATAGAAACAGCAGCCAGTGAAAATTATAAAAGTATCGCATTTCCAGCGATTGGTTGTGGTCACTACGGATGTTCAGCTAGTCTCGTAGCACAAACATTTGTTAAACAAGTTGAAAAAGAATTAATTAACCATCCAATGATGATTTCATTTGTTATTCAAAAAGATAGACCAGAAGTTTATGATGAATTTCTACAGCAAATTGGTTCAGACGGACAAAAATTAGAAGCCTCAACACCGAAACGAATGTTAATAAAAGTAGGCGAAGCTACACTAGAAATTATAAAAGGAGATATTACAAAACAAAATGTAAACATATTTACTTATCAATTCAAAGTAGTAGATTTTTTATTTTTTCGAATCATAGGCTCATGTTATTATTGGAAGTTCATCATCTGAAAATTTAAGATTAGCTTTAATCGATGCTGCAGGGACACAAGTCGAGAATGCTTATAATGATGCCTATAGAGACAATCCAAATTCAATAATTATTACGACTCCAGGAGGCAATTTAGAATGTCAAAAAATATTTTTTCTGAAATGGGAGCCAAACAAAAATCCGGACATTCTGCGACAGTCAATCGTCGATCTCATCTGGAATGTTATTCAAAATACGATTTCACATGGTTTTACTTCGATCGCTTTTCCGGCTATTGGATGTGGCGAACACAGTTGTGCTGTTGATATTGTTGTTAAAACAATGATTAGAGAAATGAAACAACAAATGCAATCGAGAAGGTTAGCATGGCACGTTAAATTTATCGTTCAACCTAATCTACGCGACGTTTACGATGAATTTTGTAAGCAACTTCTCTCATTAAATAAAGAACCCATCGATTTTCAAGTCCCAACAACATGGGAAAGAGATGATGAAAATAACATACGGTTCAGTGTATTGCCCAAAACAAACGAATACAAAATGATTAAACACGGTTTTCATCAGTCAATGGGAAATAAGTATCGTGAAATTATCAATATTGAACGTATTCAGAATGAACGATGGTTTATGCAATATTTGGCACATTCAAGAGATTTTTATAAACGATTAAATGAGAATACTGAAAAACAACTATATCATGGTTGTCCTGAAAGTGCAACGATTGCAATTATGGAAGACTGTTTTAATAGAAGTTTTGCTGGTGTTAATGGTATTGTTATCACATTTGATATTTCCTAATCGAGATAGATTCGTTTCAGGTACAGCATATGGTGTTGGTGTTTATTTTTCATCGAATGCAGCTTATAGTCATGGCTTTGCTAAAGCGAATTCTAAAGGAGAACGATTCATGTTTGTAGCTCGTGTTCTGATTGGAAAAACAATCCAAGGAAATAGTTCAATGAAAACTCGACCTCTGGGCTTCGACTCAACAACAGATGGAAATCATATTTTCGTTACCTACCATGATGCACAAGCGTATGCTGAGTATTTAATTACATATAAATAAATACAAGACTTCAATTTTCTTTTATTTCTGGCTCCTACATAGTGTATTCTAGATGAGCATTTATTTTTTATATTTTTAAAAAAAGAATCATTTATTCTTTTATTCAATCCATTGATTTTGAATGTAGCAACGCTGTCAAACCTATTTGAATCATTGAGAGAACACGAGAAAACTATGGTTTGTTTGGTTTTAAACCTCAAGTAATGAATTGCAATTTTCGTCACATATCTCAACTTCAATCCTATGAAATAAATGTATTTAATATAACAAAACGTCAAAGAGAACAGATAGAACACATCCATCGTATACGAGGAATGTAAATATCTTTTTACTGTATGACACATCGGATCAACTTTTTCTTTTTATCCTATCAGCCATACGTTCCGGCTTGTGCGAAATGCTACGATATAAAATCATATTGATCATATGAATGAATAGTACTGACAAGTGAATATATAGTGTACAAGAAGTTTGGTTCAAACTAAAAAAATGTGTCAGGTTCTTTTTATTGAAGCTAATAGTAATCGTGAGTAAAGGCACTTTCTGTTTTGTTAATAATTACCTCATGAAAAAAAGACCTTTGTATAGGTCGACTATCATCTCTAAAAATAGAATCAACACACTTAATTGTAATGTAGTGGATGTAGATGATGAAATATCTATTTCTCTCATGTAGGTGCAAAAGTCGTCCTCTGAGTTGTGTCATAAAAATTAATGAGGCAACTGACTAGCTGTGTTTTCTTCTGCCTACTTGTTTTCTGGATCACGTGTATGAGTGACTATATAAAAACTCGTGAGAGATAGATGACATATCGATGCTCTTTATTTAACATATTGTACTAGGCGGCTATTCCATTGGCACAATCATCATTTCTTATTCATTGACAAATTATTCAATATATTTCTATCTTTTCCCATTATCTGAGTCACAATTCCTGTATACAAAAGTTAATTAAAATCCACATTATATTCAGAGTATAGTGGCAAAACAAATATGCCGAACGCTGCCACGAATACGAGCATTATTGATCATATTGTATTAGACGGTTCTATATTGACTTTATATTCATTGACGTTTGTTATTGGTGTTATTGGAAATCTATTAGTGCTCAAAGTGATTTTCTATCAACGAAAGAAATGCTCTGGACGATCAAAAACTATTACGTCAACCTACCTGGCTCATTTAGCATTAACCGATCTATTATCAGCTACAACAATTCCTTTACAATTTCTCTTTTGTTCATATTATTTATTGGAAAATTTTAAAATTTGCTCATTTCTATGCGTAATATTTAAATCCATACAAATTCTTTCGTACAATGTATCAATATTAACCATGGTCGTCATTGCAATAGATCGTTATCTATTAATACATTATCCACTTCAATCATCAAATAAACGTTTCGAACCGAAATATTCACTTTTAGTCGTATGGCTGTTAGCACTGCTCTATGCCATTTCATGTCTCCGGTGCATGAAGGTCTCAGAATATTTTCAATCATCGCAAGAACTAATCGGTTGTCGAATTTTATTTGATACCCTACTGCCACACACCAGTTTTCTATTTCGTAAAATACGTGTAACCATAGCGGCTGTTTATTTTTATTTCATTCCATTATTGATAACAGCTTTCCTGTATATTTTATGTGTGCGTACCATTTCGGGAAGGCCATCTGTCGGAAATTCTAGTAAAACGCTGTTTAGCGAATCAAAGAAACGAACCATGAAAATGTTAATTATTCTTTTACTGGTTTTTGCAATTTGTTGGCTGCCGATTCAAATCATGAATTTAAAAGACTTTTATTTACCGAGTCGTAAATCAATGTTTCATCCGTTAAACAAAAGAAAATGTAATGCATCCACAACATATTGTATATTCTACTGGATTGCTATTAGCAGTTGTTGCTATAATCCTTTTATATATAGTTGGTTGAATAAGAATTTTCGACGATCTCTACGAGTGCCATGCTGTTCAAAATACGATCAAAAACCGAGATGTGGTTCAAATGTTAATCAAGCATCAAATGTTTTTTATTCAACAAATTTTCAAAAGTTATTTTCAACGAAAGCGACAATTTCGACAGCAATCCTCATCAGCTATGAGTAAACGAAAGCATCTTTTTTTGCACCCTATTACAGCGTAACATTACAGAAAAGTATATGAAACATTACTAATATGCAAGCTGTACTAATCGATGGTCTCTACTTGAAATTAACAGTGGATACTTTGATATGTCTAGTGTAAAGCGAGGCATTGTTTCAAAGTTATTTTGGATATTTTTTCAAATCTATTGCACTTTGTATCTATCCGCGCCAAGTTAATGTACCATGCATTTATTTCTTATACTTCATTGTTTATGTTCTTTCAAATATGGAAAAGAATGTCACGTTTACATCATTAAAACAAGAAATTCCTTTGCTTTAATAGCTTGAAAAAAAACCATATATATACTTGTCACCTGTTCTTCCTTCTAAAGTATCTCATGTAAAATATATTCTTCTACATATGCCTATTTCTATGGTGTATTGTATTCTTATTGTAATATAATGTTGAAATAAATGTATATATAATTATATATATAAACAATCCTGGTGTTTGAATAAATTAGTCCAGTAAAAATATTCTTTTTTTTATTCAAAAGTTTTTTAATATGGACTTCATAATTTGAGCAAAATCTATCAGGGGCTAATCACAGAGATATTATGTTAATTGGCAATAAATTGCGTTCCCACGAACAATAATTGTAATCGACATTTAGGATTTTTTTTTGATGAGATGTGGAAGTTTCAGCTGAAAATTGTAAGAAACACTCACTATTTAGCCCATCGATTAATCACATAGTTCCTGATGTGAATTTTCTTGAATTTCACAAAAACCATGAAATTCGAAATGCAGTAAGCCGAGATTTGTTTTATCATCGATAGTCCTTGAAACAATGTTACTCCATCCAAGTAAGATCTTCCACACACAAAACACATATCCTATACATTTTGATTATGCTACTACTACGCTTGATCAGTGTATAACGTAACTATCTCGCATGACTATGTAGATTATATTTCGTCTAGTTTTATGTCGAATGTTATAATTCTTGCGAAATATTACACTAAGAAGACTCACACTTGAATAGTGTAAATATTGAAAAGGCCAATGTCTGACTGTTTACAACTTGATCCTTTGATGAAGTGTCTTATAATTTTCGGATAGCAGTTTTTCGGTTTTTATAAGATTTTACAAAACTATAATAATAGACAAAGATAGATATAGATAGAAGATCATGCATGCATTAACGTATAATCAACACATCAGTAACGCCGCTTGTTGAAATCAAAACAATGACTTGTAGACACATCTAATATGGAGTGTTTTATAATTTGCCGACACCCTGTAATTTATTTGTTTCAATAGCTTGAAAAATATATACTTGTCATTTGCTCTTACTTCTAAAATATCACATGCAAAACGTATTTATTCCACTACGCATGTCTGTTTCTATAATTCACTATATACTTAATATAATATAATGTTGAAGTACATGGTCCAAAAATCACATTTTTTTTAAAATTCAATTGAGAAAAATATGGTGTTCGACTGAATTTATTCAGAAAAGGTTTTTTTTTTTAAATTGATCTTTTTCATAATATTCTATGTGCATGTACTAGAGAAATCTTATGGATCGATTTTGATATTATGTCTTCTTTAGCGTCGCTGATTTAATATAATTGCATATAGTAAAATGATAATAGCTTAGTTCAATTTAGCGAGCAACGAATTTCCCCTACATGATGGATAACGTTGATCATTTTAATTCGTCTGAAAATTATTTTATCATTATTGAGGAAGTCAGTCGATTCTTTTAATAGTCTATTTCCATATAAATAAAGCAAAACAAAAATAATTATATCATATTTATTACAAAATCTTCATATTCTAGTTTATCGACACAAGTTAATTTCGCAAAAACAAAACTCAAATATAATACAAATAAAGAATAGCCTGTAATGAATAAAAATTCAAAAATTATAATAATCAATAAATAATAAGTTTAAAACAATGAAGAAATCATTCAGTCATTAACAACGACGACGATTGGACTTTTTCGATACACGTCTTTTAGTAGAATTCACTTTTAATCGATGATTGCCATAAACCCTGCGTAGATACTGTTTTTGAAATAAATCATGTTTTTGAAATTTTATCACCGGCAAAAACTCAATACTCACCATTCGCCAAAGAACAAGACTCATTGAAAGTAAACTGATGAGAGCTGCTATAACCATTAAATAAGTAGAAAATCCATATTGAACATATACCGTCGGAAGTTGTAATTCAGAACTCATTGAAAACGTCCAATGAGAAGTAAACAGCAGTAGACCACCTAACGCAACAAATATTGCTGAACAATAGGATAACAAATTTGCTTGACGGTCATAACACTTTTCTTCGTCAGCGAAACCTATTAAAAAGCAAAATCTATTAAAAAATAAATTGAAAACAAAATGTCATTTTTACCAGTACAAACTGTTCCTATAATAAGAAATATTACACCAACAATAGCAAGACCTAAATGAAAAGATAGAGCTTTTTATTTGCAAGACAAAAAATTCAATTACCAATAGACGGTCGAGCAATGGATTGTTTACAATGGCCAGGTCCAAATGATCTATGATTTGGTTGACGGAGATACGTACAGATATCCATTAATCCTGTATTAATCTTAAAAACATAACCACTGGCATTTTCATAATTGATCTTTACATTATCATAAGTTGCAAGTGCTGTTAATAACGGTGAATGATAAATAACTTGAACAGCTTCATAATTTTTTAATGTAGTTTTCTCCCATGAACTTGAATTAATAGAAAATAGAAATAGAACATTTAAAAATACTAATACGATAAAAACTTACCAAGTTGAAATAGCAATCATCGCCAACACTATAGCCGTCAACTCTAGTACAACAAAATTATAGCGCAACATGGATATGGTAGAATTCATTACAATGGATAAACGTGCCCGCTACAGGGTTGGAAAGGATATTACTGATTTGATTGACAGTGATGTCTAGTGATCGAGAAGGAGAAAGAAAAAAAGAAAGAGAATCATATCCAGGGATTTGTGTCGACAGTATCATTCTTTATTCGATATATTCGAATTGTTTAAGTCACATGTTCAAGTTAATTTCTCAAATGGTCGTGACACATATTTTTTTCATTCTTCAAATTCTAACTGAAATCTGTCTTTTTCGTTATACGTTTGAGTATTTTAAAGTTTCGCAGTGCAAAAGATATAAATCGTATTCAAAAGAATTTCTTTACCATACGATATACAAGCATAATAACTTTTGCTTTTTTTTACTATTCCTTTGTTCGCACAGAAAATAGTACAAACGTTCATGTTTTCTATTGATTCCATGAATGGCCATGTGCTCCTGAAGAATTTCTGTATGTTTCATGTTGAGGTTCTATTTCTTGTTGGATTGTAATAGTTATAACAGAATTGTATTTTCTCAATCGTGACATAAAAATAGTTAAGTTAAAACAATCGAAGTGATATTTCTTTTGTTGAAATCTTGATGTCGGGATGATTATTTGATTGGGACTATATTTTAAAATATTTGAATGATACCACCATCGACATGAACAAATCGAATGTTAATTCAAAGTCAAGAATAGATTCTGGTTTACGTATATTTACTCGTTTGATCTGTTTTTATAGATTGAATCTATTCTGATTAAGTCATTATTTTATTCTGTTTAACATCACACTTAGGTTACGATGTGTACTGAAATAATTCCCTACAATCAATACAAGAATTGGATAAATAATTCTTGCAACCGTTACTCAAGCGAATTTACATTCTCTGTTATTAATGCCATGCTTGCAGAATACATAAACGTAAAAAGTAGAACTTATGTTTACATCAATCAGTTCGTTACAATTATTCCACTCTCCTATATTGGTTGAAGAGACAAGACATGATTTATTATAAATTCGGAACGCTTTAGCTTTCACGTTTAACACTCATCTGCGGAGTTTCATCATTATGGACGAAATGAATCAACAAACTACCGATGATAACAAGAAGAATACAACATCACACAACAATCAATGTTCCGACGTTTACCATTCGAGCCTCTAAATCGGTCATCCATGAGTGAATCGGCAAAAATTATACTGATCATATTTGTAAACGTATCTAATAGTTTTAACTAGCGGTTATTTCCTATTGCAGGATCAAATCTATGTCGAATATTAAGGAATATTAATTATGCATTGCATAAAAGTCATCCCGTGTGATTATTTTAAAATTGTGAATCCTTAATTTCGACGATATTCTATCGTGCTTTGAAAAAAGAAAAATGTTGGAAAAACTAACGAACTAAAAGTTTCATAATGACATAAAATTTCGCACCTTTGCAAGTAATCTATCCTAGTAAATGTGATTAAAAATCGAAAACTACTTTTTTCAAATCGTGGTAACTATATATACGCCCATTTTCCAGTCTTCTCTGAATGGAAAATCCTTGTGAAGTGTGAGATTGAAGTGACGCCATCACAAGAACAGAACTTCACCCAACAATAAATAATAGCCATAGATGAGATCGTTTTCCTATTACTTTAGTATTTTTATTCGATTTCTCGCATGATATATTGCTTACTATGGCAAAAGTATTCAAAACAACTAGTTTATTATGGGTGTGTCATTAAAATGAGAAGAATTAATGTGTATTTTCTAAACTGTTGTATTATAAGCTTAATTTGTAGTCAAATAGAGAGAAGACGATCAAAAGCAGTAATTTTTTATGATAAATCAAGTCTTCATTTATAAAACTGAATCGCATTTTACCAATCGTCCTACCTTTTCTATGAATGAGACATCATACCCCCCCCCTCCCACCCCATTGAACCAGTTTTTCTTTTCATCCTCTGAGAACGTATTAAAGCATCATGATTTCTGTTGAAGCACCAAGAATTTCTAATGTGTATATATGGCTTCTCTTTATAACTTATAGCATTTATAAGCTTATCAAAGACTAGATCAAATAAGCATTCAAACTAGAAATCTTATGATATGAGTTATTGTTGTATTTGCTTAATTCGTAGATTATGCTTATCCATAGTGTGATAAGCTATTCGAACTTAAGACAAATATTAAATAGACTTGGTTATATCGGGATACGGTTTTCACACCTAGGTATAACTGTGATAGAATTATCAATTCATTCAGCTAAATTCTAATAGATTTATAATCGGAAAATGAGCTGCTACATATCTCGTTAATAGAAATAATTAATGAAATGATTTTGCCAAGGGGGAAAAAGCTGAATTTTTGACTGCCCAGATTGGTTTGATTGCCAATGATTGCTTTGATTGCAATCAGCTTTTTTCCCCTTGGATTTCGTAGTGTACTAATGAGTAGATTCTTAGAAAACGTTATCCTTATCAATAAAGAAACTCGAATTTCAGATTTTAATTTTAATGTGTAAGAAGGTAATTAAATCAGTTAATTTATCTCAAGTCTAGTGTTGGCTGGATTTGTGAATGTGGCTGTCTAAATCGGCATGATCAATAGCCACATATATTTCCATATGAACTAGATGTGCTTGATAATATATATATACAGCAACACAATAAAGATCTAAACACGTATTTGAAAGTTCATCTTAAAATAATTGTGGAGGTAAAAATGTGTTAATATTCGCAAAAAATAGAAATAATTTCATTTTGTCAGTATTCAAGTCCTTAATACCATTACAGGGATGGGTATATATGTGCGCTAGTATGAGTGAAGAATATAGGTTGGAAAAAATATATTTTTCTCGATACTCATTTATCCACCAGTTCCTCAAAGCAACAATAAAACACACAAAAGCTATGAATCCGAATTTAGTTGACATCCATACTCGCGTATTCACCAACGTAGACACCCTTAAAAGATTTCTTAATTTATTTTGATCAACAAATCAATTTCAAAATAAACTGCAGCATTCCCATGGGGAAAAGCTAGATTAAAAAATAATTTTTCTGCTAATGTTAAATCAATTGTACTTTTAGTATCGCGTAAACTTTACTACACGTTGATTACTTGTGTCTGCAACATACAAATTAAGTTCAGAATCAAGTGCCACCGCATATGGTAAATACAACAGCACACCAGTGGCACCCACCGTGCCTGTGACACCTGCAATAGTTGTCGCATTTGCTTGACCAGCTAGAAAAAATTGTATACGACTATTTGAAGTGTCCGCCACATAAAGGTTACCCATGGGATCACATGTGAGGCCGTATGGGCCATTTAGCATTGTTGAAGTGCTACCAGGAGCTCCAGCTGGGTGCCCAGCAACAAGTGTCCAACCAGTGGCACCTAACACCCAACGCACAACAGTGCTGGCAGGCTCATTCACGATGAATAGACCATTTGATGATGAATCAAAATAGACTCCTGTAGGTGAGTATAGTTGTGTAGTAAGTGTTCCAGCTCCATTTCCACCAGCAGCTACAGTACCTGACGATGCACCTGATGCATAACGCATAATTCGATGATTCCCAAAATCGGCAATGTAGAGTGTGCCTGTCGATGAATCACGAGCAAGACCACGAGGAGTGTTCAGCTGAGCCAACGAAGAACCAAGGGTGCCTAAAAAACGATGCAAAACTATTGAGTACGGACAAGAAATCTCTCGTGTGGAAATGGGATTTCAAGTTGATATAATCAGCAAATACTTATTAATGTTACATTATGAGATAAAAGCTGAATCATGCATCTAATATTTGCTAATAATTCTTTCAGAATAAAAAGAAACAAATTCTTCTAAGTCCAAAAGTGAGAGTAAAAAGCTGCTAGCGCAATCCCTGTTGAATTAAAATGCGAAACACGATGAAACTTCTTTCCGGGAATCCGTTTAGCATGCTCTGTGATGGTTTGTGGAGCTTCTCTGTCGTGGTCTGTGTTATGATGTATGGAGTCTCTAGAAGTCACAACAGACCGTTACAGAGAGATTCATTAATTCATTAACCAACTAACTGATTATTTAATTTCTCTGTAACAGCCTGTGTGTGAGGGAGGAGGGGGGTCCAAATTTCTACCCTATATACTTCAACACTCCTTTCATATCGTGTTTCACAAAAGAAGTGATCAGCTGTATGCTGATATATTTTCCTCTGGTGATTACTTACCAGTGCCAGCAATAGTTGTTCCAGAGGAAGAACCATTGAGCCAAAGTTGAACTCGATGATTGGCCGAGTCTGATACATAGAGATTGTTGCTTGAATCGAGAACAATACCAGCGGGTAGGGCCAAATGAAAAAGTGTGGAGCCACTGACTCCATCTGGTTGTCCAGCTACAGTTGAACCAGTGGCTCCACCGCTTACCCACTTTTGAATTCTGTTATTATTATAATCTGCGACGTAAAGTTCATTGGATGCTCCCAATGCTAAGCTAATAGGACTATATAATTGGTTAGACGCTGAACCATGCACTCCCCCTAAGCCTGCCACAATGGATCCCGTTGTATACCAGCGTAGTCCAAGAGAGGTATCTATAAAATAAATATTTATTCAAAGAATAATAGTAAAATAACCGAAAAATTTGCTGATCATTTTTAACTTATAATTAGATTATCAATCAAGTGCTTGGTTTATCTGATGCTTTGTCCAAAAGCAAGATATATATATATATATATATATAACGCACTCGTTTTGATTAGTCATATCTACTTGCATCATTAGTATACAATAGAGTAGACATGTACAAAAGATAATTTTAGTATTGTTGCAAAAGAAGAATTTTCTCAGCATTTTAGTCTGATAGCGTCGAAAAGTATATGTTTTGGCTTGGATTATAGATATTTTATGTATGCTAAATTTGGACTAATTTTCTCTCGATCTATTCTATGTCACAACTGTGAATACTTGTTTGCATTTTGAGAACTCGATATCTAGTCGAAACTAATTTGATCTGAAGAAGATGATATTTTATCATCGATTCTCGAATTCAGACAAAAATATATGAGTAAAGAACATTATATATTCACTTGTTGTTGAGCTATTCGTCGATGTTGCAGATCTTGTAACCAGCGAGTAAATACCGATTGATAACGCCCCCATAGAACCAAGAATGGCGACGCTACCAAGAACAACAAGCAATACTTTCGAATATTTCATTTTGCTACTTGTTGTATTTGGTTTCATAATTTTAACATTCTTAATATTTCTATGGTACATCAAGAATTTTACTAAATGATTTTGTATAAAACCAGTGGATGTACTTACTTAGCGTTGTTCTTTGATGATGGCTCGACACAATCAGTGATGACCGATACCGAAGAAGAACCTGATGGCATTTTTCGATATTCACCGTTTCGTATCTTTTTTGATTGTAATGACATCGGTTGAGGGGCGGTATATTCAGTTGGCGTGATCCATGCTTCTGGAATCGATTGTACCTGTACATTTTCGTTAGGTTTTGTTTTCAAAGTCGGTTTTGCCTAGATGAGAAAGCAAAATATTTGATTTGATCATTCCGATTAATGAGTATTGATGATTACGTGTTTAGATCGGGAAACAACTATTACATGATTAGCTGTTTGAGTATTCATACTTTATTGTAGTTATGTACACATATAAAAATGAAAAATGGCGAGAAAAACTAATTTTCAACTAGAATTTATTATTCTTGTTTTTTTTATGAAGCAAGTAAATTGTAGTAGGTCAATAATTTATGCTAAAGAATTCTTATCAACGTAATTTATACAATCACTCGATAGCTTTCACCATGTCATTTTACACTAAGGAATAGAAAATTTTAAAAAAATCGAATCGCGCCTGTCTATCTTTACTTTACATACTCTACGTGGCAAACACTTGCCTAAATACAAATCGTAAAGTTTAGATGTGAACTTTCTATGCTATATATATTGATGAATTTTTGTACTAATGCATCTAATAGGCATCGTCAACTGTGTATGATGTCAGTTCATCGGCACTATATAGTTGTCATTTTCAATAAAACATTATCGAATGATATTGAATAATATGAATAAATGCTATAAACCTATATTTCTTGATTTATATCAACAACAATAGTTTTTTTCAGTGAATTAAGAAAAAATTCTTTCTCTTCATATTTTCACAGGTTGTGGGTGTCTAATAACCTTACATTATACCGATGTATAATGCAAGCTCACTTCAAAAAATTCAATCTGCAGTAGACCTATTATCAGTAATATTTCAGAACAATTGGCTCAAAATTTCAGTATAATGAAGGATAGAATGGTCCCATATATAAGGAAAAACGCATTTGCCATGAGCCTCTATTGGACTCGATAGTGGTTTTACTTTTGACATATATCTTTCACAATCTGAAGTAAACGCTCGACTTTTTCGAAGTGATGTGATGGTTTAGACAAAGTCTATCTGCGAGAGAAGAGTATATATTAAGCATCCCTACTAGTTGAGTTGAGATTTTAAATCAATATTTTGTTTTGTTTTTCTCATTGTATTGTTTGACAACAATGCAATACTGTATTATTACCACTTTCTTTGTTTGCTCTTCGACTGCACTGCTTGTCAACAGTATTATTGAAAGAAAAAGAAGTATTCATACGCGATTCGACATTGGATTTCTTTGCGCTTGCATGTCTTCTTTTTGAATATAAGTAAAGAAAGGCACAAACATTCTGTAATTAGTTGCATAATTACTACTCCACTATATTTTGTTGAACGGGGTCAATATATGAACATGGATAATTTTTTTCTTGATCTATCTTAATGACGTATCACATTGATCACAGCAACATATCGAGACGTTATGATTTTTTTTCTCAAGAAAATGCCGCTAGAACAGATCATCGCGTTTGTTGTGTAGTAGAGAGTGAATTAGAATTAGATAGCTAGCATATGTCCTCATTATCGCATTTTAAATGTCAACATAGACCTTGATTTCCGCTCTTACTCACACCTTCAAGAACTCGATAAAATCCTCTAAAATAACATATATATGTTCTTGCTCAATTTTTACACATCTTACAAATCAACTATGATTTGTAATTCAGTAATGATTTTTCTACATTCTGATGGAAAACATGACCGCCTCTTCCAGATAAACGATAAATTCATTAGTATAAGATCATGAAGAATGGCTCTGCTTGGATATGAAGACACGAAAACGAATCGAGTTAAAACTCAGTCAACTCTCTTTGTTTCAGTTGCCAACAATTTTTTCATGTACTCTCAAATATTAACAACGAAATTCACCATTGTATTAAACATGCATCCAATACCATGTCCAACATCCACTCTACCATTAGCAGGCTGTGGTTTCACAAAATTTCGAAGCAATAATTGAATTGGAATCCTTAAGTAAATCACTAACGAGTCGTTATTCTTTTTCATATGACCGCTGCAATCATCCATTTCTCTTTTTTATTAGGATGTGGGTTTCGAGCTGCTTTTTTTCACCCAACCAACTACTCACCCACACCTTGGAATCATTTTTCAGATAAATTTTAAAAAATCGTGTGAAAAAATACACGGTAAAAAAATTATTTTTCTACTAATGTTAAATCAATTGTACTTTTAGTAGCGCGTAAACTTTAGTACACGTTGGTTATCTGTGTCTGCAACATACAAATTGAGTGTACTATCAAGTGCTACTGCATAAGGATAATATAATAGCTGATTCGTGGCACCCGCTATGCCTGTGGCACCTGCGATAGTTGTCGCATTTGTTTGGCCGGCTGAGAAAAACTGTATACGATCATTTGAACTGTCGGCTACGTAAACATTACCCACTGAATCTAGTGTCAGCCCATATGGACTATAGAGCAGTGTTGGTGTACTACCCATAGAACCCGCTGGGTTCCCAGCAACAAGCGTCCAACCACTAGCACTTAACACCCAACAAACAATATTGTTCGCACCCACGTTCGTAATGAATAGACCATTTGATGATGAATCAAAATAGACTCCTGTAGGTGAGTATAGTTGTGTAGTAAGTGGCCCAGCTCCATTTCCACCAGCAGCTACAGTACCTGACGATGCACCTGATGCATAACGCATAAGTCGATGATTCCCAGAATCGGCAATGTAGAGTGTGCCTGTCGATGAACCACGAGCCAGACCACGAGGAGTGTTCAGCTGAGCCAACGAAGAACCAAGGGTGCCTAAAAAACGATGCAAAACTATTGAGTACGGATAATAAATGTTTCGTGTGGGAATGGGATTCCATGTTGATATTATCAACAAATACCTATTAAATCCAGGGATGGCGTAGTGGTTCTATGCATCTGATTCTTAGTCAGACAGGAGATGGTTCGATTCCTTCCCCCGGCTCGGTGTCTTCGTAGTCAAGATATACGGAATCGGAGGAATAAACAAAGGAAGCACAGCAATGCACGCCAACCGCGTCGTCACTGCCTCGATTTCGATTTTCGTTCTATTTTTTTTCTCTTCCTTGTCATTCTTTCACTGTTTTTATCGTAGTCCTATCTGTTGACTTGTTTCGTAAGCGTCCGCAAAAATTGTACAAAAATCACAAAAAAAATGTATGGATGTCACGAATAAAATTCAGCATAATTAAAAAGAAATACCTATTAATGCTACATGACGAGAAAAAAGAGAATAAAGCTGAATCATGCATCTGATATTTGCTCATAATCATGTCAGAGTCACAAAAAATATGAATTCTTTTATGTCCAAAAATGGGAACAAAAACAGGTGATCAGCTGTGTGCTAATATATTTTCCCTTGGTGATTGCTTACCATTGCCAGCAATAGTTGTTCCAGAGGAAGAACCATTGCCCCAAAGTTGAACTCGATGATTGGCCGAGTCTGATACATAGCGATTGTCGCTTGAATCGAGAACAATACCAGCGGGCAGATTCAAATAAATAGAGGTGGAGCCACTTACTGCATCTGGTTGTCCGGCTACAGTGATACCGGCGGTTGCACCGCTTACCCATTTTTGAATTCTGTTATTATAATAATCTGCGACGTAAAGTTCATTGGAGGCACCGAATGCTAAGCTCACAGGATTATATAATTGGTTAGAAGCCAAACCAGGGGGTGATCCAAAGCCTGCCACAATGGGTCCCGTTGTATACCAGCGGAATCCAAGAGAAGTATCTATAAAATATTTATTCAAAGAATGATATTAAAGTAACCTAAAAGGTTGCCGATGATTATTTGCTGGTAATTAGATTACCAATCAAGTGCATTGTTTCTCGGATATTTTGTCCGACAACTATAGTTTTACATCAGATTATCATTTGCATTCATTGAGATGCTACTTTATTTGATTAGCCATTTCGATTTATATCATTAGTATTAGTATACTAATAGAGTAGACTTTTACAAATGATTATTTTAGTATCATGAAAATGAAGAATCGTCTCTACATTCCTAGTCTCAAACTCGAACAGTATATATTTTAACTTGCCTACCAGACATTTAGTTTATGGTGTATTGGGATGAGTATTCTGTTGATCTAGTCTATGTTACCACCATGAGAACTTCTCTGCAGTTGGAAAACTCAATATCTATCTAGTTAGCGCTACTTCGATCTGAAATTGAGACAAAACGGTAACCAAAGAATGCGGTATGTTTACTTGTTGTTGCGATATTCTTTGATGTTTCACTTGCTAAAACAAGAGAGTAAATACCAACTGATAAAACTGCCCAAGAGCAAAGACCGAGGCAAGTACCAAGAACAACAAGCATAATTTTCGAACAGTTCTTTGCGTTATTTGTTGTGTTTGGTTTCATATTTTTTTATATTCTGACTATGTTTACGATAGATCAAAAGTTTTACTAAATTGGTTGGATATAAAATCAGCGAATGTAGTTACTTAGCGTTGTACTTTGATGATGGCTCAGCATAATCAGTAATAGCTGATACTGCAGAAGAAACTGATGGCGTTTTTCGATATTCACCATTTCTGATCTCTTGTAATTTTAATGACATCGGTCGAAGAGAGACATCTTTATTTGGTGCTATCCATGCTTCTGGAATCGGTTGTAAATATATGTTTCCATTGTTTTGTGTTTCCCAAGCTGGTTCTACCTACATGTGGTAGAAAAATATTGAACAAAGTTTGATTTTGCCTTTATATTGACGAGTATCGATAATTACATATTTAGATGGTGAAACAAAAATTATATGATTAGCTCTTTGAGTATTCATATTCTATTGTAGTTATGTACGCATATAAGAATGGAAGAGCGACGGCAAAAAGTAATAATCAAATAAATTGCATTTGGTTAATAATTTATGCTAAAGAATCCTCATCGGCATTCATTATACAGTCGCTCGATGACTTTCTTCATTTGATTTTACTAAGGAATAGAAAATGTTAAAAAATCGAATTGCACCCCGCTAACTTTACTTAGCATCCAGTACGTCATGAAACACTTGTCTAAATTCAAATCGGCGTGCTTGAACATCAATTTTCTAGGATACCCATATTTATGCAGTTTTGTGGTGATGCATGTCACACAGACCGCTAGAATTGCTTATGGCCTATTTTTGGTATGAAGACTATTTGTCGGCGCTGTATATCCACATCGCCAAAATCATCGATAGTCTCACATATTGGCGATAAATCGTCGATACTTTTTGTGCTTATATACGACAATATCTAAAGTATTTTGTAATGCTTCTCATGGCGACATGCATATTTAATTTTAATTTTAATTTATTTCTAATTACTAAAAATTCATTTAATTCATTGCGTCTTCTCTTTTTCTTTTATTTACTTTATTTTATTTAAGGGCATATTTATATTGCGGCACGAAATCAATATAAGGAGTAAGAATTTTTTTATCCTATTTGAATTTAGCGTTTTTAAAGTTTAGCTTAATTTTTATTGTATGCTTATTTTTTTAATTCTAATTTTATTGGTTCTGCACTTTCCTTTGTTTGATTTTATGTGTGTCGTAATGCATTTGATTTTATATTATTTTCATGTCGTTGTTTATCATTTTCGTTACTGTGCTTTTTTCTAGATTTTACTACAGCATGAAGTCAATCCACAATAAACATAGAATTTGAATTTTATTTAATTTGTATTTTTTAGTTATTGTTTCTTATTTTTATTTTATTTTCTATTATACAATCGAATGTAAGAATAAGTTAAATAAATTAAATTCCTAGTATGCGCCTGAATGCACGAGACGGAAGAAGCGAGATAGAAACGGCATAATGAATAGGTGTAACCAAATAAGATCAGATCCTAGGGTAAAGGTTAAAAAGCTGTTTACTCTGCTTGATTAGGAGAAAATAGTGGACTGTTTGTGATTTTATTGTGCGTAATCTCACAGTAACCGATATGATAGATCGTCGGTTTTCGCGGGATTTTTGTCACATGGATAGAGATCATTTTCAATAAAAACGTTCTCGAGTTTTATTAAATAACATGAATAAATGCCGTGCAACTATTTTGCTTCGTTGATGTGAGCAACAATAGTTCTTGTTAGTGAATCAAGAAAAACATCGTTCTCGTCATATTTTCCTGCATTGAATTCTTCTGGGAATTTTCAAAGGTTGTGAGTGTCTAAAAACAATTAGAGAAAGTCGATCCATGTATCCCAGCTTTGGGGCATTCAATCTTTAGTATATTATCTATCATCTGATTTGATTGACTGTTTGGCGTATCTTTCATTGTCGAGAAGAATCTGAAATGATGAGCTGGGTTAGTCAAAGCCTGTTTACGAGAAGAATATATGTTCAATATCTCTGATAGTCTTATTCAGATTTTATATCAGTATTTTTTGTTTGTTTTTTCTCGTAGTATTATTGGGCAACATTTTATTACCATTTTTTCCCTTTTTGCTTCGAGTGAAGTGCTTGTCAACACATTACTGTTAGAAGAAAAAGGAGTATTTTTACGTAATTTGGCGTTGCATTCCGTTGCGGTATTCACAGGTCTCCTTTTTTAATAGAAGTAAAAAAGGTCACAAGCATTCTATTGTTAGTTGTAAAATTATTAATCAAATATATTTTGTTGAATGAAATCAATATGAACATAGGTGCTGTTTTCTCTTGATCCATATCAATAGGTATCCTTGTGTTGTCTGACTTTTGTCAAATGATGAAAAATTTTGTTCTGCTTCATTTAAATTAATAAGATTTGTCAATGAAATGCTTTGACGAGTCTAGTTTTCTTTCTCACGAAAATGACTCTAAAATGGATCATCGCATGAGCAGAATATCACAACATATTTTCGAATCAAAAAATTACTAAATGTATGATCGAATTAAAGAATCAATTCTAATAACTTTGGCAATGTGATCTTTATCATACTGTTTAGATAGATTAAGTTGTAAGTGCAGATATGCACTGAAAACGTAGGTTTCAAGTTCAATTGAAGCAACAGCTCCTACTGTACAGCAAAAAGTATGAGTGTAGATAGAGAACAAAAGGGGTTTAAATTACAATTAGGAAACTAGCATCTGTCCAGATTATCTCCTTTTAAATACCAACCTAGATGCACATTTCCACTCATGCGCAGACCCACACCCACACCTCCAGCAGGTATACTCACGCTAAGAAAGAACCGTAGACCCCAAATTGCCAGCCACCAATATGTTTCATGTAGATTAGTGTCTTGTATCAATCAATACTCAGATTAACGTACATTTCCATCAATGCTCACACACATACATTATTACAGATCTCTTATATCGAAGAAATTGACTTTTATTGATTGAAGATAATAATAATCATCCAGTATTTTGCACTATTTTTAACAAAATTCTTATTCGTTCGTAAGCAGGCGAAAGATTTTCTTTTTGCCTTTAACACGCATAAAGTTATAAATAATGGCATTCTTCCGAATGAACCAAAAAATCACACAGGCACACAAACATATATATGTATATACATGAAATTGCTCTTCAATCTTTTTTCTCAGCAATTAAAATGATGATAACTCTAAGCTAATAGACATATAATGACAAGTGAGCAAAAAAATAGGTATGAAATTTTCATTTCATGCAAAGCAAAAAGAAAAAGAGAATATTGCACACGAAAAAAAAAACGCATGATAATAATACTGATGAGATTCTATCGAAAGTGTATATTTAAGAATCCAGAAGGCACGATTTGATTTTTTCAGTCCATGTTTGAGCATCTTGAGGTGTTGCAGCAATAAAATTATAAATACGGCGATTTGTATGTAACTAAATCAAAAGAAGATTCATAAGAAAAAAAACAATATAAATTCTCAGATCTGTTTTTTTCATACTTCGAAAGCCGCTCGACTATCGAATCGTCTTAAAGCATTTGGAAATGGACCAGTATAAGGTAGAATTTCTACAGCATCAGCCAAAAGAATAACGCCTTTTGCTGTTTGATCATCGCTACTGTCGTAATATCGAAGCTAGAAAAACAAAACAAATAATTACTAAACAATACAATAGATAACAACGAAATCAAATACCTCGTGTCGTACAGAATCAAGTACAAACCATCGTTCTTTCCATTGTTTTAATAGATGACCTCGTTTTCTTAAGTAGCCTTCATGTGTTCGATGTTGTGGACCTGAATTATTTGCAGTAACACTTGACGATGAAAATGGATGTGATAATCCATGGTGATCATAAACACCTATAATATCATATTATTCATGTTTATGAAAATCTTCATGAAAATCATTTTTCTTTATAGAAGAAGATTGTTATTTTCTACGGATAGAATTAAAGTCTATTTTTATCCAATTTTAATAGCCACAAGAAAAACAACTGAATCAATCATAAAGATTTTAATCGATAATAAGAAACAGCTCTACAAAAAAATTAACATTTATCTTCAACATTGAAAATGGTCATAGATATATTTTACAAGTGAACGCATAACACTAATCGATCTACCTCTTTGACGTTTATCTACAAGGATTTTACTATTGATAGCCATCAAGCTCTAGTGTCCGTGAAACAGATTTTCACGGTTGAACAAATCATTAAAATTACCGCTTCTACGCTATTTATTTCTTCTTCAAATATAAACATTATCTGATCGTGTTCGAATTGACATCGCTATAATAGTAGCTATTTGCAAATAGTCTCATTCCGTTGATTTCCCTATGGCTATTAAAATCCAACAATACAATATCTAATTAGTTAGTAAAAATACATATGTTTAGATATGCATTTTCTAAACGAGCAACGAAAGTGAATTACTATTTTACCCGCTTTCTCCAATAAAACATCAGTAATATCTGGAAACGATGCATATTATTATATTCAGAGGCAAAAGAAAGGCAAAAGCAATAGGGGGAACAAAATTTTCCAATCTACCTGTCACACTGCCTGTTTCAAAACGTGTTGAGTTAACAACAATTTGAGATTCCGATGATCCATTACCGCCGACTCGTCTGCATGGTTTACATGAAGCGATGGATCGACATTTTTCATGGCAAACATTCAAACAATCACGACATTGAAATGCTCGTATTCCATCTATGCATAGAATCATATTTTAGTTATGAAAATGAAAAAAAAACATATTACTACGAACCATGTGGTGATTTTTTCGAATCAATTAATTCATCGCAAGCATCGCAAATTTGTGGTGTGGAAAATTGTTTAAATTCATACGAATGAGAACCATATAGAGATGATGTACGTGTAGACGAAATCGATGATGAAAGTGATCGCTGTGGTTGCAGATAAATTTGAGGAGAACTCATTCGTTTATGGACTTCATCTTGTATTGAAAGACGCTAAAAAATTCAGATATCATACTAACGATTTTTCTATCAAAATTCAAGGATTTATCTCTTAGCGTATAGAAGAAAATAGTGTCAGTAATTATTTGTAAAAAATAGAGAATATATGTTGTTATCAATCAAGAATTTATCTATCTCGAATCTAACGTGAGCTCTTTTTTTCCGAAGTATATAAAACGGATCACTTAAACTAAAATAATAACAACAGTTGACTCTTACTATCAATTCTATTGAACGTTGCATGTATCTAGAAGTTTCGTAACATCAAAACGGATTTTGAAACATACTGCTAAATATTTAGGATAGTTTTATGGGTCTCTCGTCTGAAATATCTCAGTTTGTTGTATTGAGCGGCTAGTCTCAAATTCGATTCCTATATAAATATCTGGAATCAATCGATTGTCTATGAAAAATTTATATTTTTGCAACTCTTGAATTAATTCTAGAACACCTACCTGTACTTTTTCTCGTTCAGGTTTTTCAATTTTATCCCAATAGATTTTCCACGATTCACTATTTATATATTGTAAAGTATTCGACATTTCCTAAAGAAAAATCATTCAATGTCTTACTTTGTTTTTGAAGCAAAACTAATTTTCTCTTACCGAAACAATTTCATTGAAAAAATCTGGTAAACAAATACTAGTATCATCATAAATAGCTGATATACATTTCGTACGTTGTTTTAATTCTGCGTCATTTAAATGTTCTTCATGTTCAGCTACGGCTATATCAAGATCATATGGACAACCTGTTTCTAATGTTTCACTTAAATAAAAATCCCATATATCAAGGGAGTACATTTTATAGGATGGCCGAAGAATGCAACTATCGTTCGATGGTGAATAAAGAAAATTATAAAATCTTGATGATTCTCGATTGACTTTTGTTATATAATCCCAAATATTTATCGTATTACAACGGTACAAACCTAGAAGAGCAACGTTTTCTTCTCGAATAACAAAATAAAGCAAATGAACTTACCAGTAATATCATCTGTCAACGAATCACGAGTTGTATCAACATACCAATTTCGATCTTTTTTACGTTCGCAATCGCAATCAAGCATAAAATTTTTAAACCGATTTGATAAATGATGATAGGCAAGAAACCGAAGATAATATTGATTGAATTCAAATTCGGTTGGATATTGATTCCAAATCTTTTACGACAAAAATAGAATATAGTTTGCGTTGAATATTTAATTGAAATTTAAAATTTACCTGATGAACAATATCGAGAAATTGAAGAAATACAGGTGCAAAGCCAGTTTTATTTGTTGCAGTTTGATTTGATCGATGAGAAAATCGATGTCCGAACGCAAACCATTCACGTTCAATTAATGTTTGAAATCCTTCGAATGTTCGATAATATGGATCAAGCAATAGTTCGCTGATTGAAACAAGTTGCGCTGCTGTATCCCAACCATCTTCAACACAAATCATTACTGATGATGCATGATCTTCAATGAATTGAACAATATATACGCAGACCAATAAGATTTTTTGTAGCTAAACAAGAAACAATTCTAATAAGACAAAACAAAAAACTTGAGTTTAATTCTACTTGATAAAGCCATCGTGATTCTTCAATAAGTTTATAGAATGACATTGAATTTGGAAGTGTCACTGATGAAATATCAATTCCATTACTATGTGCATGATGATTGGTTGTTTGCGCAGGCATACTCGGAACACAAGCACGTGTCATTTTTTTAAAACTTGCTTTTATTTGACTAATATCATGAAATTCAAGTGGAAGAAAACAATAATTTTGAAATTGTTCAAGACGACCAGTCTAGAAACGAGAAAAATGAACGTTTAAAAGAATATTCATAAAATAATAAACATAATCGTCAGTGGATCCGAAACGATTTAGATTGTTCGCTGTAAGAATCATTTTAATTTTTAGCAAAACTCAACTGAGAGGCTCTCGAGATCACTAAAGTTTAAGAAAATCAACTGTCAATGACTCCACCGTCGCTGATGATTGCTCGGTTGATATTTTTTTCTGAAACTTACGCGATGTTGAGCTCGATCACCAATAATATAAAGTGGTGAACGTTTATGAACTTGTAAAATCGATTCATTAAAATCGATATCAAAATTTGTCGATCCATTTGTTGGACCACCACTCGTTGTTATTGATGATGGTGTTGGCGAATTCATTGATGTATAACTTGCAGTTTCACTTCGCGGCAATGTATCCAGATTTGAATGAACATTGACACTCGCTAAAATTATGAATTTTAATACTATCGTACAGAGGCACATCATAGATGGATAGCCATTCAAAAGCAATAAGCTAATATGTTGGAAATAGGATATGAAAAATATTTAAGAAAAAAAAAGCGGATGCAAATAGGTACAGGAATATCAATAAACATAGGCGATGGTCATCTCATGTGTTTACCAATTGCTGATCGCATGGTATCCGTCAGTGTTGTGCTACTCAAACTTTTGAAAAGTGCAGAAATTCGTCTTTTATTTATTAATCCACTATTTGGCATAGTTTCATTTTGACTGCTTATCGTTTTTTCTAGAGATGAAAATCAATTTTTTTCAAATGCATAACAAAATATTTAGATATTAAACTAGAGATTTATTTTAATATTACCTGTTCGTGGACGATCGTGTAGAACGCGCGTTGGTAGAAGGTTTTGCAAACGATTTGTTGCTGATTGATGAGGCGTTTTTCGAACGGATAATGGTGTTATATCAGTGGATTCAGGTTCATCACCATCGCCAAGGTCAGTTGAAAACGGCATTTTTGTTGGCGTTAGTTTTACAATAGCATCAAAATAACGTTCTTGTTCTATACTTGCATTTGTATCACTTGATGAACCTAAATCGTGAAAACGAATTTTATATAAAAAAAAGCATTTTTTTATAAAAAAATTTATTTGTACTTGAATTTGTTTGTGGTCCTTTAACGAGCAGATTTATAAAGCCTTTATTACAAAATGAAGAACCGCGTAGTAAAAGAGATTTTGTACGTGGATTACGCCAGACAATAACCGGCACTCTGAATAGAGAAAATCTCATAAATATAAAAAAAAACATTTTGCTGAAAAGTAACTCACCGTTGAAGTTTATGACATCGTGCTACTTTTTTCACACTTTCATCGAGAATATCTTTGGGTAAAACAAGTACCAATGGATAACTAAAATAATAAATAAATACAAGTTTATTTAGTTTTGATTTTTGGAATTCAATAATGACTCGAGATAGAATAGGGAGTGAAAATTAATTTTATTCGAAATCTTGAAATGATATCTATCTACTCGAGAATTTGAAAGTCTTGTGTAAATAACTTGAAATCAATAGCAGATTTCTTGAAAGTTAGACTGGTTTCTAAGTATGTGTTTCAAGATGAATGAGTTAAAAGTTGAAAGCGACCAAGATTCCTTATACGTATGTAGATTTTCGAAACATTGCTTTTCCTTCCTATGCGAAATCTCTTTCAAAACTATACTAAATATTATAATTCGAGGGTGTGAAAGATCAGAAGAACAGTCACGCGATATCATTCCTCGTCTCATTCTCTACTACATAATGGATACAGCTTGATTCTGAAAGCTCGTTTCTATTTCATTGCCAATTGTAAAATGAAATTAATTTACCTTCTACAAAAACCAAAATTCCGATTAATATGTGATATTCGAAAAGAATCATCGCTAGTAGTCATCATCGTATTAGTCGTTGATGTCGTATTCATTCCTAATGCCGAATTAAGTCCATTATTATTATTATTATTATTATTATTATTATTATTATTATTATTATTATTATTATTATTGGTATTCGTTGAATTAATTAACTGTTGCCCATTCATATTTAAATTAATATCATTCATATTTGACGAGCCGACTAATGAAATTGTCGATGTAAGTGATGTAACAGCTGTTGTACGCATTGTTGACCGTGACGATGCAAATGTTGTCACAATAAGACCTTGTCGAACAAAATCCTTATATACAAAACTGTCGGTGAAACGTTCAAGACTCTTCGTTTCATTTGATATTGTTGCATAATTATTCGAATCATCAATAGTATCTAAATAGCAAATGAAAATTTCTAATAAAATAAAATCAACTCAGTACAATATCTACTTGATGATCTATCTTCATCTTCATCATCGCTATTATTTCCGACAATTCCTTCATCACATTCATGTATTGTCGATGGTGTTGTTATATTTGAAACGCCGGTTAATGGCCGTTCGTTATTATGTAACGTGATAGATTTCGGTGAACGTGTATTTGTTAACGTCAAACTACGTCGAGCCGGCTCAGGTGTACGAATCAGTGTGTTTTGTTGATGTCGAGTTGTACCATTTAAAGTTTTAACGCCAGTTGCACTACTTGTTCCATTGGATTTTAATGACATTGTTTGATGTGTTGATAAATCTTTTGGTGGTATAAGCCCTTTCTTGCGTAAAACATTTCGAGCATAACGACCGTATTTTCTACAGAAAAGCAATTTATTAGATGAAAACATTCTTTAACAGAATAAAGTATTTACTTGAGTGTTCCATCTTTTTGTTTATTTATAACAGGATTATAATCACTATAGATGGAAAAACAGAATGTTTGAAAAACAGACTCTGGATAGCGCTTTTCGACAAGTTTTGTACGAAATTTTTCAATATCATCAACAAGAACTTCGTCATCGAAAAAAACTTTGATCAACTAAAATAAAATAATAAAACGATTGGTTTTCTTTTGCTTTCAGATAAAATAGAACAAACTTGAAATGTTGCTGATCGTAATTGAATACCATTGTGAAGACAAATATTTGAATTATCAAGGCGAAATTGACCAGAAAGTTTCTTTTCACGAATCAATGAAGAAATCGGAAAAGAGCGAACGATAACATAGTCATTTGCAACTAAACAGAGAAACCCCAATATTAAAATAATGTATTTCTTTCAATGAGATCAAATTATCTTTAGCAAAAAGGAAAATTGATCAACGCGATCCTCAAGGGATTTAATTAAAGAAAAATACAAAGCAGCTGTTGTCATCGTTAATAATAAGAAGACACGTCTAGTGCATACATCAACACAACTCAAATAAGTCTTCATAGCCTTACGAAAGAACTTTTACATAAATCCAAACTGGCTTTCTAGTTCGAGATCGAATCTTTCTCAACAAAAACCAACGACACTTACTAGCTGGATTAACTGGACGACCTTTAAAAATCAATCGATAGTTGGTCATAATTAAAGCTCCTTCTGCTGGTAATAAAGAATTATGCCCAATAAAAAATTCATCTCGTCCATCGGGCAACAAATATGAACGGAGCGCAATCGATTCTTCATGTTCAAATAATTCCGGTATTGTAACAAAACGTGGTAACAATGGTTTCGGCATTGGTGCAACACGTCTTGTTTCACGATACACTTTTTCCAGAACTTCTATTTGTATCTGAACAGTTTCTATAAGACAACAACAAGCAAAAACAGAACATAGTGAATTGACATTCTAATTAAATTAAATAAACAAAATACGTACGATAAAGTTTTGTGTGTAGACTATTTTTATGTGCTGTATTAACTCCACTCTCATCACAAATTTTATCCACAAATTTTTTAACAAAACTAAGTACAAGATCAGTTACTTGGTCATCATTATTTAAATCAAAACCATTTCCACTATCATGTGAGCCAACCGTGGATGTTTCATCAACGTCTCGGACACTAAATACATATATAATTATTTAAATATTAATATGAAACAAAAAATTTACTTGAACGGATCATTTGTACTATGATAAAAGTCACTTGTAACACTGTCGGCATCACCACTGGTTATATTTGAACTATGATTGTATATTGAATGTCGAAGATTTGTTGAAGACGAAATATCTAATGGAAGTTTCATATAAACCATTAATTGAATATAATGAATTGCTAATGCATAAAGTGTTTGTTCTTCAAGATCTTCAATTGTACGTTGCTCTTCAGATGTTTTTTGTGTATAAAGACGCATTTGCTCGGCGGCTATTTCTAATGCAGTTTTTTCATGTATTGTTATTCCATTTTGATGAGATGAATTTTCATTGGATGATTCATTTGTTGTGATTGATATCTATAATAAAACGAAATTAAAATGAGAAAATTTTTTAATTGTTGCTTACTGATCCTTGATGTGTAACTGTATCACTTGATGATGTTGATAACGAATCGTTGACTGTTGAAATTTCACTATTTGTTTGATTTGAATCTTCATGTGATAAATACAGATTTCGTATTTGCAGTTGAACATCAGAATAAAATGCCATTTCCCAAAATTGCATATTCGCCCAGACAGGATGACGTTGAATATCCGTGTAGATAAATTGTGTTGCTTCTTCACTTAATTTCTAAAACAAGAAATAACTTTGAAACGCTTCAACAACATTCGATCTAATGAACGCGTTTTGAATATCTCATAGTCGTATAGAGTATCCTAGAAAATCACCTGCCGAAAAGGGTAAAAGCACTTCTTTTATACATACTCGATGAAATGTTGTTGCTAAAGTAAGCATCATATAAGCAATACCATGCTCATCAATTGATGAAGTTGCCTGTAAAAAGCAAACAATATAAATTTGGCATTTTTATAATAAAAATTATACTTCAAGAGCACAATTCAGTAAATTAGCAATCATTTCGAATTGTTGATTATTTAAACGTGGTTTATTTTGTTTTTTATATGATGCCAATTCATTGCATAATGCAATTCGAGCATCTTCATGACTTTTAATTGAATAAAATACAGCCCCGCTTGTCTAAAAATAGACGAATATGTTCAGAATATCAAAACAAAAAAATTCAACAAACTTTTTTTGCTTCTGCAATTTTATCATTAAAAATAAAGCCAACACATTGTTTTAATACTTCTAAACGACGTGCTGATTGTGAAATATCACTTCGTCCGTTAAGTACATGAATGGGTGTACCCAATTTTACAATACACGGCTGGCTAACTCGAGCTGAATAAGGCCTAAAACAAAACAAAAACGTCAACGAAATCGAGGATACAAAAAATACTCATACCGGCTGTTTTGTTGTTTTTTAAGTCCTTCTTTAATTGCTATATTGACTAGTTCTTTATCCAAATGTGGAAACTCCGATAAACTATCACGCATAAAAGCAGATTGTGATGGTTGTGGTACTTTTTGTGTGTATGTTTGTTGTGGTGATGCCGTTTCCTATAGTAAAATATTTTATAAATACAAAAAAATATAACGATGGTGCGCAATCTTTAGTCGACTGGTGCACAACACGTCTCTATCAAGAATTTTGTTGGATTGTCAAGCATAACCGACTAGCATTTCCAATCAAAACAAAAACATCATCAACTGAAAACCACCGAAAAGTACGCCTACTATCTTAGATAATTGGATTAAAACCGATGATCATCATCTTCGAAATAAATTTATCTTTGTTTTTATTCTTACATTTAATAAAAGTTGATTGGCTAATTCTTTGATCTGTTCGAAGACAGTTGTAGAATTATTATTATTTGTTATTTGGTCATTTTCACGTTTTAATTGATCATAAATTGATGCATAGACTTCATCGAATATGTCACACACTCGAAAAGGTGGACCACGTTCTTCGATAAATTTATGAAATGACATTGAATCAAGTACACGTAACATAAATTCATCTTTGACTAATCGATGATGACCAAGAAAACTTGCCTAAAATAAAAAATAAATATGTTTATCGTTTATCATTAAAAATTTACTTTATGAAATGAAATGACTGGTCTTGGATTAATACGAGTAATTAATAGACATGAACGATAACCAGCAAATAATTCAGAAAAAAATCGAACAAAAATTGCACGAATTTGCTTGTCTTTGTTTGATTCTTCTTTATATTTTGGATAATCAGCTACTATTTGACTTCCACTGTCTAATTTTAAACTCATGCGACCATTTAATGGAAACGCCAAATCAGCTGCATGAATATCAGGCTTCAGAATCTAAATTAGAAGTAAAGAATGTCAAAATACGTAGTATTGTAAAGTTCTGGACAGTTTTAACGAAAAACAAAAACAAACAAAGACTCTAAATAAAATTCAATTTAACTTTTTTCTCTTTTAATTGAAAGGTCGAGTGTAAAAGCAACTCAATGGGCCTTCATCTAGTTAAGAAAAAATAGCACCGTGAAACAACGTTGATTATTATTATTACTATTGACGCATGTAGCGACAAAGCCCCCCGTTGACCTTTCTATACTCTATAAACGCATGTCTGCTGTTGCTTATAGAGTATATCATATATATTTGTAATCAATAATTACTTGAAATAATGAAGATAATATACGATTGTATGGCTTTTCAGGCATTGCAGCAAGCTTAACATTTTCTGTTAAATGAACACTTGCCCCATCTAAATCAATCCATAAGCCATCGAACTAAAGCAAAATAAAAGTTAGGATCGAAAACAAAACCAACACGAGATATTTACATTAGATAAAGCTTGTAATTTTTGATCTGAATGAACACCAATTATGAAAGGAGTTGGTGCATCGAGCACTTCAATCAAATCGAATGGAAGCACAGGTATAAATGTATAACTAAAATATAAATCAATAAAATAAATGTAATTAAATTTAGCTTTAATCTACCAATATTTAAGTGGATATAAAAGAGACTCCACAGCTTTGCAAGCTTCTGTTAATTTCCAATAGCTTCGTGAAAAGAATAAAAGTTTTATATCTGACAATGCAGCACAAAATATTGTGACGACATGATCGATTCCTAAAGTTTAAAAAGAAAAACTTTCATAAATCTGTACAACGAAGAAAATCAAACTTTACCTAATTCCTTAAATAGATTATATACAGATAGGCCAGTACATGGTACTGACGGACTAGCAGGCGGTTGTATGACTTGCCGATCATCAGCACCAATTGAAAAACGAAGAGTATGCCCACCTATTTATTTTTCAAAACATAGACTTTATTTGTTTCATCTAATTTCATCTGAACATACCAGCTGGCGGCACATTGATATTGGCAAGAATATTGCCAACAATTGTTTCGATTCGAATATCTGACGAAGGTTCGACATACATCGTATAGACAATGCCAAGACAATTCTAAAATAAAAATAGATTTTTATTTTTTCAAGACAACATATTAAAATCGTTTAGTATTATGTTTATAAGGATTCAGCACGACTCACGTATATCGGAATCCAGGAATTAGCCTAGATGTTAATTTCGTTTTTCTAATTTTAATAACTTCAAATTGAATATTGCCTAAAGTTTATTTTGTTGACTCGGAACGGAAGAGAAAAATCTACTTGAAAGTACTATTATTGAATAAACAATAGCACTTGTCAATGTATTATATAAGAAAAAAAAACATAGAACAATGATCAATTTTTTTTCACACTCAAAATGTTTTCTTATTCTTTGCACACGTCAATCAATTCATTATAAATTTTCCGTGTATTTTTCATACTTACTCTAAATGCTTCGAAACAATCTAATTTTGATGTAAGTACCAAACATTTTGGTGCATACATTTGTGTTCGAGGTATGAGAAAAGCAGTGTCATCAGCTTCATCACTGCATGTATTATTTTTGTTCAATAAAGTATTATTTGTTGCTGGGAGAAGTGTTTGATGAAATGTTAAACAAGCACAATAATGTCTTAAACCATCTAGATCAGTCAGAATTGATATAAAAAATGTTGGTAATTCATATTTTGGTGTTAATATCCATCCTTGTGGCTGACAAAAATGTATAATACGTGGATTAAATAGACAATCAGGCCAATCTTTATCCGGAAATCGTTGAATTATTTTACCACAGGAACGACCACCACGTTCTTCATCGTGATCATATCCTACCACAAGAAAATAATCAGCTAAACGTTGCATGATATTAATGTGCAAGGCATCATCTAAAAAACCGAGATTATTTGCTTGTTTGTCTTCAAATCAATCAATCGAGCATATGTTCGACTTGTTTTAGCCCTACGTCACCTGTGACCCTTTCTTTTCCTTCTCTGCATATCCATTCGTTAACAGCTAACAAATCATAAGCTAGCGTTTGTTTATAGAGACACAGTAACATAGACAATGAAAACTTCTTCTATATATATATGTATACATCAACGTGAACTTCGGGCCAAATGTTTTTGCTCTGAAAATAAATGCGATATCATTCTATCAACACAGATGATTAATATAATATACGTCAAGTTAACGCGCACCAAAAGATATGCCGAATCAACCTGACATGTCGCTAATCATACTTAAGCCAATAGTATTTTTCATAGAAAATTGGACAGAGATTTTAACTTTTTATAAATGAAATGCACGTTTCAAATAAAATGATTTCATTCAAATAATTGAACATTGTTTATAACTGAGAGACATATGTTAATTTGAATCGAAAAAATGATATCAACAAAAACTAAAATATACTATTAAATTTTTAGTACTGCATGCAACCTTGGAAAACTGGAGATGGCAAACCAACTCGAGCTAGTGTTTTCTTAAAACTATTGACTTCTGACGTGATCTTCAAGAAAACGTGTCTCAAGTCAAGTAGTTAAAGATAATCATTCAATCGTTTTGGTTGGTTTTCGATACGCTGTGAGAAGAGTACATTATTTACGTGATTCACTTGAACTTGTTAATTGATTTAAAAAATGTCTAGTTGAAAGAAATTTCTTAGAAGATGCCTGCAAATGCAAATAGAGTTTGGATGAACGTTATGGAATTCTATGTTGGTCTCTTCGGGACCCATATTGCCATTTACACTCGATGTTGACATTGCAATAGAAACAATCTATTGGTTCCTATTCGGAGTATTTATATATAGTATAAAATAGGTTTGAGTACCACAATTAACATTATTATTTTTATCGATCTTTGATTCCGCTTATTTTACCTAAGCTAAATCATTCTCTTATATAAAGCAGTTGATGATTTTGTTGTACGTACTATCTTGTTCGTAGAACGTTGTAATAAATTATTTCTAGAACTCTTTCTTAACAACACTTTTTTCGTTCTTTGCAAGTACGAAGCGATATATCTAGTAATCATCGAAATGTCGTATGTTTCATGACGCTTTCATCGATGTATATCGAGCTTAATTAAGTTTGGATGACATCTGTCAACTGGCACCATCCATCATCTGAAATATCATTCAAATAACGAATATACACAACCAAAGATATTTTAGGATCATTCTTTATTAAGACTATATATATTGGCGACGTTACTTCCCAAATAATGTATTGGTTATAAATTAGTTTCGAACGCTCGATGTTCCTTATTGACAAATTTGTAGACGGTGAGAGAGTAAATCATCGTTACAGCGATACAAATCGATTTCAACAAAAGATAATGACTTTGTTTTACAGAGCCAAAAGTTTCTTTTTTATCTGTAAAGCAGCGTTAAAAAAATGTAGCCATCTACTTGTGAGATTTAAATAATAAATCTATACCGGTATTCAGTTCAACAGACATAAAGCTTTTACAGTAAACAGCACAGAGAGAGAGAGAGAGAGAGAGTTAGTGATGGTTGAGAGAAGAAACACTGCCCAGTAATGAAAATTATGAACTAGCACAAAGCCAATGTAGTAGAGATCTGTAGATATTTTTCTAGTAAATGGCGAAACTTGCTTTTCAGGCAAACTAATTACTCATAGAGAATACTGTATGAATATTTTTATCTTTATCAGATGATAGAGATCCGACGAATCGCATTCAGAATGAGGTACAGTCCGAACTGATAGACCAACAAGAATGACGATCTCACAATTTTCTCTAGTTTTCATCTATTTGAGCTGAAACGTTTTTCAACACATTCAGCCTTTGATTCTCTAGGAAAAACGAACATGAATCCGATAAAAGTAAAGACTAGAACTTTACTGGAATATATTTAAGAATTTTCGAAACAAAATCTTCTCCCGTGAATTTTTTTCTGTATTTGATTTAAACAACAGTTAGATAACTCTCCTTGTATACAATAAAGTTTCGTCATGAAAATTCGTCGCAGCAGGACATCAATATTTTATACTAGCAATATTACTCTAATAAGTATTATTGCTAGAATGAAATTTTTGTATTTTATTGGATGGGATTCGTTTGTTAAGAAGCAGATGAAGAATCTTTTCGAAAAAGATTCAATTGAACTAAATGACAATAGCAAGGGGAGCTCATTCGAGCATTCCCTGGTGCTCCAATCCATTGTTGGTATATTACAAAACAATATGGTGATTTGCATTTACTCATAATTTTCGTTTGATCCATCGACAACTATGCACCCCAACAGCTTGCAAATGTTTCACAAAATAATAAAGTAAATAGAACTTCGCATTTGTTGATCTTTCTCTGTGTTTCTACTTTTCTATCCTAAGTCATCGATGAATACTCATCTCAGTAGAAATAGCATTGTAGAATCAATATAGGGCCAGTCTGAAGAATGACTTTTTCTGTTCAAAACATTAATATATCCTCTGCAATATTAGACGGGTGTGGGTGTGAAATCAGAGAATAAGTGCACCCACACCCAAAAAGGTGTCACTGACATAAATCGTTTTGAATCATGCCTTAAACTATCAAGATCGTTTTCGTTTATTTTCAAAATAAACTTTCATCAACATTCTTATAAAAACAATGTTGGAATTATTCAATTTTATCGAGAAAGTAGCTACTGTGCCGCCAGATATAATAAATGCTTTATTTATTTCCTTATTCTCTTAAAATTTAGTTCTCAATTAATTAATGTATAATAATATATTGAATTTAGGCGAAATTAAAATCTTTAGTTTTTCTTTAATTTAGGTCTAGGCCAGTATTACTCGATTTTCTGAATAAAAGAAAGAGAAAGTTTCTAAATTTCTAAATTTTTTTGATGATATTTTCTTTGCTGCAGTCTAAACATTTCTAGATTGTATTTTTCTTAGTGACGCAATCTCTAAGATTGTAATTCATTACTAGACTGGTATGAAAGTTGAAATAATAACTGGCATCGCAGTCGGCTTATATTTTCAATATTTTTCAAAATAATCCTATAATAGACTGTGTTTTGAGTTTTATTCCTATATTTTTTTGAGATATGACTTTAGAAATTTCGCTATCAATAGTGATTCGTTGGATTTTTTTGCGATGAGTTTTTTTATCAGTCATCATTTTCGGTTCATGTATTTATGGAAGCGTTAAAAAATTTGGTTCAATTAATAATAGCTTGTTTTGAATGCATACAAATTGATTTTTCCATATTTTTCTGAAGAATAGGGATATTAAATCATTCATTGAATTTATCGTATAAAATTTGTTTTCATATTCTTTTTTTAGTAAGAATTGTCTCTCTGTCTATGTTTATAGAATGTTGGGGACATGGGTGCATTAAATTTACCTGAAAAATGTTTTCCGATAGTATCATATTAGATTTCAAGAGGATATTTCTATCCATGTAACAGCTAGGATTCGGAACGGTTCGTTAGATTTATATCGAAATGAGAAGTGTTGAAAAATGAAATGTTTGTAGCACCTTCTAGTATAGTTGTAGGAACCTCAGATATGTTGCTAACAACTTCAGGTATGCTACCAGAGAGTGTGGGGAACAGTTTGGATTTAAGCTATTTCCAGCTATGCAACCAAGTTCATTTATATTCGAACAAGATATAGTCAACTGCTCATTTTGTATTTACTATTCGTGCACGTACTACCACGGAGAGTGGGCCACGCCTGACTGGTAAGCAATGTACATAGGTATGCCGTACAAATACAACAACAGTGACCAAATGTACATAAAAAGACCTTCCTAATTGTGCATTATTTCGCTGTTTCTAGCAGAGATCCGAGACTCACCTATACTTACTATGCCATTTTTGATGAATAAATGGTAAATTGGTATCGAGATCTTAGAATATTCACTGTAGATTTCTTTTTGGAGTATCTATTGGCGATGAAACTTAATTAATCGAAAGAATGAATCACTAAATCCACATGTATATATGTTTGGGACAAAATTAAGATTCGACTAGACATAAATGCATACCATGGAAATACATAAAATAAACATAGAACAATTAATAATATTAAACCATGCCTTCTTAATTTTATAAACATTTTACGAATCAAAGTTTTTTATAATCTATTCCAGTCCCAGTAGTAGAAGTTGCGGGCGTAGGATGGATAATTAAAATAATGAGAAACAAAACAACGTCCTAGAGCTCCTGAAGTTCTATGTGTTTCTGGAGATCTGAGAGTTGTACACCAAAGCATCATATAAGTCTATTTTCTATAAACCAAGAGCCCCGATTTTACCAGTGCTCAGAACTCATGAGACCCGAGCAGGTCTCTATTGGTATGATAATTGGCAATTAAGTTTTTTGTTTTTTCATTTCACTACACTTTTGAGTAAAACACATGACTATATGAATTTATCTTTAGTCGAATCCTAATTTTCTCTCGGCAAAATCAGGATTCCAATGCTGTCCGAAAAAAACATCGGGTCTGTATTTGAATCTTAGTTCCGACCACACAAAATTAGAATTAGAATTTTGCTTTAAATATATGTTTATCTATTCGATCTAGTCCAGTCGTTTCATTTTTGTAATTTTGGATGTTGTTTTTTTTCAACTTATTTATATGTATTAACAATACGTCATGAAATATAAAGAAGTAAAAGATAGTAATTGTTGTAGGGGGCTGAGAATCTACCTAAAAAATTTTTTTTAAGATAGATATTAGACGAGGCGGTGACGAGTCATGTTTTTGGCTGACTAGCGGATCTGCGTATTGATTCATTCATGGGAAATAAATGAATGAGACTAAGTTCGGTTCTATTCGAAGTGGTTATGCATCAAGTATTTAACGATACTGAAAGATATGATTCAAATAAATTATTAGCTAGTTTACATTCACAAGATTCAGCATCAATGAGTAAACATATTCGGTTTTCCATTATTTTCTCTACCTCCGAATGCATGAAATCTATATATAAATCAATTGCTTTTCCCCTTGTCTTTATTTTTATAAACAAATTCTACGAAGAAAACAGTGTTTTCAATGTTTACTAGTTTTATATCAATGGTTGATGGTCTTAGTGAATAAAAATTTTATCATATACAGCTCTCGTTGATATCGAGTAAACTCACAGTATGGTAAATTCATCGGTCTCTTTCTATAAAAAAAAGCATTGCCAATTTCTTCAATCGACAGTTGGTACTCAAAATAGTTTTAAGGAAAAAACACTCTTGATTAAGTCATTTCTTTTTACACATGGAGGGTATTCATAATTTATCAAGTGATTGCATTGATATCATCTACCGACTAAGTGTAATATTACTAGCTATATTATCAAAGACAATTCTATTTCGAATCAATTAGCAAAAGAAAAGGTAGAAAATAAAATAATTATTATTCAATAAGATGTAAACTATTTCAGCTATTAGAAAAAACTTGTGAATATGTCTTTTAATACATTAGTGTACATATGAATGGCAACTATGCTCCTGATTCGATATATAAATTTTGCCGTGGCATTGTAAATAGCAGATGACATTGATATTTACATAAAAATTTGATAAGCGACCATTTCGACTTGATGTTAACGCGTCGTTGATCATTAAGTGCTTCGTTTGTTGGTTTGTTTTCGGATATTGATGGTTTAAATAGTGGCACTTCTTCATCGTCGGTTGATGGCCCATAAAAGTTTTTCATAAACATGACCATAAAAGCAGTAAAAAATCGTTGTAGAAAATTAATTTGATGCATGAATGCTTTGACACGATAAAATAAACTTTCTTGACGTTTTTTCATTTGTATACGATTATTTTCGAGCAATTTTTCAAGAAAATTATCAATATTCGGATATTTTGGATCGTGATTTCGTCGAATACCTTCGCAGTACTTGAAAATAATTTGAAAACGACGATCATCAGCAAAGTAAGGTATCCATCGTAATGGTTTGACAAGCGAACAAAATGTTAAGTCAGCTGCCGAAAACTGATCACCGATCAGATAATCATTTTTACGTAAACGATCTCCAATTTCTAAAAGAATTTGTTCAGTTTTTTCTCGTACTTGATCATCACGAAGGCGATGAAGACGAAATCGAGCAATCATAAACGAAGCAAGAAATGGACTGACTAAACGTGAACGAATATCATCTGGATTATAGGCCCATGAAAATCTTTCACCGAGTAAAAGAGAAATTGCACTTTGCTTTTCTTTAAACATTTGAGCATATGCAAGTCGACGCGCGTACAGACCTAGTCCAGAATCAAGACGTACACATGTATCAATAACCTGTTGACGTTGTTCACTGGATAATGGAAGTAATGATTTCGATATTTTAGGATATCGAGCGTCCAAATAGAGTAAAATCGGTGTTGAATCAGATAGAAACGAATTATCATCTTTACTGTTTGGATCTTCAAGTATCGGGGTCAATTTACGTAAACTTTTAGGTGCTCTTTCCAAACCTTTCGTTTTACCAAATGCATTGAAAGTAACCAATTCGTACGGAATCTCCTTATAATCCAATGCCCAACGAACTTTATCACAATAATGAGACCATGGTATCTGGTAAAGACGAAGTGGTTTGATCATTTTATGCAATATCTTTTGTTTTTCTAAAAATAAAAAATAGAAAAGACTGTTTCGAGATAACAAAAAAGGTATCTCTCGAAACTGCATTCAATAGACAGATTTATTATTTTGCATATTTCTTTGGCTTAATTGAAGAAAATTTTTTCTATTATTTATACATTAGAAAAAATATGAAAGTAATTAATCGTGTCCTTTTTTTTTAATTGTCACCACATTCGTTGCATGACTATACCAATAGATTCTAACGAAGTTTTGAATGATGGTGCAAAAAAATTATTAGATGAATTTCTCTACTTATTAAAATACTTTACTTTTCAGTAACATTCTTAATAATAAAAAAAGGCTTGATTTTTTGTTATGTTCTATTTGAGTAGCATGCCACATTATGAGTCATACATAAATTATTTTCCTTCTCCTCACACGGATACGCTTTAAACTAACAAATCACAAATTAGATGCGATCTATAGAGACGAAGAAACATGGACAATGAAACAGTCTCTACATACGCCCCAATATTTAGTTCAGTGCAAGTTCAGTATATTGTTATTTTATTTTTAAAACAAAACTCAATGAAATGCCATTTAATAAACGGACAGTTGAACCAATTAATTTAAGTCAAGTTAATGTACCAAAAGACATTCCAAATGAACTTGAATGTGTGTCTAATCATACTTTAGCGAATATAATTCGACAATTAAGCTCATTGAGTGCTCATGCACAAGATTTATTTGATGAATTAATTACCGATGCTGGGCATATATTTCAACGTACAGAAGCTTTACATGGACGAATTGAAAGGCTCAAAAATAAAGTAACACAATTAGATTCAAATATTGAAGAAGGTTGATTATCTTATTTCTTCTAAAACAAGTTTATAATAATTTTTCTTTTTCTTCTTGTGTGTCTTTCTAGTGACTATTGAAGATGTAAATAATCGAAAACCATTTGTCAGTGTAACTCGTATTGATCAACAAATAGTCAACCGTGCTACTATGCCACAATCACTTCGTTTGCTCTATGAACAAGCGGAACCGGCACCAGCTCTTCATCTATTGAATCCTTATCGGTGAGTTTATTTCACTTTTCTGAACATATTGTATAAAAACATTCTTTTTTTCTACTGGTAGTGATGATGGTCGAGATTCGATGAAATTTTATACTGATCCATCATTCTTTTTTAATTTATGGATGCAATCAATGATCCAATTTCCACAGAATAATCATGGACATCGATCCGGAAAACACGATCGACATCGATCACCGGTATAAGGAGAAAGAAAAATTCGATAGTTCGATTTTAACAATATCATATTTCTATATTTAGAAAGGATCAAAACTACACCATCAAGAATCAATTTATGCTTCAAATCCTACATCATCATCTCAAGCTCGTCTTATTCGACAATCAGCTGAAGAACAGCAATATCGTAGTCCTCAAGAGCTTATGCAACATCGTGGGGACTATGAATCACTCGCTCGTACTAATATTCGGTCACAACAACCGGTTAATTCATCACCCAATCATCGTCTTCTTCTACAATATCCAAACAATAATAATAACCAACAACAACAACAACATTCCGATTTAGTACAATATGGCAGTCCAGCATTTTCAACAGCTTCATCATATCGTGAACAGCAATCAATGACAATGAATTTTAGTACTGGAGCTACACCAAAATCACCATTAAATGGATTTAATATCGAACCGTCACCAAGACTAAATATTCATTCACCTCTGATTACTCGTCAAGCACCACCACCGCCGCCACCACCTCCACCTCCACCATTATTACCGCAGTTCGAACCAAATTATACTTCTACACACTATGCTCCAATGAAACAAACAATTGCTAGACCATCAGCTAGTCCGCCGCCACCACCACCTCCGCCTCCACCCGTAGCCCCACCTTTACAACCATACATGGGTATGCCAACATTGGCGACTATATCCGAAATTGATAATTTACCTCCACCACCAGCTGACTTCATTGAACAATTACCACCTTCATATCCTCCTCCACCACCTCCACCTCCAATGCCAACAAACATTCCACCTGCACCACCTTTACCAAATTCAACCATCCAGGCGCTTGTCGTGCGATCTTCAGCAGGAAGTACGCCAACAACAAAAACCAATTCAAATAGTAATACGAGATCATTATCTCAACGTGATGATGTTTCTGTTACATCAGAAAATTCAATTCCAGATCAAAGACCATTAATCATGCGTGATCTTCATTCTGATTTATTGGAAGAAATTAAAAAAGGTAAATCTTTTTTTTGCTTTCTTCATCCGTATGTAATTTAATTTCTAATGGTTGTTCAGGTATTCAATTGAATAATCGTAAACGAGAAGAAGAGAAGAAAGCTGCTGCTGTAACAACCAAAACAAGTGCACTTAATGTTATGGCCATTATGGAACAAGCAGCTAAATATCGTCGAGATAAGATTCGTCCACAATCAGAATCTGAGAATGATGATGAATCTTCACGATGGGATGATAGTGACTGAATGAATGAATACCCCTTATGTCAGATTATATTACTTCAGTGTTCTTAGATTCTCTATTCTTGTACAAATAACGCATGTTGATGTGACTTTCTCATTTTCTGTCTATATTGATAATGTGCAATCAGTTCTTTTTTCAAATGAATAAAAACAAAAGCGTAATATTTAAATCGTTGGTTGTATTATGAATTATTTACTACATTCAACTTTAGAGCTGCCGATTTGAAGTATCTTTATTAAATAAATACATAGTTTAAAGTTCCACGAGGAGGATTTCATAAATTCACCAGAGAAAATATTGAAATGAGATAAACCATTAAAAAAACGAACACCTACATTAAAATTCTTAATTGTATCGGTAATCATAGATGTAATTAGATATCAATGTTTTGAATCAATATAGTCCCTATATTTCATTTCGATAGCAAAAGATTAATTGTACACTCGAACCTTAATGCGTAAGATTATTCTGTTCATTGTTTTTATGGAATATTGTCTTCGATTTATTTAGCTTCGTTCTGTAAACTAGAAAATTCGTATCCAACAGGTCAGATTGAATACAAAAATCGCACAATTTCTTATAGACTAGAACATTGAAAAAATTCAATAGAGAAAACTTTCTCAAAACTCTCGTTAATTGAATTGAATTGATTAATCATCAGTAAGCTACACAAATACCTATTCTAATAAATAAAATAAAATAATAGAGACTAATTTTTTAAAAGAAAATATAGATGTCCAAATAATAACTCATTATTATGTATAAGCTAATATTTGAGAAATACTCATATTACAGTTCGACCAGTCCATTTATTTTCTGCTACTAGAGTCAAATTTGCTATGCACATGCGACGAGTGTCCAAATAAAATAGAAATCCTCTGCCTTTCCCTGATGAAATATTATTCTTTCTGAAAATATAATATATGAAGAATACATACGATTCATGTAAAGCGGTAATACATGAATGGTGCGTTGAATTAATAGAACATTTCTATATTCGTTGACTTTCTGTGATATTTATTTCGACTAAATTATATTACAATGTCTCGATGATTTGGAATTTTTAGTGTTCCTCGTCATTTGTTTTCTTGGTGCCAGCGTTGCTAGATCTTGTTTTTCGAACAAACTTTGCAAACGAGATATCTCGATCAATGAAACATTTTCATTTACACGACGAAGAGAATCTTGCTGCAGTGACAATAAAACTTGTTGTGATTCACTTTGAAGCATATGTTCGCTAAAATAGATTAAACCCAGACCATCCATCCCCGATAAAATACGAGCCATCTGCGGAAGATCATTTTTACAAAGCCATTCATGTACATGTGTCTCTGTCCAATCTTGTACATTGTCCGGCGATGATATTGCTTCTGATGGTCGTTGCATTAACATAGAGGAATCGACCAATAGTTCCACACTATTTAATGCTGGTTTAATAGATTTATTAGAAAGTTTATTACGCTCATCAGCCATTTTGAGTTCCTTCATCAACATATCGAGTGCTTTGGAATATTCATGTTTAGTAAAATCAACATACAATAATGAACCAATGAGAAATGCAAGCCATCCGTCAGGTTTATAATGCTTTTGCAATAGAATCGGTACCATATTTAATTGTTTCTGAAACGCATATTGGGCTTCGGCTCGACAATAATTACTTCGTCTATATTGTTCACTCATGCATATTAAGATGGTTCGAGATTGTTCGATAGCTTCTGCCATTGCATCTACGAAATTACCGTACATTTGATCGAAATCGATCCATACGCGATAGCCAACTCGGACGAGTTCTTCATACAATTGTTTACAAATATCCTTGTCTTTATGTGAATAACTGATCATAATATCGAATTTTTTATCATGACTACTATCATGTGCAGACTTTTCTTCGTGACTTAAATTCAAATTCCAAAGGATACCATTTACAGTTGTGCAGAGATTCTGATCATTTGTTTGACTTTTAATTTGCACTAATTTAGCTGTAAAGGATTTATTCGATTGGAGTTGTTGAACAATAATTGAATTGAATGAAAGAGCCCAGATAATATCGTATCCCATAGAATATTGATCACATATTTCAATAAGTAATGGTAGTTTATTGAAATTAACTGCCGCTGTTTGAATTGTATCGTTCGATGATAAACTCAAGAAACCTATTAAATTTATGTATCAATATCTAAATTAAATTATCGGTTTCACAAAAAGAAATTATTCATGAAAAATTTACACGATATATGAGAAATTAAAGAAAAAACAGAATGCGTGTACTATCTAGTCAACTTACTCGCGTTCCCATTACTGTTCTAGTATGACTCGATTAATCTGCCAATATACTGGATTGGAAGATTTTTTTTTCGCCTGTCGTTTTTCCTTAGAGAGTAGTGAAGTTACTTTTTCCTGTGTTGGCACAATTTTTTTACGAATTGAATAGATTTTGTTGTAATATTCTATCCATCTATTATTGCAACTTTAAAGTAATTAGAACTATTGTTGAGTTTGAATTGAGATGAAAATTACTTTTGATACTCTGAAATTCATCAACGTTATTTCTCATCTAGACTGATTCTCATTGTAAAGGTATGATTTCGTTTTGTAGATCTATTTTCTCATGTAGATTAAGTACTTGAAAAATTTTCTCTTACAAAAACAAGCTTGTATGAGCATACCTTTTAATAAATATGGAATTGAGATTTTTTTCCATTTCTTCGTCGGATGGTTCCACGCTTGTTCGAGAATACAAAAGAAGAATTCGCACATATTATTAGTAATTTTCAATTCTTTTAATTGTTTATCAGAAAGAATTTCAGCGAGAAATCCATAAGCACAAACACGAATTCTATCGTACGATGACGTTTGGGCTATAGACCAAAGTGTTGAAGTTAAATTTGTTTCTGAACTTATATAACAACCTAAATTATACGTTTCTACTATGCCGAATAAAAAGATTAAACTTGCATCCAGGAGAATAGTTTCATCATTGTATGAATGAGCAGAAATACGTTGGTGAAATGGTTGATAACTAACAATACGAATGAACGCATGCATATGTTCATAGTTTGTGCTTTGAGATGGTACAATCAATTCGATATGTTGCGGTTTATGTCCACCCCACCAACATGATGAACATACGAGACAGATAATACGTGCCACACAAGAAAGTAGTTCACTACTCCACGAATGCATAGTATGACTATGTACAAGAATCATTTTCGAATAATCTTCATTGAGAAATTTAATAATCTGTTCACCGGTAAAAGGAAAGTTTTGTGATTTCGACCATAAGTGAACGCTCAACGACAACGAACAAGTTTGAAGATAAAACTGTTGTTTAACAGTAAATATAGATTGTAGAAGGTTTGTTTCACAAAGTTGTTTTAAATAGAATTTATATTGATTTGTCATTAGGAAATCGCGACCCAATCGATTATTGAGATGTTGCATCGTTGGTGTAAAAACAATGTCAGGAAGTTGATGAGCTAAATGTGATAATGTCTCGATCCATAAACCAGCCAGTGTTAGAAATGTATCACTACTCGATTCAATCTGTTCAAGTAAACCATCAATCCAAGTAATATTCGATGGGATCAAAAGAGATATTTTTGTATCAGCCTGAATTTCATCATTATGTGAAATTAATTTCATATTAAATGAATGAAGTATGTGAAAGACTTGTGCGCAACTGTCTATATTGATCCACGAGTTTGAATCTTTACTTAACATTTGCCATGTCCACTGTTCGATGGCGAGTATAGACTTTAACGATACGGAAATAAATGCTGAGATTGTTTGAGAGTTTTGTTTTTCAAAAATATCTGTTATTCTGATTATTGAATTGCTAGACCAAGATGCATTGAGGAGGTCAGGAACAAGTTGTTCGAGATTGTCTTCCGCCATTTTGTTTTGCTTTTAACAATCCAACAGAACGTAGTGCAAGAGCAGGCGCAAGTAAATAAATTAATGCACGATGAAGTTTAAAATAACGGTACATAACATGCGTAAAAAGTAAAAGTAAAACTTGACTCATGCCACATAGGAAACAAAGACCCGTATGGCTGAGAGAGAGAGAGAGAAATAAGAAAAGCATTCTTTCTGTTCTGAAGAATCGAAGCGCAACCGTGTTTATTTTGAAGCTGTAAAGTTCGTCAATCGATGTTTCTATGCTACACAGTAAATATATATTATGCAGTTACAAAAAACGTTTTCAATTGACATTGATTTTCGATTATGCGCTTTCAATATTATCTCATTATGATTAGCACTGAGAATCAAATTGCAGCATTAATTTTCAAAAACTAATATTCAACAAAATCATTAAAATACCGAATTATCGATTACACGATTAATCTTTTTCGAGAGCATATTTACTAAATATTCCTTGCGAATGAATGATTTTAATAAAAAATCTTCACGGGATATTTTCGCTGAAACTAATCTAGTCACGCGTTTTTGTCTTACATGGCTTAACTTTTACTTAGGCATTTGAACACATTCAGTCACCGCGATTCATATTGATAAGATATATTCAAACGCTTTTCGAATCTAGCTCTCGCTATCATTGTTGCAAGTAACTGAACCAGGGGCTAACTCAAATAAGATTTTAGTAGCGAGCGTGTGGATGACTGCACGCTTCCTTTGGATAATCAGCTACTTGGACAACAGAAATAGCATTCGATTCGTTTGATAGTCTAACGAAAATATCAAAGTATTACATACGCTTGAAAATCGATTGTTGTCAGCAAATTTACCCTAGTGACAATAAATCCTCAAAGATGATGAACTTTAGAAAATTTTACAATTTTAAATGACACGTTTCACTTAGCTATCTCTGTATAAGAACATTACTATCAGATGAAGTCTAAATGAACCTGTTTCACGATGAATTTTTGAAAATACATCGGATAGCCAAGCTACGTGTGAAGAAATTAGCGCTTTAACACTTGCATTGAATCTGCACATATTAACCTATTGATGTTGGCTTTTTCTAAAATGAACATCACTTGCTGAAATCGATGTCAGAGTAATTAAATTCACTAAGTTACTTTAGTTTCTTTTCGTGAACAATCATATAATCAATTTTAATCATCGAGCAACTGATTTTAGGCTAATGCTTGACATCAACCATGTGCTAGCACACTTACTCGCTGTTTTATTTTATTTTTGTTTGATATTTTGTGAGCACAACTAAAATGTTAAATACCGAGTATCATTCTACGCTCGAAATAATAGTCGCAAAAAAAAGACGTCTGCCATCATTATCATTATTTCATAGTGGACATTTCTAAAGAGCAGCGGCAAGAGTGCCGTCTCACAATCGTGAAAAATCTTTCATTTGCTTATGAATGAATAAGAACTTCGTAAAAATAGTCTAAAAATATCGGATTATTATTATCATCATCGATTAATAAAATTTTAAACAGAACAGCTATAAAGTGGTACAATTTGTTTTGCGTCCTTGACGTCAACTTCTTCAATAGTAACCAAAGATCAGAGTCGAACCTATTACAAAATTGAATGTTATCATTGTCGAATCGAATTGAATCGATTGAAAATTTTGATAGAAGAAAGTCAAATCGAATACAGATTTTTTTTAAAGTACAAAAAAAAATCGAATTTTTTCATTCGTTTCGGTCTCTGAACAGAACAGACGTTTCATTCAATTAATAATGCACATGTGAAAATATGTATGTGGATCCAGTTAATCGCTTTGGCAGAAATGAAAAAAAGCATCACTCATGCATTACTTGCTAATAGGAGAGTATGACCGTTTTGACAAATTCTAATGAAATGATCAGACTGTGTTTAGAGAGAGAGATCAAAGTACGAGAATATCATCAAACTTGATTTTTCAAAAGAAATCTTGTTCGAAGTTTGACAATAAATGAATATAACCAAGTCACTATTAATCTCAATTAGAGCTGGGCAAAAAATCAGAGTTACTATATTAAAACGAATGGATTTGTGTGATTTTTTGAAAAATTTCAGAATTTAGTTAGCTTCGATTTATTTCGATTATAATGTGTCTTTGTCATTTTGATATATCAAATGAAATGCGAGTCAAAACGTCCTTCGCTTTTCGTCCTTTCACAATGTCGTTGCTGGTATATAGAAGGACAGTCTGAAGGAGCGAAGAGGCGAAGTACATTTTTGATTGGCACTAAATATAAGGTTGCCGTTCTATGACAAATGAATCTGAAAAAAGTTTTATTGGTAAAATTTAGTTTCGATCTTTCTGAATTCTGTGTAGAAGGTCATTTCAAATTTACAAAATGGTTGAAACCGAAGTTGGTTAGCATTGCCGTCAGTGAAACATCGATAACTGGCTGCACAACAATCAAGTATGTCATTTTGAATGGTGGAACAAAATTTTAAATACAATTCTAGTATCAATCAATTGTTCTTCTCTTTGAATGCTGTCACCTGCTAGAATTTCTCACCGAACAAGTCATTTTGAAATTCATTCTATTTACATGAACTGTCAAAATCTCAATGAATTCATTGCATTATGAGAGACATTTAATCACATTGATTGTTTCGTTGTGGGCATATCCATCGTTGGCTCTTACTGTTGATTTCAAATATACTTCTATGGATTAACGTCAGCTTGTTTGTTGTTAATATTTTCATTGTATTTTTTCGATCAAAAAATTCAGCTCAAATAAAATAGCAGTTACACAAACAGTATTCAATATAGCAATTATGCGCACTAAGATAAATCAGGAAAAAATCGATCTTACTTTATATTTATATTTTTCGATTAAATCTATTGAAACATCGATAATGCTATAGTAATATAAACTTGTTTTTCATTTTACTGCTTTTGTTCAAGATAAAAACGTGTAACTGTAAGGCGTTCTCATTGTACGATTTTCAAATGCAAAATAATCGAAATTACAATTACGTATTAACATTTTCTTTTCATTTTTATGTCTATAGAAATGTTAACAAGCGAGTAGCTGCCTAATTCGACTTCGAATATAAATGAAAAAAAAACCGCTTCCATGTTTTCACGTCCCTGTCAGAAATAGATTTCGATTTTATAAATTGACGTCACTCCCATTTATAATTCAGGATATAGAAATAAATTTAGATTTTATAAACTATAAAATTTATAAATGAAACTTTTGCTTTTGCTTTTTTGCTGCAATTAACATAGGTGCGGTTTTTTTTTTACTTATATTCGAAGTGGTAATGATTATTTCATTCTCCATTTATAATCAAATTCGAATTAGACAATTCATGTAGCAATGAAAAAGTTAATTTATCATATCAAAAATAACTAGAAATCAAGAAATCAGTTTTCCCCCCTTGGTTTTAATCACAAAGAAAATTTCTATTATGTATCAATAAGTATTGTATAAAATATTATTTTTTAGGGTTATGAAACACGAGTAGGAGAAAAGGGTTAGTTTTCTGTCCGGTGGGTAAACGCAACGTATTGTGATTGCTCGAATTCTGGTTCGTCGGCCTAAAGTATTGCTCTTAGAGAAAGTTACAAGTGCTATGGATTTACAAAATGAAAAAGCTTGTTTTCTCTCTCTCGACAATCACGAATTAAAGACTTCATCGTCATCTTTTAATTATAGATTGCACAAGAAACCCTGGAACAGGCTCAACTGGAAGATCCTAGTCGAACATCACTTATTATTGCTCATCGTCTTTCAACTATTCATTCGTGTGATTTGATTTGTGTATTGATAAAGAACATATCATTTAGAGTGGTACTCATATAGAATTGACACAACGACGTGGAGCTTATTATAAAATGCTGAATCAAAACAATTTACAATAATCTCCAGTGAAATACTTTGATAATGAAATTTTTATTTTTCTAAAATCATAAGACATTGACTTGTAAAAAGTCAAACGCATGATATTATTGAATAGTTTTAAAATGTTGGGATTTTTCTCCCATCTATTATATTATTGAGCAATAACTTTTTATACATAATATTTGTTCATACACATCAGTATAAATGAATTAACTCTCAAGATTAATATCATCAAACGAAATTGTTCAAATAATATTAGTTTATCACAGAATCTATCATTAAATCTGCAAATCTCAAATAGTTTTGTTGAGGATCATATTTCGGCCAGTGTGGATCTTTTCTAGTTACATATGTTGTTATGATCATTCACTTTCATTTACCTCTCTGAGAGGAATCGATTACCTAGCAGAGTGATTCGTTTCCCAGTGGAACTATTCGATACATAGCAGAAGTGATCAATATCGATAACCATCCTTATAAAGTTTTCATAACTAATTGGTAAAAATGGATGGTTCCGCGATTAGAATCATGAACTTGTTTAATAGTAAAATTGATGTTTGAATTCTTATTTGGCCACTCTTTACTTTTATGTCATTTAGAACTTTCTGATACTTGATTTATGGGAAAATCCATAGTTTTTTCTCGGTTATAAATCCTGTTATTTACCAGTGAATAGCTATCTTATCGGATCTATTTTTGAAATATATTACTCATTGATAGTTCATCATTTAAATCTCTTTTATAATATAAAATGATTCCTCACTAGACTACTTTTCTTTCCAGTAGGTTCATTTAGAATATACACATTTCTTATAGAATAATATAATGGCAGTTTCATAAAACTCAATAGCTTTTTGATGGACTAGTTCTTTTTTTTAGCAAATTTATCCTGAGAACACCAGCATTTATCTACACAAAAATCTAATACAACCATCAGTAACACTAGATTACGTAATGGTTTAGAACCTGTCTTCTTGGGTTGCATGTACAAGATGTTAAACATTATTCGGTTTACGTTTTTTTTGTATGTAAGAGATCTTCTCAAAAATATTTCCGTAGAAAATTTAATAAAATAACTATGTATCATGAATCTTGACTATACTTTTTAAATTTGTGCATGTAGTGTTGCTTGTTTAAAATTTATTGATTCTTATCCGGCCATTGCTGAACTGACATGTTACTATACTTATGATTTATTCGTAGATTATATGTAAATTTTATTGGTATCTTGTATGGCTTATCCGCGGTGTGTTATTGGAAAACTTGAAATTGAATACATGATTGATAGTTATTCGGATAATATTATTAATACATTTTGTAGTGTTCAGTAAACTTATCGAAACCTGAAGACAATATTTTGAAAAAACAGAGGACAGTTGTTGATTATCTAAATATTTTTTCCTTGAAGACTATTAAACTCTTTTATATATACTGTATACAAGATCAAGATAATATCAATCAAATTTCATACAGATTCTTAAGATAATTATATTTCAACTCCAACAAATAACTTTCTCATTCAATTATATTTTTTTCTGATCTATTTTCGGACACATTGCGTATTTGCAGTCAGAGCAGCTGGACATGGGACTTCTTTGAAGCTCATTTTTGGATTGTCTGCATTTTGAAACCAATCAAATCTCCAGAAGCAACCAGAACGTAACGAAGCTGGTAGATTGTTACATTCAGATCGCTGACTGATACCACCATACTGTTGTCCCCATGAACTTTTGGCAACTTCAGGAAATTGATTTGAGCATCCATCAAAAAGACCAACTCCACCACCAGGCATTTGGATATCGAAGTGATTTTCACCGAGATCACCACCCGTATTTGTTACTTGTACAATTAATTCTTTGCCAGCAACAGGTCCCGATGTAAATAACAAGGAATAACAAGCACAACACCAACTAGATTCGCTTTGGCCCTATTTTAGAAACTGTAAATCTATATTTCACCAGTGTACAAACAATTTCTTACAGTTATGTATGCAGCAGCATAACCATATGAAAGACTTGCACTAACATTCCATGGCTGTTGATTGCTGCACATATAAGCGTTACCTCCGTGACAACCTGATGCATCATTAACACCGACTTGTGTGATACCATTTCTTGCACATGTTTTCACTGGACTTGTAACACTTGCTTTACCTGACCAACCGCAGCTTGCTTTGCAACAATCCCAATAGCGAGTTGTCACACCATTTTTTCGACCAGCAGTTGGTGGTGCTTGTGTCGCTGGTTTAGGTGTCGTGTTACCAGATCCTCCAGATGATGGAAGACATTGCGAATAATAGTCGTTTTGGAAGTTACATGTTGATCCAGTACAGCATTCTGAAGAACCTTTCCAATCTTTTCCACCACATTGTGCATAGAGTGCACTACAACTTCCTGAGATAAAACAACGACAATATAATTATTAAAATGTCTGAAAACGGGATTTATATATATATATTAAAATAGATAACAGTATAAGTTGACACGTACTTCCGTACTTTCATATTTCAATGTAACACTATTTTAAACAACTATACTTATTTATCATGACATCAATCTATTCCTAACTTTAACACGATATAAAATTCGAAAATACCATTGCCAATATCATTTCTAAATTCTTTATATCATTTGATGAAAATAAAATTTCTAAATCAACTATTAATCGTTATAAATTTTTTCTTACTTGAACTTGGTAGATTCGATATAGCAATTACTAGAAGAAAAGTCACTTTCAACATATTTTGTCTTGCCTGTGTTAAATAAAAATGATTAGCCTTCTAAGTTTTCACGACAAATGCATCCTCTTACTTTTGCTAACGAATATGAAACAATACTTCTTGCAATCTGAAAATATCCACATATTGTGCGCGATTTTTATATTTCAATGTTGCCGCCTACGTCTATTTGAAGAACGACCATTGTCGTTGTGAGAAAATTTTAGAATAACAAAAATAACTCAGTAAGCCGATGATATCGTCTTCTTTTTGATTGCAAAACAGGGATATATCAGCAATTATTTGATAAGAAAAAGATTAGTTTTTTGAAATAGCATCGAATTATATCTTGAGTACAACATTATTTTTATAAACGCAGGTACTTGCAGATTATTTGAAGTATCGTGAAGAAACCTGAATAATTTCAGTTGTGTTTAGATTTTACATAGCGTTATTTAATATGAGTATCTGATGGTGTGAGTTTGTAGAGTAACAGGCGAGAGAATAGACACTTGTACCGATCTGCACGCACAGTTAATTCATTTTTTATTTTCATTGTATTGCTCGTACATTGATCACATACTGCCTCGGTGAATTTTTTACCATTGCATAAAGGCTTAATCAGCCACCTTTTGATCATAGTCTCAAAAAAATGTGGAACTGGCCCATTACATTCTTTTCAACCTGACATCTGGTATAACTCCAATCTGCAATTGATTTAATAGTTATTGCTATTTGTTTTAAAGAGTATCATACAAAGAAAAAACGATCAATCCTAGTATTCATACCCACGCATCATTTTGAGTAGAAGGATTTTAACAAGCGATGTATTAATTATGTTAACTAATGTTGGAGTAAAAACTCGACTAAAATCAAGGCTATTTGATTCAATTTGAAATTTTATTTTTTTGCTTTCAAGATAAATTACAAATCGTTTTATTCGTCTTTAATCTACTAAGAATGATCCAAGTCAAATAAAACTTATGTTTAAAATTAATCAATCAAATTTTTCTGACTGATTTTTAATTATCTGTTTTTTATTGGTTTGCAATCCTGCATGGAAATAGAAAGAACGTTTGTATCTACTGTCAGTCTACCAAGCCTCAAAGAAAATCTTCACAGCATAGGCTAGCCTCTCTTTTACGATATATGATAGCTAACCTAGTTGTACAGCATTCGGGGAACGTTATTCGTAAAGGAGAGAGAAGCCAAGTTGCGTCATTTTTTCACTTTCATATGATATAACTGTTAGCTGCAATCGGGACATTGAACTATTAGTAAAAGATAATAAGTCAAAATTATTTGACGAGTGCGATGGCATAAACTAACAGAAAGAAATACGTCAGAAAGATTTGTACTACTGTTCGATTGGACGCGAGGTTGTACTTTTCTATTGAGCGGAGACTAACATGTGAATCAAAGACCGAAGTTAAATTCAAAGGCAACTAGTTTATAATCGAATCAAATCGAGATTGCTTTATTGATTTTACTTTATGACGCAAATCAAATGAAATAGATCATTAGACATCGCGAGATCGAATTTTTACATCGGGGTTTTGTGTGCATAGTTTGGAAAATGTATTGTCAGATATTTTTTTTACAAATACTGGGCATCTTATATGAACATGTGTGAAAGAAGAGCTTGTACTACTATATTTGATAGAATGTTTATATGGAATTCATAGAGCTTTAAGTTTATGAATGTTGCCAAAAACTGGTCATGACCGAATAAAGATTTCGAAAAGTTAATTGCTTGTTAAAATTTCTTAGAGCTTGATGATAGGATCTAGACGGCAAAACAAAGCGAATAGACCAGCAATCGATGAAGAAAATCCAAGAAGATACAAAAATGAGTTAAGACACGAACGTTGATCGAGTTTAGTGCAAAAAAAAGCAAAAGTGAACACCAGCCGAGGCACAACAAGGATATGCCAAGCAAGATTGGTGCAATAAGTACGTGTTTGTGTTTAATCAATTGATCCTTTACAATTCTAGTGTTGAATGCTTTTCTTGTTAGTAGTCCAAGTGGAAACAGCAGACTCGAACTCCTTGGAGTTAGGTGGAGTCACTCGGAATCACATGGAGACAGCTGGTTGCATAGAATCACATAGGATCCCAGAGAGTCATACCTAAATACGAGAAGTCACACGGAGTCTCTTGGAGTCACAGTAAGTGTCGCAAAATCTCTGCTGATCCCGAGAAAACCATTGTAGAAATGGGAGACTGATACGTTTTTGCTTTTTTCTATCATATGTATCATTATGTAAAATAGTTATTAGTTTCCTTCTTTGTCGGAAATTGTCCAAAAAAACCTTCACATAACAGAACAATATTACTCAGTACCCGGAAGTAGAATTCCCAAAGCTGAACTGTTTCTTCTGTAATAGGAATTCAACTTCCGGGTACTGAGTCATACTGTCAAGAGGGAAATGAGAGACTTCATCTTCCTGGAATCAGATGGAGTCATGGAGTCTGCTGTTCCCCCCTTGGTTTTGGTACATTTGACAGGCATGAGTTTTCTTTGGTAAATAAAAATGTATCAAGAGAAAATAAGAGATAGTCATAAATTATTGGAATTTCATTGATTAATTTGTAGATGTAAGAAAAGAATTTTTGTCTTGTTTATGAAAGCATAGAGACATTTTGGAGAAGCTGAATAAATTATCCTGTTAAATAAGAATATACATGAAAAGGATTAAAACAAAATACGCCATTGTTTTTATAAATAGATGTGAATTATCTGAGTTAAGAAAACTAAATATTTCAAACTATAGGACAACTAACAGTCACTCATCTTCAGATCACAATTCATTTTACAACAGTTGAAGTAAACAATACTAGACCGCATAGGCATGATAAAATATCTCTTTATTAGAGAGGCACTTGTCTTTATTTTTATTCGAAATACAAAATAAGCATACGAACAAAGAGCAAGAACACAAAAAAATATAATCATACTCTGACTCATCACTGCTCATATGGATACATCTGAAGAATTCTTTTTACTTCTAAAATAATAATGCCTGTTTCAGTCTATTAGAAATGGATATTTCCTCATTAATTAAAGCATACGATTGTCTATAAAGCTTTTATGTAAATTAGTTAAAAAAATCTTTAAACATAAGAACTTCTCGTGCTTCACTTCAATGTTTTCCAAGATAGTAGTGTTTGTATAATGAACAAAACTTAATTCAATAAAAAAAAGAGAAAAACGAAATTTCTTGACTGAACCGGCGATTTCGTGCAGTGCACCTAGTTTCAAAGCAAAATTCGTCATTTAATATATTTACAACTGTAAACAACTAGGAATGCAAAAATACGACAAGATTCTCTTGGAAAAGAAGGTTTCTTTTAATCTCAACAATTCTAAAAGTTTTAGAAAACGATTTCGCATACACTGAAGACGATTTCTGGGAAACGCTTTTTATTTAGTGTTCGTCATTGTGCGTGTCGTGAATTCATTAAATCAAGTTAAAAATCATTAATGTTCTGCGTTTCAATTCCGCATGGGCGACTGTAACAAGTTTTTTCTTAAACGGCACTGTTTACCAAAATAAGATACAAATTGTATGATAAATGGTAGATAAAGTGGGTTACACAAAGATGAAATGAAGAAGAAAAGAAAAATCCCGAGAAAATGAAAAAAAAAATGATGTCCTTTTTTGCCAGTTGCTGTTGAATTGCTGCGTTGATTCCATGTTGTGCCTTCTAAAAAGTAAAAAGAGTCTAAAAATTGAGTTCATGGAAATGTTTTAAGACACTTACTTGCTGACTCAAAATACTAGTTCAGTTATTTTTTTGCCATTGAAAGCACTATAGTGACAGTCGGAGTGAAATATCACGTAAAAAATCAAGCACTACTACTACTGGATTATTCATAAATTCTGCCTATTGTAGCGTTAGTCGTTCAAATTAAAGACAGAAACGAAGACTATATTGGACAAGAAAGATTCAAATCATACTGCAATTCAGCTATCTTAATGTTTCTGTAGTAGATATATTCAGTTTATAAAATGAGATGAAATCTGTTTAGATGTGACTGATAGCCAACATTGTGTTCACCTATACTAAGAACATGAATTCAAATTTCTGCAGATATGATACAATGGGTAACTATACAACAGATGAATCGCTCATAGTAGGATTATTAGGTTCAAGAATGCCATTTTATTTTGAAGAAAAGCTCCATAATTTAACATAACGAAGGATCGCTCAGTGAATGAATGATAAAAAGGGGATCCAATTCCAATATTTACTTGAGTTTAAGATTAGGATATCACTACCCTAACTGATTCTGGATCAGGTCTCAAATGTATTTCAATAAGGATTTTTCTATTCTGATATTCCAATAAATTCAAATTCAATATTGACCACTAGTTTCATGATGAGAATTGCTATAACTACTGAATAGATCTAAGTAGGAATTTGTTCAACTACTTTGTGGAATAGAACTAAAATATGCCCAACAGGTATCGATACCTAAGCTAACATCACCAATGACTCTTATCAAAGGATCTACTCTATTATTTTCCTCACTTTGTAGTACTCAAATAAGTTTGTCAATCCATTCATTATAACGTCATACATGCATCATTAAAACAATCATTCAGTTCAATAATAGTGTTCTCTTGAAGTTACAATAATGTCATTACCACACCAATCGATTTTGCAGAACAAAAGTATAAATCTAACAAACCTTTTGCTCATAGATTTGACTTCATTTCTAGCAAAAGCTTAATCTCTGTGAGATCATCAATAGTCACACATCAGATAAATAATTCAAAAAAATACTCCATTTCACTATTTCCAGCACTTCGATGTTTCCATTTTCCAATATCAAGTTATGCAACAATATATCGAAAGAGAACTAACCCCAGTAGCATTATATTCACTAATAACGCCAGTACAAGTGTTAAGAATGAAAAAGAATGTCATCAAAAATAGAGTACGTAGTAGGGGAAAATCGCCACAACGACGTTACTCATCAATTCGAGCACAACAGATAGAAACTGACGGGTTTATTATACTATAAAATATAACAAACGGATTGAATACTTCAAACAATTCTATGATTCAACTTTTAGAAAAACTTTAAGCAAACTTTCTATCTATTTCCATGAACCAACGATCACAACATCATTGAATCATGATAACTGTCACATTGTTTAATAGTATTCCTTGCATTAAAGTAACAACGTCACATGTGCAATAGCAACAGGATCAAATCAACTCTGAAAGATACTAACGCAATAATCTCGTACAACTGTTGCTCGCACCCCAAACAGTGATGTCCACCCGCTATTCATACTATTGGTGATCGCAACACAAAAGAGCAAGCCTCAGAACAATACTGTTCGACTTCTTTCGGCAATCGAGATCCATAACTGAAATACAGAACATATCACTTACAATGAAAAGAAATACGAACGAATTCCAGTATCATTCCATTCTACTAGCTTTATAAGAGTGAACTAAAAGAATGCGAGTTAGCCATTGAAAAACACATGAAATGATGACGGAATGATTTTCAGCAGAATTCTCTTCAACTATGTTTGAAGCACATAAATAAAGATCGTTATTGACTCATTAGAAAGCAGATGACATGACCAAGAAACAATTTTCATTAGGGCACTGGTCAACAAATTCATAGCTGAAAACAAAGATTTTGGTACACGCCATGAAAACAAAAATAGCACGACGAAGGAATGATCCTGAGCAACATCTTGTTTAATAATTCAGAAAAGGTGGAAGCATTTGTTAGATGTAAGTAATATACGTAACAATAACATCGAGAATGCACGGTTATAAAAAGACTTCTATTAAAATACATTGGAGACACGGAATTCAGGGCCTTAAATATTTACCATCAGAAAAAAGGTGATAGGATGAGAGAATGATTATCACCAAGGTTCTGATTAACAACAGTAGCGACGGTTAAGCAAAGATCTATAGTGGATCCGATGAAAGAACATGATATGACCAGTGAATGCTTCTCATAAAATTGCTGTTCAACTACATTGCAAACATATAATAGCATAGATTTAGTATATGACATGAAAGAGGATACCATGCACTGAAAAAAAAGGTATCATACGAAACCCCAGAGGTATCCGATTTTTGCAACCAAATCGAAATCCTTTGAGGTTTCGTAAAAAGCCTTAATTTTAATAGCTGATAACAGGCGTTTCGTATTTGGGGTTCCGTATAATTCACCACGCAATATTGAATAAAAGATCCGCCGGGTGCTATGCTCCATTATGGAAGTAGTTTTCCACCACTATTCACTACAAAACACACCCATTCTCTAAAAAAAGAACCGGGTTCTGTAGAAACCACCAGGAAAGTTGTCTGAAAGTCGCCGTATTCTGCAGGAGAGCACAGGATATCGCTGGAACATGGAAGCAGTATTCCGACCACCAGCTTTCGCAAATTGTTTTCAATGATTTCCGCCGCAACTTGCCGAAAGGCATCGCAAGTTGGTCGGAACTCACTAGAAAAATTAGGAAGGTTTGCGACCGGGATACTTTTTCCATGTTCCACCGACATCATGTGTTCCCCTACAGAATACGGCGGCTTTCAGGCATCTTTCCTGCCAGTTCCTCCAGATTCCGGTGGGTGAAGCGATCGGTGTGGGATGTTTCATCTAAAAAGAAAAAAAAATTAATTAATCAGCTTTTAACTTTCTAAATGACTCACCATTAAATATTGCTTCATCTGAGAATCGATCTAAGAAGAAATAAAATGATTTATCAGGTGGTAACTTCTAAAATCGAACCCGCCATTAGTATTTATTCATCTTACACTTGACCTAAATATAAATATAATAATTCATCAGCATATAACTTTCAAAATCGAACTCACCATTAGTATTTCTTCATCTGAGGGTGGATCTAAATATACGTAAAATATTTCATCAGGTTGTAACTTATAAAAATGGAACTTACCATTAGTATTTGTAGAGCTGAGCCTGGATCTAAACAGAAAAAAAATAATTCATCAACTTGTAACTTTCAAATCCCAACTCACCCTTATCATTTGTTCAAGTGACCCTTGCGTTAAATCGAAACAAATACTTCACCATTTCTTAAGTTTTAAAGTAGAACTTACCATCATTATTTGATCAAATGACGCTTGATCTAAATAAAAATCATATTCGGGTTGCTGGAACTCGATAAGCTATTACAAACTTTCATCAAAATTTATCACCGAGTTGAAATAAAAAATCTACCTTTACAGTTTTTGACTTACGCAGGGACCGATTTTCTGACCAATGTGGACGCGACGCGAAAAACTGACTACATATTCGGGTTGCTGGACCTCGATAAACTATTACAAAGTTATTTGAAAATTTTGCCCGGCGTTGTAATAAAAAATCTTATTGTGGCAGTAATTGAATTTTTGATCGGTCTAATGTGGTGGGCGAAAACGTTCTTCAGAAATATATTGAACTGACATGATGGCCTCCTTGTGTAGCGGTCATAAGCTTTTATACTGTGGGATCCTCTTACAAATTGGGAAAAGCTCGGAAACGGATGTTCTTGTTGAGTGTGAATGGGGTTCTTCGAAAATTCTGAACAGTAGAAAATAGAAGTTATTATTTTGAATGGTAATGTACTGATGAACGAATTGTACACAAGGTTTATTACGAAACCCTTCTGAATACGAAACTTGAAAGGGTTTTTGACCAAACCTCTGGGGTAAGACACAATTCGAAGGGTTCCAGACGAAACCTTTTTACATTTTAAAACTCTTTGAAGTCTTTTACAGAACCATGGATTTCGCGAAACCTCATAGTGGTTTCGTATGATTCTACGGATACTTATATGGTATCGTAAAACTCGACGAAACCTCAAGGGTTTCGTGGGACACCTTTTTCTTTTTTCAGTGTAGAGTAAGAAGCAAAGCACAGCGATCGATTAATATTTTTATTCAGTGACAACGAAAATGAGTATGTACCCTTTATCCATAGATTGATTAAAATCGATATTCTCTTCAGGGTGTGATTAATTATTTTAGTTTAGTATCGATCAAAAAATGGAATATTGAGGAAAATTTAATTCAAATGAAGTTAATGTAATGAGTGCAACATGGAATAAAAATCAGTACAAAAATGAATGTAAGGAAACATTAAATATTCTTGAAAACTGCGATAACCATCATCAATGCAGCGGCCAAAAGGCTCAACATAGGCTTTGAGGTAGAAATACCAGTATTGCAGAAGTCTCTGTTACAACAACAAACCCATGTACTGCGCCCAGCCACATTCTTCCATGAACACCCATTAGAAAAGCAGAGACCTGGCAGAGCAATACCTCGTGTAGATATTTCATCTGGTAAACTGCTACTGCTCATCTTCTGCAAAAAAAATAAATATTTTTTAGAAAATAACTAAAGAAATAAACTTACGGCACACCATCCTGTAGTTGAAGAGACTCTTGTAACATACATACTAGAAGATCTGAATGGTCGTGGACAAGTCGAGCAATAATAGCAAGTTAATGGAACATATGCATTACATAGATCTTGATTATTACAACAACAAACCCATGTCCTACGTCCAGCCACAGTCTTCCATGAGCACCCGCTAGAAAAGCAGAGACCAGGCTGAGCAACACCTCGAGTATAAGCGCCATCGGGTGAACTGGTAGCACTCATCATCTATAATATTGTTTTACTAACGCAAGTGTTGGAATCAAATAAAATTATCAAGTAAAAAAACTTACGGCACACCAACCAGTATTTGAAGGGGCTGTTGTAACATATGGACTTGCTGGATTGAATGGTCGTGGACAATTGGAACAATAATAACAGTAATTGCTCACTCGTTCAGCGGATATTTCCGTCGCATTGCTGCATACAGCAGCGCCTATAATAGATATTTAGAAACAATTCTAAAAATATTTTGAATTTTGTCCAAGAATTGATACCAATATAGGTTGTTATCAAAGACAAAATAATGAATACGATATTCATTTCAACAAGTTTCTAATATGAAAGTGAAATCTACGAAGATATTAATGATATAAAAACGAGTGTTGATATCTTTATTTTATAGGATTTGTTTATGAAATTTTGGTCTTGCACCACAAATGCATAAGTTGATTCAATCAACAACAAAAACATTTTCGAGTGGTTATCTATTTGACGTAAAAGGTAAAAACAAATAAATGACGTAACAATTACTGTGAGAGCCATGGATGATAAAGAAAAAACATGACCAGTGACTCTCTTATCAAACTCAGATAGAACCTTCAGCTTTGCATATAAAAATATTTTGGGTGTTTGTATATATGCATGTTATAGTATCATGAATGGAACAAAAACTAATGGCAACAAGATTGAATTATAAAGATAGGAGTTTCACGAGAATTCTCCATGAGATCTCAATCATGATTAAACCTGAAATATTCAACTCTAATGATGTACAATATCTATACTTGAACATCAAGAGTTCTATTTATTCTATGTGAAGGAAAATTCATCAAATGTTCACTCATCTCTATCTAGATGAAACATTTTTTTCTTCTTCTATTATGAACTGCAATTTTGGACACAACGTGTTAGAATGCTGCTTCTTTTTTTTGTAGCCTTTTTCGTCAACCAGTCAATGTTTTTCGAAGAGCTCTATAACAGAAACGAAAACTAAAACACTTGAAGAATCATCTGATTCCAAAGTTTCATATTAATGACTAAGTTGGTCAAAAAGTAAAAATCGATTCTGCTCAATATTAGAAATAACAGATAGTTGAGGTTAGTTAAATCCTAAACATGATTGTGTAAAGATATTTTTCTAATCTTATGCATTCTGTATCGAAAAAGTAATTTCAAGAACAAGAATATATATATTAATTAAATTAAGACAAGTTTTAAAAACTACTGATTGATTTTAAATTTCGAAAAAAGATTTCATACAAATTATCTTTCAAGCTTCTATCAAATATTCTGACACTTCTTCATAGATATATGTCATTCTACAATCCATTTTTTGTATTACATCAATAACTAGAAAAATGGCAAAACTACGTTTTTGATCGATTGATAACAAATATCAATTTAAATTTAAAAGAAAAACAAGACAAAGATGAGCTTTTTCTAGTAGAACATATGACACATGTTGACAGAGTTTAACATTTACAAATCTATCAGCAATTCATTGAATATGAATTTTATCATGAAAAAAAAGAATTTTTGTTATTAACTAAATAGCACTTGTGTACATTATCTGAATTCGAATAATTGAAAATCTATCAAAATTTATTCGTATTTAGATTGTTAATTTTTGCAGTGTGCTATTATTTTATCACATAGAGCCTTTTACCATGTATCAAAAACGGGAATATCTAAATCGATCTGAGATCTGTTGAAATCATAAAATTATCTTTTATTTCAATATTTTAAGGTTGACAACAAACTCAGAGAACATGCTCGATTCACATGGGTTGTATCACATGTTTTATTTCAATTAATTGCTTTCTCATAGTAATCCTTTAAGAAGCAGTAGCTGGACAACAATAACGAACTTTGTAATCATTGCAAATTCTGTTTCTATAATTAGAAATTTGTTGATTCAAACATAAAAATCCATCTTTAACAGTAATTCGAAATACATCTCCAGTAGTTGAAGGACTTGCACCATATGAAGTTTGAGCCTAGAAGAAGAAAAAGAAATAAATATTCATTTTTATAATGGATGATAAGAAAATTTCAGCATACTTCGATTGCAGTTGGATATAAGCACATAAAAGTTGGGAAAAGCTTTTGAATATGATTAGTAATTTCAACGTCGCCTTGTGTTGCACTTGGATCATTTGTATCATACCATGTCGTCCATTTGTAACTGCCTGTACAACTACCTTCTCCAAATGTATAAGGTTCAAATATGCCTTGTTGAGATGAAATACCGTTGAAGAACAGAATCAACAAAAACACAGTAAAAAGCATGTTTTCTTATTGAATAGATATACTTGAATATTGTTGTTAATGAAATCACAATAATAAAAAAAACAGCCATTAAAATAGGGTATAAACTAAGCCTCTCATGATTGCAATCATCATTATCATCATCATAGAACCATTGCAATAACATTGAAATTTGAGATGAGAATGAAAATAATTGGATTTTTGTGATTTTTTCTACCTGTCGTCTGACTTCCATTAAGAAAATACTAATTTAAAAATTGATCCACAATAAGATCGCTGAAATATAAAAGTACGTCAATATCCGGTGAAAACATTTATTCTTATTGTTAAATAGAAGATTTTAACACGATAAAACAACCAATCATTAGTCATTGAACAGATTAAATTCTTTAATTATCTTCAAAAATAAAAAGTAACTGAGATAGATTCAACGGTGAATTTTATAAATCTGATGAAACTTTATAAAAAAAAATTATTATAGACCGAACGAGAAAAAACACTGAAAAGAAAAAAAATCATTTTTTCTCGAATATTTGGTTACAGTCAATGAAATACAATATTTGATTTTTTTAAATACCTTTTCTACTCTTTTATACATTCTTCATTTTCGAAAAAATGATCACTCTTATAATACTTAAAATTGTTCGAGATAATATTAAATTACAGATACATTTCGATCCGAAGATGATGAATACAAAAACAAAAATTTTGGCTATTTTACAAGTGTTTATTTCTTTAATTTACAATTCAATTAGGAAGTTATTAGAGTTATCATGACAAGTCAAGATTTATATTCTATTTGATTTGATTCGACAATGTTATCTCTATTTAGATATTAATCAGAAGAAAAAAAACGAAGAAACATTTCATATGAATTTTAATATAATGTTTTGTTTTTTCATTAAGCAACGTTTTACAGCAATAGTATAGTCATTATAGAAACAAGAGCATCAGCTGTGAAACATTTAAATTCGACAAAATTAACTTCATAATGAACTTATTCGAATATTTTATTTTTCGAAAGTATTACTAAAAGTTTTCACAAATTCTATGAAAGCCTGATTATTTCTCTTGTTGTCGAACTTTTCTTCATTAATCTCAATTAAATTATAAAAAAAATACTGAGGAAAATAAAAAAAAGAATCCAAAATAGTTTTATAAAGAAAGACTTTTTTTTTTAAATATATCATGATGTTAAAAGATTTGTCTTTTCAAGTGTATCATCATCATAGATGCATATATGCAAAATTTTTGTCTAAACCATAAATTAGATTTCATCTAGAAGTATTCATCGTAACATTTAAAACTTCTTTTTTTAAAGATAACATTGTCCTTGTTTTTCTTTTATGAATGGTATCTATCTATCTAAGAATAAAATACTTACTACCTTGTTATAACTAAGTAAGTAAAGTAAATGTCAGATATACATATGAATCGTTCTTATCTTAACTTGATATCATCATCGTTCTATATAAAATGTCTTGTCATTTCAACACTTGCATATAGAATTGTAACATGTCGTCTTCATTTATTGATCTTCGTTCAGATACAGTGACAAAACCAACAGTTGAAATGTATCAAGCAATGTCTGATGCTAAAGTTGGAGATGATGTTTATGGTGATGATCCTACTGTATTAGAACTACAGGAAATGACAGCAACATTATTAGGAAAAGAAGCAGCTTTATTTGTTCCATCAGGAACAATGGGAAATCTTATTTGTGTTCTCAATCATTGTTCAGAATTTGGATCAGAAATGATATTAGGTGATGAATGTCATATTCACTTATATGAACAAGGTGGATGTGCAACATTAGGAAGAATTCATTCTCGAACAGTTCGAACACAATCAGATGGTACACTTCTACTTGATGATATTGAACAACAAATTCGAACAGCGAAAGATAATGATCATTTTCCCCAAACAAAACTTGTGTGCTTAGAAAATACACATAATCGTATGGGAGGAAAAGTATTAACAGTTGAATATATACAATCTGTTGGAATATTATGCCAACAATATGGATTAAAATTGCATATGGATGGTGCCAGATTAATGAATGCAGCTGTTCAATTGGATATTCAGCCAGCTAGATTAGTTGAATGTTGTGATTCGATTTCATTTTGCTTATCAAAAGGTTTGGCAGCACCAGTTGGATCACTTGTTGTTGGCACACATGATTTTATTCGACGAGCAAAACGTTTGAGAAAAGTATTGGGTGGAGGAATGAGGCAAGTCGGAGTTTTAGCTGCAGCTGGAATTATTTCATTAACAAAAATGCCAAAATTATTAGAATTAGATCATCAACATGCGAAATTACTTGCTCAAGGATTATCTACAATTCATGGTTGTGAAATCAATCCTGAAAGCGATGTACAAACAAATATTGTAGTTTTTCAATTAAATCCTAATAAGATTAATATAGATGCACCAACATTTGCAACTATTTTAAAAAACGAACACCAAATATTAGTTACAGTTCAAGGCAAATTTAGATGTCGATTCGTTGTACATTATATGATTTCAGAAGAGAATATTGAATATGTCTCACAAAAAGTTAAACAAGTTTTAGAAAATAATAAAAAATAATTTTAATAACGTTTCTCAAATTGATTTTTAAATGATAAATCTTTAAATAATTCAATAAATAGCACTGACATGAGAAGAAATAATAGGAAATTGATATTGACTAAAAACTTGAACAGATATTTAATCGATGAATCAATAGAATGGACAACAAAATATTAAATTATTTAACTAATACACAATAGTATGACATACATAGTTGAATAGCATTAATTGATTGAATGGATCATCCTGTAACATATTTACATAAAATTTAATTTCAAAGAGTGATTTAAATCACGTAAGACTTCGATCAAACTCTTCTTTTCTTTATCTTTCATTGTGTAATAAGAATATATGACACATGAATTTTAGTAGAGAATAACAAAAATAAATATTTTTTTAAATAAAAAAACTAACATCTAAAAAAATATCGCAATTAACTATTGTTTTTTTAAAGAAAAAAGAAAATATACTATTCGTTGATTCTTTATGGCATTTTTCTGCTGAATAAAAAGGATTCTATATTTCATGCGAACACTTAATATAGAACATCATTAAGTTTTATGTTCTCTTTACAGATGCTTCATGTAAAATATAGAGTATATATTTAAGACATCATAAACAGAATCCATTGGAATTTGCAATAGCTCTTTAATTGCGATCCATGTTCGAAAGAGAAAAATCAACTATTATTCTATTCATTGAATAGTAATCATCAATGTTTGATCGGTGAAGCATTCGTTAATCGATGTCAAGACCAAAAAAGAAATAGAAAAAAAGAAAAGAAAACTTTATTCTATTGCAATTTGAACTAAATAAACTCTTCGTTTCAAGTTTAACTATACACAATCCCCGATAGGTTCAAATTTAAGTATGCTTGTAAAAATTACAGAATAAATCTTTTCAGTTACGTCGATTTCTTTTCTTTTCTTTAACAATTTTTTCTTCATTTCTTTCCACATCTTATAAAACTGAATAATATAGTTCTCATAAGTAAATAATTTAAAGTTCGATTTCGACATATATATATATATATATCATATAGCTTTAAACTGACTCTAACTATTGTTTTAGTAATTAACTTTGGAAGTAACTCGAGTTCAATCAAGTAAAATGTCTCTAAAACAATCTTCATTTCATCAAGAATCTATTCAGAAAAATCCAATTCGTGTTGGAATTCGTCTCATGTTTCAACGTATTGGTAAGTTTCAATTTTCCAGATTCTCATGATCATATATAAACAGTCGAACTCATTAAAATAGATTGACTTTGAAATTTCGCTTTTTTGATTGGAATTCATTGTTGTATTTTTCTGTCGAAATGGTTTGTAGATTATAACAAAAAACAATATTCGAAAAAGATTAATTTTTTCTAGATTTTTTAAATATTTTAATTGCATATTGATTTTACTGATAATATATTCTGTTTCAGGTGAAATCGATACATTAAATGAAAAATATCAAGCACAAGCATTGATTGAAGCCCGTTGGTTAGTTGAATCGACTGATTTATTATCAATTTTATCACCAATTGATCAACATCATTTGAATCATGGAAAATCTGTAACTCTTACGAAATATAGTGATATTCATTGGCATCCACAATTATTCATTGAAAATGCTCTTGGAGATTTAAAAGAACAAATAAGATATAGTGCAAAGAAAACATCGAATGATCAAGTTTTTATATGTGAACATCGTGATATAAAAGGAGTTTTTTGGGAAAAACTTGAATTAAATCATTTTCCATCTGATATTCAAGAATTAACAATATCTGTTGGTTCGATGTTCTATGATGATCGAGTTGTACTTATTCCTGATTCCTATTATCGTAGTGGAATAAATCGTGAAGCATTCGTTGATCAACAAGAATGGTCATTGTATGAAAATGTTGATGCAAAACAAAGATTTATCAAAGAATTTGCTTTCAATGACAACGATGATGAAACTCTTGATATGAACCCAAACGATGAAAGGAAACGTTCTGTTGTATCTGTGTCGTGTCATACAGGTTAATATTTTATTCATTGTAATTATTCGATTGACTTTTCTTAATGAAACATATTTTTGTAGCACGTCGTTCTGCTTATTTCTATTGGAATGGTTATTGCCTTATTTTTCTTATTACGACTTGTGCTTTTTGCATTTTTTCAATGCCACCAAAGTATAATTTAATCATCAGATTATTAAATTATCGAGCTGTTTTCTTTTTAGTCTACCACAAAATCGTCTTCAAACTGGTGCAACTCTGCTTCTTACTTCCATTACTTTTCGTTGGACAGTTAATCGTTCTCTTGTAAGTAAAAACATGAGCTTTTGTAAAAAAAAAGAAAATAATTCAAAATGATACACATATCGTTTTTAGAATATAGTTTAAGAAAAAAAACTACAATGAGTTAAGTGTAGCTACAATTTTTGATTTCGAATCCGTTTTTATTTTTGGTTGAATTAAAATGATTTCTATTCTAGCCAACAGTATCCTACTTGACGTCTCTGGATAAATATGCTATTATTTCAATTTTTATTCTTATTCTTTTGTGTGTATGGCATGCAATTATTGGTGCTATTATTTTTATCGAAAACCGTTCTTCAATAACAAATTCAGAAGATCGAAACTGTTGGATAGATCGTTGCGTATTTTTTATTCTTTTCGGTTTCTATATTATTATGCATCTAGGAATGTTACTTTGGTTATATCTAGTACCACTTGCTCGTAGACGAAATATGAAACAAAAGGATATACAATATAAAGAAAAAATTCATAAACAATTAAATGAAGTACAACTACTTAACCAAAGCGATGATCTCGAATTATCGAATAAAACAAAGATCAAGAACAAGTATACCGTGTCGGAAGTGACCTTATAAAAATATAAGTAGCTATTACTGTCAGTTATAAATACTGTAACATTACAATTTTATACATTAGAAACAGTTTAATAATCGCTTTCGTGTTTTTTTTAGGGGGTTTTTAATTGATTAATATATATATATACATCATTATTGTATTTCCATGAATTTAAAAAAAAAGATTCAAGATTTCCAATGAAAACGATAGGCATCATTTATCGAAATAATAATTATCAAAGGATAAACGTGAGTTAGAAGATAAATGCAATGTCTGATTATGAAAATGATAAGAAAAAGTCTGTAATATAGCAAAGGCAAAACTACTCTTTCAAAGAAGTGATACTGACATGAAATCAATTCATTGATAAAGTTTCTTGAAGTGTCTTATTCATCTTGCAGCTAGAATTGGCAAGCTTTCATTTGAAATGAAAAACTCAAACCCTAGTCAAATCTAATCTAAAACTTCTTGAGGGTGTTGGGTATGTGATAACTAACATCCACACCTTCATTTAAACTTTTATTAGCTTCCGTTGAACCGAAACGCACTTTTTTCCAATCTGCCTCTCTAAGATGATCTTCTATTTATAAGCCATTTAGTACGCCTTGACTCAGTGGCAACTCCTGTGATTATTAAATCGCCTCAAAATGATGAATTATCGCTAAGAGAGCATAGGTATACCCAGGTCGAGCATTACAACGAGCATTTAGAAGCCGTATCCAATCGTATTCGGCCGCATCATAAACAGGAACGGCCAAGCACTGCAGCGTATACGACCGTAACAACATCGTAACCGACCGTTTATGGTCGTAATTCTGAACAAAAAGAAAAGTACATTCATAAACCCTTCCGATCGATAGTGAGCACACTACAGACATCAATTCTACTAGATCTCCATAGAAATCACACTAAACAAATGTAAGCAACCAAAACACGTACTGCAAATCACACCGAAAATTACAGAAATCATACTTCCAGCAGATCTTTTCGGAGCAGTATCTATACTCTAAATCTACCGAGAGCACCTAAAGCTGACTCCCTATGATTTTCCGTGCATCAAACAGCAAAAATCATGGCAAATCTAAAAAAATACAAAAAGCATCAAAGAAATCCTGCTAAAATCACGTTTCGAAGAAAGCATCGTAGAGAATCGTGGATAGCACCATTAGATCGAGAGCACCAAGAGATCCATATTGAATTATTTCTGCTCCATCCTGCATCAGAGATTATGAGAAATCTGAAAAATACGAAAAGTATCAAAGAAATCCTGCTAAAATCAATGTTTCTTGCGTATATAATTCATGGAAAAGCGGTAATAATTTGTGGCAATGATATTTGGGATCAATAACAATAAGTGCTTATGGTGTTATTTACGATTAATCATATAGTCTCGAGAATAGAGATGCGCGGGCAAGGCTTTTTGGTACCGGTCCCGGTCTAGTCCCGGTCGTATTACGGATGAGTATACTATTTTCTTGGCTCCGGTCCAGAACAGACAGTTTTTTTCCAACGGTTCCGGTAACTTTGTCAGCGGTCCCGAACCCAGTCCCGGTGGCTGTTTCTAACTATACAGATTTAATTGTTGAAGAATTCGGCTTAATATCATCTGAGTATAAGCGACATCTAATAACTATTGGAGCAACTGTTATTTCAAAAATTTCTTATAATCGTGTCAGTGAAAAGGATGATTAGTATCGTGGTTACTTTGTTTTAAATTCTTTATTCTCAATTCAATCGATAAAGGATACTTGTCACATTTAAATCTTATCAATGTCTATTTCAACAACTAAGAAATTTTTCGACAAACAAGGAGTGGAAGATTTGGTGAAGAAATGATTCTCAACCAGCCCACAGTCGATTTTTGGGCGGAGAATTTTAGTGGCGTCAGCTTTCCTGGTGTTGCCTTACATTTTTATGAAGACAATAAAGGTTTGATTTCTTTGAGTTTATGCTGTAGAGAATATGATCCAATAGACGGTACTACTACGAATGTTCGATTAGTTATTGATCAAATATGATCTGAATTTAATTTAAAGCCAGTAGAAAATCAATTCCCTTTTTTGACGTTGATGATAGTCAAAAAAATGTCTTCTTTGTATAGTAAAGTACGTGAATTTGAGTTGCTTATTTATTTATTTTTGATATTTACGCTTTTTATTTTCGTTTATGTCGTTTTGCTTTTTGCTTTTTGCTATGTACATTTTTTGTATCACATCATATTAGTATGAAAATAATAAATTGATTTATGATGTACGCAAAATTCAATTTTAAAAATGGGGAAGTTAAAAATATCACAAATTTCAATCGCAGTCACGGCTCCGGTCATGCACCCGGTTAAATTTGGATTTTCAGTTCCAGTCCTTCTAAAATTTTAGATTTTCGGTCCAGATCCCGGCCATAGTCCCGGTAAAACTCTATTTTTTTGGCTCCGGCTCCGGCTCCGGGTACCAGGGCCGGGACCGGAGCTGGTCCCGCACATCTCTAGCATTGACAGGTTTTACTCGAACACGATGCTAAATTCATCTACACAATGGTCACTTAATACTTTTCACTGCGATAGCTTGTGTAAACTATAATCTAAAATATGCTGCTATACTTTAAGCGAATAGCTAACCATCGGTTCCGACCGTTTACTGTGATAGTCGACAGTCGTTTACAGTAAGGAGTAAAACATTTGTTAAATACTCGTGTGAAAATTACAAAACCGAGAATAATATATATAAAGTCAATGACTAAAAGTAGGCCCATTTGTGATAAATAAACACCTACCTAGTCAAGTGAATAAAAGAAAATGGCAATAAAAATACATTTCGACTATTAATTGAATTATTTAAATCATTTTATGTTTACCGGGTTTTTTTCCGAAGATTTGAGTTAATTTATTTGCTTATAATTTCTAAAAGTTATAAGGGTCAATCGTATTCGCTTACAAGGATTGATGTTTTACACAAAACTTCAGCATAGAATTCGAAATTCACACTAAAAGCCAATGGACATTTTTGATCGTGATAGAGTCAAACTTTGGAATAGTCGGAAACAGTTAGTTTTTGCATGATTTCTTTCCAAAACAGCTGACAACTTTTTATACTACAAAGCATATATGAAGAATTTTCCTATCAGGACCAAATAACTGTGATTGACAATAGCATAATCTCTTTTTAATGACATTGAATTTTCTTTTTACCGGTAAAATACGCAATATATCAAAGGAAACTAGCCTAGCAATTATTCTAAGTGATGAAGAACAAAGGCGACTCTAGGATAACGAATTACAATGAGTTTATCAGAGTTAATTGGAGATGTTTTAATTTTTCTTTTATCATCTATCATGTCTGAAAAGACACCATTAATATACATGACGAGTGGCTATATATATATATTTATATATTGACTACTGTACCAGGGTTACCAAATCTCCTGTTTTGACCAGGGATCTCCTGGTTTTAAAACTTTTCTCCTGATTTTTGTAGTATGACGATTAACTTCGCTTTGAACCCATAGCAACTTTCAAGAGAAAAGAACAAATTTATGGAAACTTCAAACTTATATATGGAATGATAGTCGAAATCAAATGAGCCATGATTTAGTTGAAGCTGAGTTGAAGATTAAAATGAACACTCATGTTCAGTATTGCCAGATATCGAATTTGAAAGTCCGGAAATTTGCGGAGCTTTTTTGGGTCCGTTTTTTCATTTAAAGTGTACGTTTTACTCTAACAGCTTCGAAACAAAAATACTCTTTATACATATCTCCAACATATATTTAAATAAAAAAGCGCACATCCAAGAAGGCTGCCTGATGTCAACCTCGAAACTCCAAAAACTTTTGGAATTTGTTTTTGCAAATCTAGAAAAAAATCTAGAAAAGCTTTGGAAATTCGGAAAAAATTTCGAAACCTGGAATTTTTCCATAAGATGTGGGGAGCTGGAAACACCGTCTATTTTACTTGACCAGAACTGTCACGAATTGCTGAGTAAATTGGCTAAGTAGTTTTTGCTATGTATTTTAGTGAACACATTTTAATTATCTATTTAAATAAACTTAATGAAATCAGCATTCTATTTTCAATTTTAACTCGTCTACAAGGAAAATTTTCAGGATCAATCGCATTATAGGAAAAGAGGCTAATGTATCTATTAGTAAAAAATCGCAAGTTATCAGATAAAAAGCATCAAATGACTGTTGAATGTCAAAAAAAACTCTCTTAATTGCTCTCCTGATTTAGGAAAAAAATTCTCCTGAGAAACTTCTGATTTTTCACAAAAATTCCCGGATTTTTAAAATTTGTATTTGGTAACCCTGATTGAAAGACAACACACAGAACTCATTTTGGACAAGAATAAACTCATCGTGTGGAATTGTTGTTATATTATACACACAAAGGCTAAAATATATATAGATGATACTGATCTACACTTTGTTGCCCATCATTCTATCAGGATATATACGCGATTCTATATATCTCGATAGCTATTTGAAGAATATTTACGCGACTTAAATATTTTTCCGTGACACATACGCCTCCTACAACTCTACCAGTAATCTTACAAGCACTCCACGATATTCTAAGACGTCACCTGAGATGCTAACAGCATTAGCTGAGAAACTGAAGGTACCACTTACAAGGATATACACCACATATCCTCAGACCCATAATTATACGCGCAAAAAGTCTTATTTCAAAAATGAAGAACCTATCATTTGCCTATTGCGTACGAAAGTCATTAAGAACAAAAGATCGAGAACAGATTTTTATTCACTGATGAAAAATATTCAGGATTAGATGGTATGGTATATTATATCGTCAGAATAACTATATTTATGCTACATGTCGACAAGAAGCATATGAACACGGAGGATTAAGATCAACAGCCAAATTTCCAAAAAGATCATGATCTTGTAGCTGTTCAGCTGAATGCACTAGCTGAATGTCAACGACGATAGGGTGAAGGTTTTATCTATTAACAGGACAATGGAAGTCCAGGAAGAGCACTAAGATTCACTTGCGTGGATTAAAAAGAACTCTAGTCATTCAATCGATAAAAGTAAAAACACCACTCAATAATCCAGATCTAAACATTTTGGATTACTATGTGTGAGTCTCTATTAGTCAAAATGTATATTGAGTTAGAGCCATAATCGTCGACCTGGGTATTTGGAGCTTTGACATTTATGGAATCTATTTGAATAATTTACTATATAGAAAAAAAGAAAAATTCTAAAATGAATGTTTTATGAATCTTGTTGATCTCTTAAATACGTAGCCATTTGTTGTTCTTCGTCATTAGAAGTTTCGGGTGAGAGTGCTGCACCGTTTGTTAATGATGGACGAGCATTTAATAGATTTTTTCGTTCATGAAAAAAATAAACAAGATTTGACGCTAAATAAAGTATAATTGATATCAATAAACAAACAATTAAGAGTGTTGGAAAATGTTTTGGATTACGATCCAATACAAAACCTTGAAAAAAACTATCTATATTATGAATTTAAATTAAAAACAACACTAACCAGCAATTTTTTGAAGAGTCATTGCTCCAACTGCCGATCCACATAAGAGTGAAGCAAGAAGCATTGGTACAACATTTAATCGTTGATTAAATAAACCAAATGATAATGGAAATATTGGCGAAAATACTAAGCCAGTAACTGCTCCAAGAATGAATAAACTTGTGCTTGTTAAACCAATAAACCATACAAATATTAACCAAGATATAGCAAGACAAAAACCTCCAAACCAAATTATATTAAGACACATATCTACTGATAAAAATACAGATATAATTGCAGCAAATAATCTTCCAATCTAAATTTAAAAAATTCTTATTTTTTTAATGAAACTTAACAAATAACAAAAAAAAGAAAGTTCCATACTGAATATGAAAGCCAATATAAAATAGTTGCCCAACTTGCAGCTTTTGTCGATATATTGAATTGATCAAATTTAAGATAAGCAAAAAAGAATTTCGAAAATGTTTGATCATTTCCACCAATAAAAAATGTATAACAAACAAATATTATTGAAAGAATTAAACCATATTGAAAATATCCTCGACCACATGTACGAGGAGAATATTGTGAAGATTTATCTTTATTCATTAAACGACTCAAATTTGTTGGATTTTCACTTACAGCAGTATAATCAATCTAAATAATTATCAAATGCATATATTTCTTTAAATTTAATTAATCACCGTTTATTTTCTATTTATGATTAATTACCTGTTGAACTTGTAATATTTCTCGATGATTTTTTTGTTCTTTAATATAAAAAAATAAATGTCCAATAGCAAGTAAAAAACATAGAAGAGCAGTAATGGAATATGGAATAAAAAGCGATGAATTATTTGTTGTTAAATTAACATCTGATAATGTTTCATTTGCTTGTTTATAATCTTTTTTATTTATTAATGTACTTTTTTGACTAAGAAATGGACGAACAAGTAAATTAACAAAAACAGCACCTATGCCATATCCTAAATGAGCCGTATTTAATGGAGCTGCGGCATTACTACTCCACATTGTCAATAAAATATTTGTTCCACCTAAATATAATTAAATAGTTAAAATCTATTTTTCATTCTGAATTCAAAGTGATAGAAAAAACCCTCTTTTTTAAATTATAGATATATATATTAATTAATGATAGGATTCTATTTAAATAGAAAACTTAATTTATATATATATATATATATAGAGTAAACTTACCTAGATCTGTCAAACCTTGAGCAGTTCCTTGAATAAGAAATAAAAGACACATAGCTATTAATGATTTTACAAACGGAGTTGTAAAAACAACTAAAAATAAATTGTTGATTAATGAATTTTTATTAATAAATTGAAATATTTTTACCAATAGCAGGTAAAATAAAAGCACAAACAAGAAGGCCTTCAGAATGTTTTTTGACTATATTTTGAAATATAGCACCAAAAATATTTGCTATTAAATAACCTGCAGATCGTGCTGCAAGTGCTGAACTCATTCCACTATAATCAACTTTAGCATTTGCTGCAACAATTGACATTGTTGGGCCAATCAATTCAAGATGAAAACCCTTTTTTTAAATAAATACATGATAAATCATTTAAGTATAGATAAGATGAAAAAAATTTTCTTTGAACTAAAGAAACTTACTAGAACAATCCATGTTAGTACAAGATATCCACTTTTAATTAAATTCCATGGTTGACTTAAATAGATTTTTATTCCAAATTGAGATTCTTCAGATGGTTTTATTGCCATTGTTGTTTTTTTTCTTTTATTTAAATCTTTTCAAGTTTGAATTTAATTCATTGAAATTATACTAATGAACAAAAAGAAAATCTAAAAGTACGACAAAATCTTAATGAGAATACTTTCCTAGAAATAGAAATTTTTCTGTTGCTATTCAATCTTCATTTGATCATTGGTTGCATAGGAAAAAAAACGTCGTAGAACAAAACTATGTTTATTCTACTATTAAAAAGACACGTCATTATGCAATCAAAAATGCATTAGAAAGAACAGAAAAAATATTAATTGTATATTATGCAATGTGACATATCGACATCAATTTTTCTTTCTTTTTTTCTTTTCACTTGTTTGCAAAAAAATTCGAGATGTAAAAGGAAGAAATGAACTCAAATATACATTAGATTTTTTATATTATTATTAAAAAGAAAAAGAAAATAGAGCAAGGGTTCTTTTTTTGTTGAATTAGTTTCTAACAATGAAAAGTTTTTAACGAATTTCTGTGCGAATATTATAATTACAACAAGAAATGTTTACATCTATATTTTTATAGCAATCAGGAAATTTAATACTTGTGAACTTTTACAAATTGAAATCGTGATATTTTATTTTTATTTTTTTGTTGTCATGATCTTTCTATTGATTTATTATAATAGATATTAAAAAACAATAGATAAGAAGAAAAAAATGACATTCAACATAATGTTAGACAATTTAAAAAAAATATATTTCTATTATTACTTTTCTTAATAAAATTCAAGTGATTTCTCTTGTTTCTTTATCTGAATCAGAGCTCGGACAAGTACACGTATAGCAAGTAAAAGTATTTTACTTTTACTCGAAAAAGAAAGTTTGTACTTTTACTTATACTTCAAAGCAAGTACTGCTATATGTACTTGCCTATGTACAAGTATACTTGCTTTTGTACTTGTACCTAAAAAAAAGTATTTGCACTTGTACTTGTCTCTAATAAGTTTGTTAGAATACTTGTACTTAAATAAAGACGCTTGTACTT